TACCGGCTATGAATACTCCAACTATATGTTAAATTCGTCGATTCATGCTTCTGAAAAATGTGACAATCAATTAGATTAAGATCGAATTTATGAGAGAAAAATGATCGCAATATAAGACTGACCATTTTGATCGTAATAACTTTTTAATCGTTCACGAAAAATAATCTGATAAATTTAGGAATATATTATATGTACAAAACCAATACGTGCACCATTTTTATGGAAACTTTCTATCTTTCTTGTTTTTTTTTTTAACTATATATGTTGCTAGGTAACATTGACTAACCAACTAAAAGAGTATCACCACGCTAGTGGTTTTATAGTTTTATAATTTATCTCAACATTAACTGGTTTTACTTCATGCCTCAACAGTAGTAACATAATGGGGAACGCTCCAAATTTCCTCCTAACAACAGCTAATCATGCTGTAGACTGTGTAGAAGAAGAACATGATGAAGAAGAAGAAGAAGGGAATTTCAACCTTAGTGTGAATGTCTAAGTATATATAGGAGAAAATTTCATTTGTCTCCGTATTTTGAAATAAACAATGGGTTATAATAGGCATAGGAGTTTTTGCGGTCTAATATTGTAGAAAAGTTGTATGTTGTCAACCATATTGCCCAATAAGTGTATACATATCTATGTATGTATTAGGGCATGTTTGGTAGGCATAAAGATGCTATTCTTTTCATTGTACAGGCCCACAACAAAGAAGATATATCACACAAAAAATTACTATAGGCCCACAACAAAGAAGCCATTCCTTAACAAAGCAAGATAATTTTTAGTGAACCACGCCCAACAATTTTCACATTCATCACACCATTTAGCAACAAACTACAAGAGGCGATGGAGTCACCAGGAAATCCAGCAAGCCACATGAAAAAGAATCAGCAACAAAGCAAATCATTTACCAAAGCAACCAAGAAAAAAAACATCCCAGCAAATAGAAGCATTCAATTCGTTGACACAAATCAGTACGAGGGGCTTCAACAACTTCAATCAAGCACCATAAATAAATCGCATCTCTTAGGGGAGATTAGAGGTAGAAAACTGTAGATCTACAGATCTAATAAATGAATACAGCACAAAGAAACAACCTTCATCTAAGGAATCTAGCTACTGAAAACCCTAGATCTAAGGACTTACCTTAGTAAGAGAGACAAAGCTGCTGTGAACAACCTAGGTGAAGATGAGAGAGACGAAGCTGCTGAACGCCGAAGCTTTTGGAATGCCTGGAATGAAGCTGCTGGAACGCCTCTGCTGGAATGTCGGGAACTCCTCAGTTGAACGAATGGAATGAGAGAAACGATGAGATGAGAGAGAGTTTGAGGGTTTAAATATTTTTGTTTGAGGGATTTTTGGTAGGGGGCTTAATTTGTTGCTAATAAGAGTCGATGGTAGGACCTCATTAAATGTCATCTGTGCGTTTTCGGTTTTTTTTTTTTGAAAATGACTTTTTTTGGTTTCCAAAATTTGAGGCAAATTTGAAAACGGTTTTAGTTAAAAAAAAATTAAAACGGTTACCAAACGAGTTTAAATTTCAGGTTTTCTAAAAAATTGAAAATAAAAACGGAAAAATTGAAAACCGAACCGTTACCAAACGGACCCTAATATTTTAGGACTAGGAGAACTTAAAACTCTATATATATAGTAGTGCTATTTTTAATAAAAGATGGAGAGAAAGATATTTTCAGAAATTTTAGGTTTTTGAGGCGTGTGATGCAATTCAAATCCTTAGGTGTGATGGCTAAGGAACCCTCGAAGTGATTCCTAGTCAAATTCACTGTTCATATCATTGTTCACAGCCATATTACTGTTCATGGCCCCTATTTTGATTTCACATAGCTGTCCAACATCAATAACTTTGGTATTATATATCAAGAAATGAATAATATGCGCTTCATCATGCCACAATGCAAAAAAGAGGGATTCCTTCGATGTCTTTGGTGACTGACGCCAAAAAAAGTGAGAAAATGAATTTGATTCTATAACCCTTCCATTATCTCACACTTGCCACCAAATATTCTTTCATTCATTTCTGACCAAACAACCCAAATAATAGCAAGAATTACACAATTTTTGCAAAGTTGGAACTATTTTTTTTTGTTACTCACAAAGTTCTTCAAATTCTTAACGAACGTGGAGTAAACAAAACATGGACCATTTTTTCCATATTAAATCATTTATTTCATAATGATTAAGCTAAGGGGCAATGCAAAAATAAGTGATCAACTTTTTCATCATCACTTCGACACATGACATATTAGCGCGGAGAAAGACATGTATGATGTCTTTTAATTGGAAACGTGTCGTTAGTGTTGAGGTTATTGTGTGCAATCATCCAAGTGCTAAGTTAATAGACACAACTTTCCGTAGTATTAAAGAACTAGAGGAATCATCAATTGAAGACTTAAAGAATGAATTGCAGAAAAAGCATTCAAGAACTCCATGCTCCAAAACCTTTTTTCAAGGACCCATAATTGATATTGACTTTATCAAGAATAGAAAGTAGTGAAATCACATGTAGATTGTCTCTATCATCAAACTTCCTTCGAAAGCCAAAAACCCAAGAAAATGAAGGTGAACTATGGCAAAAAAAAAAGGCAACGGAAGCATTATGAGCACAAGATACACGATATAGATGAGGATGGAACATACTCGGTAATGAAGAGTCCCCACACCAAATATTTTTCTAAAACTAAGCTCTCTCCCCATTTCTCACAACCAATTTTGCATGTTATGGAAATCTGAATAGTGTTTGAGAAATGAATTTCCAAGGACATTGAAAACTTCCTTTCTCAACCAATAGTGACTTACTCATTTACATGCAATTCGTATTTGCTCTTGAAAACTAAATGTCATAGACAGATAGTGAATTATATTCCAAAGGAAACCTTTATAGCCATTTCCCGACTAAAGCTTTATTTTTGCCACCAAGTTTTCAACCTAAAGACCACCTTTAGATGGGGATTTGGATACCACCTCCAAATAATGATTCTTTTCTTTTCCACTTCCTTCCTAAAGGAAATCTCTCGTCATTTCTTTAGCCCTCTTTGCAATCTTAATGACATCTTAAATGGAAATAAAATGCATGGAAATAAAAATTCTGTTCCACCCATCTAACATTTTTCCACTTTCTCTACAACTGTTCCCAAAATGTCAAAGACAAAGGATTATCCCCCAAAAAAAGATCCAAATACCTTGCCATTTACCTAGAGAACAATTGAAATGTTTAGCCAATTTAACGATCTTATCTTCATTAGAGTTATTGCCAACAATTAAATTACAAATGTGAAACCTTGATCCCATCTCTCCCAATTACGAATCCTTCTACTGAATTATATCTTCTTGTCCTCAACTCAAGGCTACTCAACCCATTTGCCAATAAACTAAAAAGAAAGGGTGATAAAAGACTACGTTGCTTCAAATCCCTTGATTCCTTCAATCTTCGCCTAGGTTTTCTATTAGGAATAACATCAATGTACATTGTATGTAGACCTCTTCTTATCCACCTCCTCCATCGATAGAATGGTATGCAAAACTTCTATTTCTTATGACGTCTTACATGTCTCCCATTGGATGTGTGGTCTAGGAACCTAGTTTTCTCCTGTATTCATCATTAATCTCAGCATGTTAAGCATTGCAAGGAGACTTGCAATCCTCACCCGAAGCTTTACTTGATAAAGTCTATTACTCCTTACCTCAAGATTCAGCCCCAACCACTCAAATCCTGCAAGTTTCTGTTCCCCAGTGTAGGAATAGCTGCTATACAACCACCAAAATTGCTATTTTTCACTGCCATATTAGCACCTCTTGAGCCCCAAACCCAAAATCTCATTTCTATCTTCTGTTTCCTGTCAGATTCTTAGTGTTTTGGTGCTGCAGTTAATTATCCTGCATTGTAGACATGCTAGTTGGTACATGTCCAAAGAGACATATTGGACAAATATCCCATACTCTGACCTCTGTGTTTTGTTCAGCATGATTATCATGTGTTGTGTCTGGCATGATTATCATTGCAGCTCTGATTTGGGTTTCATTTTTCGAAGTCCAGCTTGTAATGTTAGTTTGATTCTTTGGTGCTTCAAACGTGTTTTTCTTCTTCTCCTCCTTTGGTTCTACTAGCAATGCACCACGTGTGTTACACGTAAAATTTTTTGTTAAAATATTGATAAAATACATAAAGATTTAAGGATTAGTAGCACTTTTGATCTGTAAAATATATATATTTTTTAGTTTAGTCTTTATTGTTTCAATTTTGTTAATTTGGTTTCTAAAATATTTAATTCATGTCATTTTGGTCCCTATATAGACACACCGTTAAGTTTTTGACAGAATGACTATGTGTTGGACACATGATACCATTTAAAAAAATGACACGTGGTCATTTTGTCAAAAAACTTGACGGATTGTCTAATTAGAGACCAAAGTAACACGAATTGAATACTTTAGGAACCAAATTGATAAAATTGATACAATGAGGACTAAATTGACAAAAAATGCATACTTTAGAGACTAAAATTGTTAGTAACTCAAAATTTGATTGTATAACTAAATTAGATACTATCTCATTTTTATCATACATAAATTGTTTATATTGTGGACGATAAGAAAAAGATACATATATTAATTTTTTGGCACTGAAGATAATATTATATAAATAAAGTTCTCGATGTGTATTAATATTGGGGTTTTAGAAAAAAAAACGTAATTTTTTTATATATCTTGTCAAAATTTTTTGTAAACATTGAGATTTACATGATATATTAGATGTTAGTTTGTTATTTAAGTATAGAGAGATATAATGATAATCTCCATATTTAAATACAGGACATGTTAGGCTTTATAGTTTCTTATGAGGTTAAAATAGTGAATTAAAATTTTTCATATAAGGTATTTTTATTAGTAGAATAGACTAATCACATACTCTGATTTTTATTTATTCGGGACTGAGCTTTCTCCAGTAACTTGCTTCCTTTATCTCTGCCTTGCAGTTGATGGGGGTTTCAGTTTCTGGTCTAGAACCAGAGTTTCAACCAGTTGTTAATTATTTGCTGCCACACATAATATCTCACAAACAAGATGCTCATGATATGCATCTCCAGGTGAAACATATTATTAATACACATTAATAGCTTGCAGACATATTTTACTTTCTACCTTGTTACTTGGAATGTCATATAATATAAACCTGTGCCTTCTAACGGCTCCTAGTTTGTAGTTGCTTCAAGACATGACAAATCGACTGGTTGTGTTCCTTCCCCAGCTTGAGGTATAGTTTTAAACTCGTGGATTTACATAGCAGAAGAATATTTAGCACTATCTTGTCTACCCTGCTTCATTTTTGTTGAGCATGTGAACCCTTAATGTGCAGGCAGACCTTAACACCTTTACAGATGCTGCAGAGCCCACTTTACGTTTCCTTTCTATGCTTGCTGGTCCATTTTATCCAATTCTTCACATCGTAAATGAAAGGTTGGTATGCATCAAGTGTGACGAGTGGTTGCTGAGTCCATTCCAAAGCTAATAGTCAGTCAATTCTTTTTGTCTTGATGTATGCCATTTCCCACTATGCATGTTTGGTATGTTAACTAGTGCAAAAGGCTTCTGCTTATAGTGAGGTTTGGGAGAGATAAGTAATAGAAAACCTTACTCCCATTATCGAGTGGCTCATTCCTAGACTCAAAACACCATGCATCCCTTGGGCGGATAAGTACTTGCCATGACTCTAGCCCTCTAGGTCCGGCCTCTTTATTGTCTCAGCAGCAAGTTTTATAAAATTACTTCCACAACTTAAGTATAAAGCTTTATGTCTGTATTTTTCTCTGGAGCTTGATATCACCAGCTACATTTCCTACGTGCCTTCTTTATGAACAGCATGTTAGCGAGAGCCCAACACCTTTTGACCTGTTTCCCCTTTTGAGAAGTTGATTACTTGAAGCTACATTTGACTTGTAATGCATTGACACCAGTCACTGTTTAGTTATTATGACTGTCCTCTGGGAATGTTCAATTTTTGTCATTATTTGAGTGATTTGGTTTGAGGGAAATGCCAGAATCTTTGAGGATAAGTATGAGGTGGTTAAAGGGCTATGGAACTGAATCTTCTTTATAGCAAATTTTTGGGCATCAGTTTTGAATGAGTTTGCAAACATACCGTTCTTCAAAATTTTGGTAAATTGGATTGCGGCTTGTGACTGATTAATCATTACAGTTTCTGTATTTTGTTCTTACATAGTGCTTTTTGATGATTTACATTATGGTTGGCAACTTGTCCATCGCTAATTTCAATTTGTACTACATCCTTTATTTTTCCTATTAAAAATTGTATTTCCTATCAAAAAATTGACTATTAGTTTGCAAAACCCTTGAGATTATATGACAAGTGCTGTTTGGTTTCTGTCCTCGTTTTTTATTCCATTAAACTTGTTTCAAGTTCAGATAATAAAAACTTGTTTCATGTCGGTCCATGGCAGATGCTCAAGGGAGGAAAATGCCCTCCATGGTAGTGGGGTATTAATAGACGTTGATTGTGCTTTGTTGAGTTGCCTGAGATGTATTACCTCATCTTAAGGCATTCAACATTTTCTGATGTCTTTGGAGTACAGGACTATTTGTCTAGTTTGTGAGAAGTTAATTAGATATAAAATAATACACTTTAGTGTCTAGAAATAAAAAATTGATTCTTTTCTACAGTATTGGGTGATGTGTAATTTTCATCTAAGGCACTAGCCCTTCTTTTTCCGCTTGCTATATATTTGGGATTTGCCCATATTTTTTATGGTTCTAGTAGATCTTATTTTTGTAGAAGCCTTATCATTTTGGTTTGGTCTTCTTGTTTCTCACTTACCTACGTTCTGAAATCTAAACAACGCTATATTTGTTCTTAACTGCAAGATATATCCCTAGATTGAAGCATTTGAGAGAAGTGGGAAGTCAGGTCTCTTTTTTGGATAAGAAACAACAATCATTGATAACCAACAAGTCATAACAAGGGTCAAATCAAAGGTGGACAAGAAGTCCAACGCAATGACCTTTGAGTGAGACTACAAAAAAAAAAAAAAATTGAAAAAAAGGGTGATATTTTGGCTTAAGAAGGTGAATAGGTGATTTTAAATGGATGGGTGATCCTTCTTTATCTGTAGAATACTATTACAAAATAGTTGGAAGAATAGAAACTTTCTCTATGGAGCTTCTTATATTTACTGAATCTGATTTCTTATGAATGGATGATCAAGAAAACAAAAATCTTAATCGCTTTGGTATGCATATATGTGGCATTGAAGGTAGCCACCCTAAAAATAAGTAAACACAGGACCCCCTAAACAGTTTCCTCACTTTAGAGACAGTAATCATGGTCCTTGTGAAGCTAATGGAAAGGTCACTCATGTAGCCAAACAGTCTGCTCTAATGGCTAACCCAGGCAATTATCTAATATGAGCCTCTGAAGATGACAAATCTAAAATCTTGCTAGAAATGGGGACTCTGACTAGAAATCAAAATGTAATCCATGTCATCCCTATAACAAAGTCATACCAGAGCGCTTCTAGAAGTGCTCAGATCTCTGCATTAATTGCATGGTCTAGAGCTTAAAAATGGTATTTCCTGTCTCAAATCTGATGATATCCCTCCAATCATGTTTACTGCTTTTTATTTTTTAATGTTGGTTTTGGAGAGGGGGATTGTTACACTGTGGTCTACAAGATTTTAATCGTCATGTTGTGTGGACATGTTGAACACTGCCATGGCTTCTCCTGGACAGATGTCTGACATGCTGTGGATGTTTTTAGGTAGTTAATCTTTTGATCTTCGTTGTGTGGCTGATATTCTGCTGACACTAGAAAAACCTGAAATAGACATCAGATATGCCCAGTAGTTGGTTGTTAAGATTTTCAAAAGTTTGGGTTCATTTTTCAAAATTATGACAAAGTGTGAAAATCAAATGTTTCATCAGTGGTTGGAAGAGGATGAGATTAGCTTGCTTGTTATTTGTTTTTTTATTATAATATTCATTGTTGCTCAACTATATATTGTCATTATCATGACCATTGCCATGTTCTTCCCTGATTTTGAACTCGGGTTGCTGGCTGAGTATCAAGATGAATCTCTTTCCTCTTTCCGTGTCCATGCGATATATCTTGCTGTGAGAGACGGATTTATATTCCATATGGAAAAAGTAGCGGACAAGTAAGGGTTGTTGGCTGACTCGCCCACCTCCTGCTTGACTTTTTGGTGAATCTTCTACTATATGATGCTTCCCGCTTCATTTCTACATTCCTCTCTTCTTTCTGCCTCTATATTTGTTGTCCTTTTGCGTATGTAGTATGTGCACGTTAAAATAATGAAAAGTTGCATTCCTTTCAAACACCCCTAAATGCAATCTCAACACATTTGCATTTTTCAATAAGATGTACAGATCCTTGTATCCTGATGATGGGATGTGATGAAGTTGTTTCCCTATCACTACCAGCCCTTCCTAGTCATTTATGGATATCGAATTCTTTGGGTTCATTTTGGTTGCAGTAGCTTAAGAAATCTTTGATAAGTCATTTGTATCCCGGCGGCTTGCAGTAACTTAAGAAATCTTTGATAAGTCATTTGTATCCCTGCTGTTACTTAGTCAAAAAATGAAAAAAAGAATTTGTTTATCATTCGTTTTGGGGGGTGGATTCACTGCACCTTTGTATTGGACTTGCTAATTTGATGATGGATATAGCTGTAGATAGAGCTATCCGTAATTATTGTTAAATTTAAATTACTGAGTCAAACTTCGCATAATTACCATGATGAATCTATCACTCTATGTCATATTTATATATCTATGAAGCTGTATCAGAAACATTTCTAGGGTGTATTAGTTAGAATGGCCTTGGTTTAGAAGTGCTCCTCTATCTGCTCAAGTTGTAACAGGAAAAAAAAAACAGAGAGAAAATTTCATCCACACCCCCTCTAGTTAGGCATAAATTCAAAGACACCCCCTACCCATTCTGAATCTTCACTGCACTTCCTTCTGGTTTACACTTTAAATCAAAGACAACCCCTACAATGCATGAAGAAGATGATGACAATTGTAATTGTAATTTTAGTGTTACAGCTTTTGGTTGGAATGAAGTAGTTGCAGATTTATGTTTTTTGTTGTGCAAATCTGATGTTGTTTTCTATGTCCTTCACCTGGTTGTTCAAATATGATGCTTTTGTTCTATGTAAGTTCTATATAATATGACTGGTTGTTCTATGTAAGTTCTATGTAATATGACTGTTAAGCATTGCAGTTCTGATAGTCCATGAATGTTCAAATTTGCCTCTATTTCCATACATTCATAATACTTACAATATTTAGCATCCATGTGCAATCACAAACTATTTTGTTATGACATTTGCAGGTATTCTGCACAAAAATTTACAAGTTAAACCATCTGTTCTACACAAAAGTCCTACTCTATTCTTGTATTAAACCAACTATATTCAAGTATTCACATCAGGAACAAAAAACAATCAAAAAATTCCTTCATCTGCCTAGTCCAGCAGTTTGTGTCTCCCCCATGCCCTTGCCCCTGCCGCTGCCTCATCCTCTTCCTGTGTCCACTGCCTGTTAAATATTCTAGTTTTCTTGTGGCAAGCTAGGCTGTGTTGTTGTCCCTTCAATGTTCTGTTTTTGTGGTGGTAAGGAAGGCTGTGCTGGTGTTCCTCTTCCCGTGTCCTTATTTTTCCTTCCTCTTCCTCTGCCTACACCAGTCCCTCCAGTTGCAGATACCTAATAAGTATGGAAAAGTGAATTAGCAGCTTGTGTATTTTGTAAACTAAGTAACTAAAAAATTAACGAATTACTACCTGTTCATTTGTTAGTCCAATTCCAGATTCTGTTTGAGAAGCTATCTGTTCTGCCATCACAGGAGCTTACTGTTGTGCACTCACAGGAGCTGTCTGTTCTACCCTCACAGGAGCTCTTTGACATGTCCTCTTATTATGACCAAACTCTTTGCAAATTTTACATTTCACACTTAAAGACTTCCTAGCAAAGTTAGTTTGTGATGCTGGCTCATCTGCCTCCCTCCTGTTTTTTTTGGGTCTGCCTGAGACTCTTCTCAGAGGGGGAGGAGATAGCATATTACCAACTGCATGTGGCCATTTTCTCTGGTCTCGAACGGGGTGTATCATTAGTTCATGAGCTTTTAAGAATGTTTCTTTCTTAAAGAAATCATCACAGTATTCTTCAATATTCAACCTCTTGTGTGCAATTGCCTGTGCTGTATGCTTACATGGTATGTCTGATATATTCCAGGCCATATAATCACATTTTTTTTCATCAAGCACCACTATGTATCTTATCCCATTATCCATTATCTCATACTGCATTCCACCTGTGTGCACTACAGAATATGATCTTGACTCAACAATAATTTTGTTAAGTTTTTTTCTGACATTTTTTGTCAGTAACCCTTCCCAACTGTTGCCCCTCTCATGCCTCTATTGAATCCTAGTCATAAATTTAGTCCTGATGTCATTCAACAAATTAATAATAAACTTTGACCTCAAAGATCCTACCCAACTATTGAAAGATTCACTTAAATTATTCGTCTCATGATCACTCTTAATTCTGGTATCAAATGCATGCCTAGACCAGCAACTAGATGGCAGCCTACTCATCCATTGGTATACATCTAGGGACTTGGACTTCACCTCTAGCATAGCTTCATTGAAGTCCTTTTCATTATATGCTCTAGTTGCTTTCCAAAATAACCTTCTAAGCAAAACACCAGGAAATTTTGCCTTTAAAGTTACAAAATAAATGCCTACAACACCTTCTATGACTAGCATGTGGGAATTTATTCTTCAACACATGTTCAAGTCCCTGCCAGTCAATGCATAGGTAGTAATAGCAGTTAACAAAAATGTAGTAATAGCAGTTAAAAAAATGTAGTAATAGCAGTAAAAAAAAACAGTAATAGCAATAAAAGAATGCAATAATAACAGTACATACCTTTTCTTGATCAGACATGAAACAAAGTAGAGATGCATGGGGTCCACTGAGTTTTGCTAAATGACCAATGAAGAAATTCCAGCTATCATACCTCTTACTCTCCACTACACTAAATGCAACAGGAAAAAGACCATTGTTAGCATCTAGGGCAATAGCAGATAATAGAACACCACCATATAGCCCTTTCAAATGGCATCCATCAAGGCCTATGAATGGTCTGCATCCAGTGATAAACTCTTTGCTAAGAGCATTAAAAGCTATGAAAATCCTCTTGAAAGGCCTCTTACCATCTGCATTTTGATCATCAGTTTCTATGGCATCAAGACTACCCGGATTACTTCGAATGATTTCATTTCCATACTGCCTAACTTTCTCATAAGCTTCTCAGTGATTCCCATCAATGTCATCTAGTACTTTCCTCTTTGTTCTATAGCACTTCTGCAAATTTGTTTCTATGTGCAACTTAGCATTGATTGTTTCTTGAAGAGCAAGTACTGTCATTTCAGGATTACTACGTATTTCATTTTTTAATTTCTTAACAAGCCAACTGGATGTTGCCTCAGTATTGTAACTGTTTCTGACACGTGTGTGGACCTCTCAATGTTGTAATACTATATGTAACACAATCAGGAAGTGGAGATGCATGGATTCTCCAATTGCAGCCCTCATTTCCACAGTGGCATGTAATCCTTTTCTTCTCATTTTTATCCCTTACAAGCTGAAATCCCTCTTGCACAACATATTCTTTCAAAATCTCCCTGAAGTGATGAATATCCATAAACAGTTGACCAACATCTAGCTGCACTGTCCCATCAGGCTGTATTTCAAACTCTCTCCCATATCTGTTCATGTCAAATGTCCTTGTAGTAGCTTTGTGTCTTGATTTGTCCATATACATCATCAGATTCAAAATCAACATCATCACTATTTTCAGCTTCATCATTCCCTTGATTCTCCACACTGGCCAGACTCTCTACATGCTCCACATTGGCCAGACTCTCCACATTGCTCTGATTCTCCAAACTGCTCATATGATCCAAACTACCCACATTCTCCACACTGTTTCTATTAACAACAATGTTTCCAATTTCTTGTGGAATAACATGTATGTTTATGTGTTTTCTATTATTGTGTCTACTAAACATCTCCATTACATCTTTGTCATCATCTAATAACATTCTGTCATTTGAACAAGACAATTCACAAAATAATTTGAACACTAAGGTCAATGTTGATGAACACAACATAAATACTTTTGATAATAGGCGCACATGGCAATATTTATCTGGGTCAACGTTCTGTGCCATGTACTGTTGCCCATCAAAGTGTATGAACAAGTCAATCAACTTAGTAGCCATTTCTACAACAATTTCAAACACAATAGCACATTCAAGAAATGAAGAAAATCATCTATGTAACATGTTTGAAACAAGAAGGATTTGTAGAAAACGTAAAAAATTGAAACCCTAATTTCAACACTGTCATAAGCCCAAATATCTATGGATAATGCATTGGAAAACCCTGAACAATTAGGATAAACGATGAACAAAACACCCAAATCCATAAAATAAATTTAAACCCTAGATATAAAAAACGTAAAATAAAATCCAGGTCTATCCATACCCTTACTCAATATCTATGGAGAATGCATTAGAAAACCCTGAACTATGTTCAGTATGAGGATAAAAGATGAACAAAACCCCAAATCTGTAAAATATAAACACTAGATACAAAAAAAGTAAAAAAAAAAAAGCTGAGCTATATTCAAACCCTTACTCAACTATGTTCTCTGTCACTAACCTTGAACTATGTTCAGACGACAAAGATGAACAAAATCCCCCAAATCCATAAAAGATGAACAAAACTCTAGATACAAAAATACGTAAAAAAACACAAATTTTTTTGATACATACCACAAAATCTTTGATAGTAACTCTTCAAATCATTCGATGTTTGGAATCGCAAAGATCTTCCAAGCCTTCAACATTTTTCTTCCTTTTTCTTCCCCCCTCTCTTGCTTTCTCTCTCTGTTCTTGCATGAGACCATTAACCATGGAACGCACAGAGACACTTGGGCTGGTTTAGATTTAATAAATAGGTGGGGTTAACTAAACATAACCATAGTTTGTAGTATAGGTTAAATACATATACATACATAGTACATATAAAATACTGAGGGTTATTTTTGTAAATTAACCCGAGCCATTAACACAGTTACTAGACAATGCCTGACAAGGGGTGGCAGTGAAGATTCAGAATGGGTAGGGGGTGTGGATGCAATTCCCCCCCCCCCCTCCAAAAAAAAAAAAAGGATTATTTTATGTTTGTTTTCACTTTCGCATGAGAGTGATTTGTTGACAAACACTTTTATTTAAAATATTGCAGAGAAAATTCTAGGTTGGCAGGCAATGTTTCAGACTCTGAAGCTTATAAGAACAGTCAACCATCACCGGTTTTAACTGTTTCCTCTAATTTTGAGGTAATGTTTAGTATTTTCTATTACCTTGTGTTCTTGTCATCACCGGTTTCTCCCACTATATATATATATATATTATTTTGTCTATCTCACAGCACACACTTGCAGAGACACATGTAGGTGCAATTGCTATGAGACTGCTTTGCTTGGTTATTTTATGTTTACTCTTATGGGCCACAATTGATTTATTTTTTTTTTGAGGCAGAACTGAAAGGTATTTGATTCCAATGCAAAATTTTTGTTCTCTTACATTTTCTATATCTATGTTGTTTTTTTGTTAAATAGGAAAGACAGTTGGCTCTTATAGGAGGTTATCCATAGCACGTGGCATTTTGTGCAACTCTTTTTCTCATTCTTTAAAATGAGTTATCCTTGGCTCGATATATCTAGTTAATCCTCTAGTGTCTTTTTCTGCCAAATTCCATTTTGTAGTCGTACTCTAAGTTGTCTGCAAAATTCCTATAATTAATTTTAGACCTTTTGTTGTAGTCTATGGGTTAAGAGTAAATATCTAAACTACTTGCTTTGTCTTTTGTTGCTGTTTTTTTTTTTTTTTTTTCAATTTTTTCTCTGCGAAATGTTAACTGGTTTGTGTGTTATGAGCCATTTTAATGCCATCCTTGGAAAATAAAGAGCTTATTGTTATTTCTAGTTATACAGACAGATTTGATGTTTGTGATGTTATTTTAGGTAGAGATTGCTTACCACTCTATATTGGACCATATTTGTAGAGGTTTTGTTCAATTGATCTGTAAAGTGAGACAGCTTATTGACAGGTCACTGATCTTATTCATTTCTTTTTCATGCACAGCCAAGGAGATCACGCAGCACATCCCCCTCTTTCCTACCCACATCCAGTTCGATAGTCTTCCGTCCAGATGCTATCTTTGGATTGCTAAGAAAGGCGTATAAAGATTCTCATCTGGGAGCTGTTTGTAGATTGGTAATGTATCTGCTTTATTAAGAAATGTATATATATATATATATGAGAGTTCCTTTATGGGGGAAGATACTCACAAGGTGCACATAGTTCACAACGCACATCTCTTGGGGAGCTACCCTATATTTCTACTCTGCTGCTATATCTCAACCTTCAACTAGGTGTTCAATTTATGAACTATTCATATTATCGTGCTTTATTTCAGGCTTCTAGAATTCTGCTGAAGCTCATAGAGCCCATAACAGTGCAAAAACCATATATCCCTTCTCCCGATGTCACATCTTCTGTTTCTGAGGAGGCATCACGGTCTGAGCCATCTAACAATTTTCTTGTAGTTGATTACTCAAACTTGTTTGGAGATGAATTCCGGATAGCAGATGATCATTGGGACTCCAAGTATCTTAACCTATTAGATGTTGGAGCTGTGGAAGAAGGGGTTTTGCATGTTCTTTATGCATGTGCATCACAGGTGGGTTAGAATTTCAGAAATTTAATATGCCTGGAGCAGCTATATATATCCTTCATGTCTACATTTCGGTCTCCAGCCATCTTGATGATATACATATATGTTTGAATATATATGTTAACTTCTTATGTCTTTCAGCCTCTGCTCTGCAGCAAGTTGGCGGATAGCACTTCTGACTTTTGGTCGGCATTACCACTTGTCCAAGCATTACTGCCAGGTTTTATATTGTATACCTGTCCACCTTTCTGGGATTATTTCTCACAACTATTGTTTCAGGATTTTTGAGACTTTATTTAAAGTAATTTTGAACTATCAATTATTTTGATTAACAGCCTCTTTCACTAAGTACCCCCAGAACCCAACCCCAGCTCCCAATCCCAAAAAAAAAGCAAAGGAAAAGACCATTTTTTTAACTATCACATATGAATGTTATAATCAAATTCTATTGTTCTGCTACTACAATTGTTACTTCCAGTTGGGCGAACATATCTTTAAGATTATTCTGTCTTCTTGATCTGTGGTAGCGCTTCGTCCTAATGTCACTGCTCCTGATCAAATTGATGATAGTTTTCTCTCGATGGAGACAACCATTTGTACAAGAGGCCCTATCTCAGGTTTTCTTATTGTCTATAGTTATTGTGCCAGTTGTTCTTACTTCCAAATTATATTTGTGTCACCATTTTGGTTAAAATTGCAGATTGTGGCAACATCATGTTCCTCTGTTTATCACCCACTTCTTCATGCTTGCGCGGGCTACTTATCGTCATTTTCTCCATCTCATGTCGGTTACTTCTGCTTTATTTTTTCCTCTTCCCTTTCTTATTTGAAATGTCTTTTTGTTTGATTTATAGCAGTAGATGCACATATGTTTTACGATCTCTCTCTCCCTCCCCCCCCCCCCCCCCCCCCCAAAAAAAAAAAAGAAGAAGAATATGCACACTTACACACAAAAACATCAAAGCACAGCTACACTCACAGAAAAAATCAGCACACATAAAGGATGGCTCTTAATTTAAGGCAATCCTAGTTCACAAAGTGAGATGCACCTGAACTCCAGAAACTAGGACAACTTTAGTCACATATTGGGTCAGTTATCCTGGCAAGCTTGTTATGTGACCTATATAACTTACTGACATGGTGCGTAAAGGCATTCCATTCTTGGATCACTGAATCTCAGGTGAATTCGTTTCCTGATTTGTGGTTGTGTTGTTTCTCATGCCTAGTTACTACAAAAGCACTGGAGGAGCTTTGGCACCCATGATAATGACTATATAAAAATAAATTTTATTATTTTCTTACTGGTCTGCCCTATTATTTTTAATTTTCCATCTCGGTTTCAAAGTCATTATCTTGGTGACTTGGATATGCTCCCATGTAATACATTGAAATAGCATGCCAAATTATAGTGTATAGAAATGGAAATAAAAGTGAACGGCATGATTAACTATTGAAAAACTTCCAGTTTTAACATTCTAATACCAGCTAATGCTGAGTTTTTCTGTTCATGAAATTAGTGGGCCTCATTTGGAAACATATGGCTTTAATCTCAACTTCTCCCACAGGCTAAGGCTGCATGTGTCCTCATTGATCTGTGCTCTGGTGTGCTAGCACCATGGATGGCTCAAGTGATTGCCAAGGTTTTACACGTCATCATACTCTTGCTGCTATACTGTATGGGTTATGGCCAATATTTTTTGTGCAAATTTTCTCAGATTTGAGTTTCATTTTAATACAGGTGGACTTGACAGTGGAGCTTCTGGAGGACCTTTTAGGTGTAATCCAGGCATGTTCAATGATATTATGGATTTTAAATCACCTTTAGACTCCTGAATTACTTTTTAAGTTTTAACTACTTGAATAGAATTTTTTGCAAACTTGATTGTAAACCTGCTGATTGGCACGGGAATTTTAATGTAATAATACTTAGTAAAATTCTTGCTATTTTGTTTGTTCCCGTGAAGGCATATCCAGAAAGCTTGACTGAAATATTGATAAAAGGACTGAGTCACTGAGAATACCTAGATACGATCCTAATCTAGGTAACAAAACTATCTCATCTAAGAATGTGAAGGGATGCTTTGGTAGGATAGTACTGAGTCATGTTAATTTGTATCATTGATTATGAGCCTTAAGCAAGTAAAGACGTCTAGAAAGGGAGACCAATATCCTAGTATATGGACTTTTGAGATGATAGGGATTGGACAATTAGCAGCAAGAGGTGTTTTGTTGTATACTTTTTGATGCCGGGGCACACATTATCTTGAGTTTTGACTCTTGCGGCTCCAGTCAAAAAGGAGGAAACGGAAAACAAAAGAAGTCTAAAAGAAAAAAAGAAGTGTTGACCAATGTGGCAGAGCATGGTTCTCTCTGACCAAGCCATCCCATGCTCAACCTTGTGGGTGTATGCATTCAACGACAAGGTGCTAATTGCAGGATGGCTAGAATCATTAGTTCTGCATGAGAGACTAAACTACTAAGGGTACAAAATACAACCAAAAGTTTGACAAGGGAAGTGTCCATGAGCTAGGTTCCAAACAAGCTTTGACTGTGAGCCTTGAGTGTGTTGTATGCTGTCTGGCATATTTGTTATCATGTGATTATATTCTTGTTGCTCAAATCATCCCTTTCTTGACATGTTGGTATATGTTAAATGTCATACTGTTGTCTGACCTGTGTTAGGATGCTCGTCATTCGTTGGCTCGTGCACGTGCTGCCCTCAAATATATTGTGCTAGCTTTATCTGGGCATATGGATGATGTAATGACAAAATATAAGGTACTGCATCATGCTTTTGCCTTATTGTCAAAGCTTTGGGAAAAGAAGATTGTAAAACTATCTTTATGAGACTAGATTCTGAATTCCATACAGCCTTTGTTAAAATTTTTGGCTTTTTGTACTTTTGAGAGTAAATACCTTATAATTAACGTGGAGATATTTATTAGGTCAATCGGCTTAGCCTTTTCAACAGTCAGGTCTGTTGCTGCTTTTATCTTCAATGTGTGCATGTTTCAGGATGTTAAGCACCGACTTCTTTTTCTTGTGGAGATGCTTGAACCTTTTATTGATCCTGCCATAACCCGCATGCAGAGCATGATAGCCTTTGGAAATGTATCTTCAGTTTTTCTTGAAAAGCAGGAACACATTTGTACTATTGCACTCAACGTGATTCGCATGGCAGTAAAAAAATCTGCTGTTCTTCCATCTTTGGAAGCTGAATGGAGAAATGGATCAGTTGCTCCTAGGTAATAGAAACATACATCTAATTTTTGCTCTAAACTCTAATTTTAGAATTTATGTTATTGTTTTGCAAATGTAGAGGATTCATGTTCATATCTTGCTTTCACAAGTCTCCTTCTATTAGAGGCTAGGGATCAACCATGTAGTAGATAAAACTATAAGCACAACATCGAGGGGATGACCCTATATAGAGTAGTATGAATGCAAGCTTCCTGTATGCATTCCCAATTACATGGGGTAAATCGTTTGTTGAGTTCAACCGTACTTTTTGCTCAAAAAAAAACGAGTTTGACTGTACTTCAATTGTAAATCTCTGAAAGAACAATAGAAGTGGCTGTTGTAACTCTGAAGTAAGGATTGATTGCTTACTTGCTTTATGTACAAGCTTTAAGTTGTATGAAGTTTGTGATCTCGGAAAACTGAACTTATTTCTCAAGGGTCTCCTGATATAAGGAAAGGTTTCCATCAAGTGTGCTGTATCATCAGAATTTAATGGTAATGAATTTGTATATTTCTTCATGCAGTGTACTGCTGTCAATTTTGGATCCTCAAATGCAGTTACCTCCTGATATAGATCTTTGCAAGATTTCTGGTTCTGAGCCTCTGGATCCACAACTATCGACTGTTTCACCTTTTTCTTCTGTAATTCGATATGGAGGAGCCTCTTCAAAATCTAAGATCCAAGATGATGCTGATGGAAAAACAGATAATAGCACTGCCAAGATGGATAGTGCTGACGATGTAAGTTATCTTTTTGCTCCGCCAGAACTAAGAAGCTTGACACTTACAAATTTTTCTGGAAGCCCAGATGTAAAAAGCTATGATATGGGCCATTGCAATGCCAGCACAGAAGAAAACCATGTGGATGAGAAAAAAATGACCAACCAGTTTCACAACTTTGTGGTACCGGATGCTGGGTATGCTGTTGAATATTCTAAGTTGCATGCAGATCTTTTGCAGCTTATGAATTACAGAGATAGTGAGTTGAGGGCTTCTGAATTTAGGCGTTTGGCTTTAGAGCTGCACTCGCAGAACGAGATTACTCCCGATGGTCATGATGCAGCCATTGATGCCTTGCTTTTGGCGGCTGAGTGCTATATTAATCCCTTCTTTATTATGTCTTTCAAAAACACCCCAAAGGTTATCAATAATAAGAACATTTGCAGGACCGATGAAAAATTTGGGTTTGCAGATCTCAAAAAAGTTTTGGAAAAGAATGGTAATGAAATGGAAGCAGTAGCTCATCTCGAGAGGAGAAGGGACAATGTTGTTCTTCAAATTCTTCTTGAGGCTGCTGAATTAGACAGGAAGTATCGCAAAACAGTGTCAGATGGGCAACTTTCTGTCCCATATGCTGAAGGAAATGAAGGTGTCCAAAATATATCTCTGCATGATATCCAATCTGCAGATGCCATCACCTTGGTTCGACAGAATCAGGCATTGTTGTGCAATTTTCTGATCCAGCATTTGCAAAGGGAGCAACACTCCATGCATGAAATTCTCATGCAAAGTCTTTTGTTTTTGTTGCAATCAGCAACTAAACTGTTCTGTGCCCCTGAACATGTAGTTGATATCATATTAGAATCTGCTGAGTACTTCAGTGAGCTACTGACATCATTGTATTATCAGTCCAAAGAAGGAAATTTGCAGATTAATCCAGGTAAGTTACATGAGATACAACGTCGCTGGATGCTGCTTCAGAGATTGGTAATTGCTTCAAGTGGTGGTGGCGAAGGCCCAGAACTTGGAATCGATAACAAATATGGTTTTCAGTTTGCAAATCTGATTCCTCCTTCTGCCTGGATGCAAAAGATACCTTCTTTCTCTTCTTCTGCTTCCCCTCTGGTTCGTTTTCTAGGTTGGATGGCAGTAGCTCGTAATGCTAAACAGTATCAGAAGGAGCGCCTCTTCCTTGCTTCAGATTTGTTAGAGCTGACGTACTTACTATCTATTTTTGCAGATGAACTTGCTCTTGTAGATAACATTACTAAACAGAAAGATGAGAACAAGAAGATAGAGCAATCAGGATTCAAACAAGATTTTAGCACCGAAAAAGGATTTGAACATCCTGGTCAACAATATGGAGACCAATCTTTTCGTGCCATATACCCAGATATTAGTCAGTTCTTTCCCAATATGAAGAAACAATTTGAAGCTTTTGGGGAAATTATTTTGGAGGCGGTGGGATTGCAATTGAGGTCTCTTTCTTCTAATGTTCTGCCTGATCTCCTGTGTTGGTTTTCTGATTTATGTTCATGGCCATTTGTTCGGAAAGAGAAGGTCCAACTTTCTACTCAAAATAATTCTAATTATTTTAGAGGTTTTGTTGCAAAAAATGCGAAAGCAATCATCCTGTACGTTCTTGAAGCCATTGTAATTGAGCACATGGAAGCAATGGTGCCTGAAATACCTAGAGTGGTACAAGTGCTGGTATCCCTATCTACAACCTCATACTGTGATGTGTCATTTCTGGACTCTGTATTGCAGTTGTTAAAGCCAATCATCTCATTTTCTTTGCGTAAGGTGTCTGGTGAGGAAAACCTATTGACTGATGATTCATGTCTTAATTTTGAGTCACTATGCTTTGATGAGCTTTTTAGAAATATTAGACAATGTACTGGGAATGGAGGTAATCCAGCAGAAAAAGTATACAACAGGGCACTTACAATTTTCATTTTGGCCTCTGTTTTTCCTGATCTATCCTTCCATCGCAAAAGGGAAATTTTACAGGCCTTGATCTTCTGGGCTGATTTTGCCACTTTCGAGCCAACTACTACTTTTTATGACTATCTTTCCGCATTTCAGTCTGTTACAGAAACTTGCAAAGTTTTGCTGGTTGAGACTTTAAGAGTTTGGGGTGCCATTCCATTAAAGTTGCCATCCTATTCAGATTCGTGCACTGGTACACCCTATAATGATAGCTCTGAATCACATTTGTGGTTTCTCCATGACGTCTGCCAGAGTGCTTATCCAACCGAGGCATCTGAGAAACTGAAAAGTGAGAATGGTTTTGATGTTGTCTTGGATCAAAAGGTCTGTCAATTATCTGTTGAGGAAATTGGGAATTTGTCCAAAGACTTGGAGGGTCTCATTTCCAAGCTTATTCCAACTATTGAGCTTTGTTGGAAAATTCATCATCAGCTGGCAAAGACACTGACTCTCACATCTACGGAATGTTTCATGTACTCAAGATGCCTATCTTCAATTGCACAAAAAGTTTTGATTTTTACAGGGGTTGAGAAGGTGAATGTCCTTCCATCTGATTCAGTTGTCGAGTTCCCAGTTCATTGGAGTAGTAGTCTCGAAGGACTTGCTGAGATGATTTTGGCACTACAAGAGAACCATTGCTGGGAAGTTGCATCAGTGATGCTTGACTGTCTTCTTGGAGTCACCCAATGCTTTTGTTTGGATAATGTGATTGGGGCTGCGTGTTCTGCGATAAAGAACTTTTCAGGCAGTGCACCAAAAATTGCTTGGCGGCTTCAGACAGATAAGTGGTTATCAGTCTTATTTGCGAGACACATCCACAACCTTCATGAAACTGAAGTTCCCCTGCTTAATCTCTTCTCTTCCTTGCTTGGTCATCCTGAACCAGAGCAACGCTTTATTGCACTGAAGCACTTGGGTAAACTTGTGGGCCAGGATGTAGATGCTGGAGCGGGGTTGCTATTTTCTGCATCATGCAATAGATTAACTTCACCTGACTTTGTGACTTCTGTTTCTGAGCTGATTTTGTCTCCACTTGTCTCAAGTACATGGGATCAGGTAGCTGTGCTGGCCTCATCTGACACATCATTACTTTTAAGGACATGCGCAACGGCTCTTCTTATCAATTATGTACCATTTGCTGAGCGTCGCGAGCGACAATCTCTTCTTGCAGCAGCTGATAGAGTTCTTCAGGGTTTAACAAAACTTGCACACCCAATGCCTGAAGGCTCCCTAACACAAATTTCTTTAGCACTCATTGCTAGTGTTTGTCTGTATTCTCCAGCTGATGATATTTCTCTGATTCCTGAAAATGTTTGGAGGGATATCGAAACATTAGGAATGTCAGAAACTGGTATGCTTCTATTAGTTCTATTTGTATAATATCAATGAAATTCAGTATGACATTGTCAAAAGCGTGCTCCTTAATATGTCTTCCCTTTCATTCCTTTTCTCCCCTTTTGTGTTTGTAGATGGAAACTGTGGGAATCTTGAGAAAAAGGCTTGTCATGCTTTATGTAGACTGAAAATTGAAGGGGACGAGGCTAAAGAGGTAAGTGATAAATAAGGCTAAAGTTCTGGTGTATTTTATGAGGGTAGATAATATCAAATACCTACTGGCATGCCGTATTGTAAGGAAACAAATTGGTTTGGTGTTTTAACTCTGATTTAGTTATCTTTTTTTTCCCCAGTAACCAACTCTGATTTGATTGTTTTGCTACATACTAACCTCGTAATTATTCCATGAACCACATTTTACTATGTAAGATCCTTAAAGAAGTGCTATGTTCAAGTTATTCCAAACATGAGGACCCAGCTTTTACCAGCACACGTGACTCGATTCTTCAGGTATGGTAATTCTAATTCCCTAAAGAGCTTTACTGAATGAGATTGATGAAGAAAATTCTTGTTTCTACTGCATCCGATTCTCAATTATGCGTAAGCTTTGCTCAAGGATAAACAATTTCTTGTCAAATGCATGCTGCATAAGAAAAAGGCATTCACACACACTTTTCCTTTCGGTGTTGTCTATCTTTTTTCTGTTTTTTATTTGGTCGGTTTGAGGTAGTCTCTAAAGATGTAATCAAACTCAGACTTTACTAGTTGGCTCTCCGCAATGGGAAAATATATGTTGATACAATTAGCTTTGAACCACGTACTAGAAAGTTGAGAGTACATGGTGAATGAAATTTGGGAAAATTTTATTAGGTTGGCATTCAATTTGTTGTCATTGGCCAAGGTTTTATTGTCAAAGCTTCTTTCTGATCTCCATTGTGCTCCAAAGCTCTCTCTGTCTGTCCCTCATTTCTCCCTCTCCAACTCTTTCTTCCCTCAAACAACACGTAATATTGTTGCATTGATTAAGTTTTAGATTCTGTAAATCTTTTCACATGCAAGAAATAAGAGAGGAAGGTCCATTGGATACTTGTTTTGCTAAATGATAACTATGTTCATCTTCTAGAGAGAGAAGAGAGAGATAGAGGAGAAGAAAAAGGTGACTGTCTTACCGTAGAACTTGGACGCCAGCCCTATATTTATTAATCAACGAGATGTTACAAGAATACCCCTAATAATATTAACTCTACTAATTCTAATACCCCTCAAGTTGGAGCATAGATATCAATCATGCCCAGTTTTCTTAAAATTGTCTTACCCGAAGACTTAGCAAACCTATCTCATCACTAAATTTTGACCTAATAAAGAATTGGATAATTTTCTTCCACATAACATATTTCAGATAAAGTTCACTTTGCTTGGTTGTCATGAAATATGAAATTATTGGCAAATTACATAGCAATTTGATAAACAGTACATTGCAGGCTTGTACTAAGAACCATAGTTTTTTTTTTTTGGTACTAGGAAGACTAGCTCCTTCAACAAGGATTTCACCCACAATCTCTCACTAGCTGTCAGAGCCAAAGCTTTACACTTGGCCTTTGCAGCATATATCTTCCACATTTTGTTTCTTACTTTTCCATGTGACAAGGTTGCAATGAACGAAAGTGCAGAACCATAACACAAGCCTCCAGTCTAGATGATTGCCTACCCTCTCTTTATCAGAAAAACTGATTACTTCCACAATGTTAGAAGGTTTTCGAACTAAACCCTTAGCAGGTGCATTCTCCCCATATCTTAGAATGTTGATTACAGCATCCCAATATAGCTTCATTGGATACTGCATAAACTGACCACTCACCCCCATAGCGAAAGTAATATCTCTAAGTGTGACCGTCAAATAGATTAGTTTAGCCACAGGTCCTCTACATGTATCTGAATTATCAAAAGTTTCTCCTGCATCTTCATCGAACTTGGTATTTTAATTCATTGGAGTATGAACTCTAGATTGAGCCCCCATCATACCCATCTCACATAGAAGAATCCTTCTTTTGTGATTATGATACCCTGGAAGTGGAGTTCAACAAATTTATAGCCTACTTACACAGAAAAAACAAATTTATAACCTCAATATTGTTACCAGTGGCCATTATGTCATCTATGTGGATAACAAGAGTGATAATGCCTAGTTGAATTATAGATGCTAATGGGTGAAAAGAATCATATCGGATCATTATGCTTCTTGACTAAGTTTATTGAGCCAAGCCCATCAATTGCTTTCTTTGACTTGCAGACATCAGGCGAATTTCCTTGAGCATCATATTCAGGAGGTTGCTCTCTGTGTGCCTACTCCTAAAGGTCACTATGAGGGTATTGAGGGAAATCATTTTTTATTTTTAGCTGATAACAATATACAATAAAGTGAAGCCAAGTCATGGGAGAGGAAGTTTCAAAATAGCAAACACCAAAAGTTTGGTTGTAGCCTTAAGCACTAACTCGACCTTTAAACTCTCAACAATACCATCAAGATGATACCTAACCACAGCATGAATAAAATGAAGACAAGTCATGGGATTCAAAGTTTCAAAATAACAAACACCAAAAGTTTGGGTGTAGCCTTAGCCACCAACTCGACCTTGAACCTCTCAACAAAGACCATCAAGATGGTACGCAACCACATAAACCCATCTGACACCCTACTGCATGGTTCCTTAGAGACATGTTAATTAACTCTCGCGTATAGTTCTTATGTGATGGAGACATCTCCTAACCCATAACTCACATTCTACGAGGAAAAGCTAATGCCGGACTATAAGAATGAGAAACAAAATCAACGGACAAAGTACTAGCAAAAGAACAAAATTGAGGAGGCACGAGAGAAAAAGAAGCAACCTTATAAATTAGATGTCAAGCTCAAGTATAAATGCTTTACGTCCTAGCAATATCAAGATCAAAAGAAGAGGAACCAACTTATAGAACAAGGATGCAGGCATCTCTTCATTCCTTATGGTCTGTGGTCGTCTGGGATATACCTAAAGTGGTTTACACACTGCAGTAGAAGTCATGGGAGCACTACTTGAGGAATGGGATAAGGAATTGACGAAAACTCAATCACGCACTAATGGAATAGGAGAATGGCTTCCTTGATAGAAGATCACATTAGCTCTGACAATATAAAGGTCAGATTGAGGACAACTCCAACATCTGTACAAAGATTCATTTAACAGTCCATGGACTTCTTGTTCCCTGGCCAAGCATAAGACAAATACAACCGAATACCCTTAGATGTAAAGCAAACAAAAACTTATTAGGATACAATACAATAATATTGAGTAGGAAATACCCCCACCGAAGAATGAAAGCATCAATGATATAAATAGGATAATAAATTGTTGCAATTGCATTCCCAAAAATTTTAGGAACACTATTTGAATAATTACAGTTCAAGCAACCTTAATAAGATGTCTATTTTTGCTTTATGGAGGCATTGTCTGTTGAGGAGTATAGCCACTGGAGGTTTGGTGTACAATACAATAAACATCACAATAAGACTAAAGTGGTCTTTTATTATATTAAAAAGGATTAGTTGATTGTAAAATAGATATACCATATCTAAACTGAGTTGCAGATTCTGTGGGAAACAATTCAAATATAGGACCAATATCTTAATGATGTAAATGATCTTTTATTAAAATATATCTGTCTGATAAGGCACAAAATACAAAAAACCTAGTAAACTCTCCTGCTGAGACGGACTCCAAATGTCAGATAATACTAACTCAGAAGTAGCGCACCGACAATTATTCTTACCAAACTGGCAAACTCTGTAGCTCGACTTCTAACCAAAGTGGCTCACCATATTATATTTTCTTTTTTCAATTTATTATTATTTAGTGTGTGCCGAGATTCCCTATTGTTTGGAATAATATCACTAGGTAGATGATAATTTTAATCCCTTTGCTTATTTTTTACGAAAAAATTCCGGAAACATATAGATAAAGCAATCATAACACGCTTGAATGAATCACCCATTTCTTTATATGTTGTTTTTGATTTTATATTTATTGTACTTGCTATTTTGGCTGCTGGAATTTATGTATGTTGTCCATGAATTTCTGTATGTCTTGTTCACAATGCTTTACTTTCTCTTTTTTTTTTTTGTTGGTGACAGGTCGTTGCCAATTTAACTTCTGTCCAGTCGTACTTTGATTTCTTCTCAAAGGAGAGTGACCAGAAAGTTATGGTAAACTTTGGTGTCAGTGTATCTTTTGTTTCTGTTCACTTTCTCAATTAAGTGATTTAAGTTGAATGTGCTTTAGGAACTAGAAGAGGCTGAAATGGAAATGGATCTTATCCAGAAAGAACAGGCGCTGCAGGAGCCAGCAAATGAATTCAAGGATAGACATCAGCTTCCTTTTCTAGCCTGTAATAATATCACTAAATTAATCATTTTATCAAAACCTTTTAAGAATAAGGATATATTCAACAACAATTTATTACTTTCTGTTGATATCTTTTTATGCCAATTTTTGTTGTCCAGCTTATGGAAAGGATGATAACCGCCTTCAGCAAATCAAGGATGGCATCAGATCCCTGTATGCACCATATTTACTTCTATTGATATGTAATTGAGTGCATGTAATTTGAAGAGAGGACAAGAGAAAGATAAATGTTAATATCTACTCTTGATGGTGGGCATCAATGATCAAAATTTAGTTTCAGTGCATTGTTTCAATCAACCTAGGACATGGAAATGTTTAGGAAACAACAGCATGGAAATGGAGAAAAACATTGAAATTTTGTTTTCAAAACATTCTGAAACATTGGTCGAAAAATACCCAAGTACTTTGAAACACCACGAAATATTCCGAAACACCTCGGAAATTGGAATTTTGATATTCAATCACTGGCTTATTTCGGTTTCCATGTTTTGGCTGTTTTTATATGAAATTTTGATATTTGGTTGGCATCTTTACTGAGTTTCTGTTATTCTGGTCCTTCCTTATGTGTTCTGATCTATTTACATTCCGAAAGACTTGTGACCCAGTAGCCGGTAGCCAGTACTACTGATTTGGTGGGAAAAATCTGGTTATTAGTGTTCCCTGCATCAAGCACTAAATTTCATATACTGTATTTTCCCTACTTTTTGTGTTTACTAATTGCTATAAATGCCATGAGAGTTGCAGTCAATTTTCTGTAGTCCTTTCTCCCACTCTTTAATATTTGAGTTTTCTTTTCTAACCAGAGAAAAGGCCAAACTCCAAGAAGAGATAATAGCCCGCAGGCAAAAAAAGTTACTCGCAAGATGTACCCGTCAGAAATATTTAGAGGAGACAGCTTTACGAGAAGCAGAACTTCTTCAAGAACTTGATAGGTTTTACCTTTTGGTCTTCATTTGGGTTTTTTATTGTGATAATTGTCTTGGCTATATATACTTTTGTGGTCTTAAAAATTACCAATGGTCTTTTGATCAGAGAGAGGACGGCTGAAGTAGAAAGGGAGGTTGAAAGACAACGATTGCTGGAACTTGAGCGTGCAAAAACCAGAGAGCTGCAGCATAATCTTGAGATGGAGAAAGAAAAGCAAACCCAGGCAAGAACAGAAGATACATTGGTTATCCTGAATCAAATTTACTTGTTTAGCTTTCTTTTTCCCAGAAAGTAGTGCTTTTCTTATTATGGTATCCATTATAATAGTAAAAAGTAGGGTAAACATGGACTAAAGCTTAGGTAGATTTGGGACCATAATACTTCCAAAATCTCCCTCTCTCTCTCTCTCTCTATATGTATATATCTCCATTTTGATACTCCTGGATATGCATTTAGTTTGCAGGTTTCAGTTCTTCCTACTTTCCTAGTGGCAGAAACCCCCACCCCCCCAAAAAAAAAAATAAATAAATAAAGCATTAGTTGTTATACACACCCACAAACATTAGCAGGTATTCATTAGTCTATATGTTTCATGTCTCAAGGTTCAAACAAATTTGCCCCTCCAGAATTTTGACTGTCACTGTCTTAGTGGTGGGATTGAACGTTGACCTCCTACTCTTGATTAACCCTGTTCAGCCAAATTACCATTTTGAATTACAGTGGCCTTACTTGTCCTTCTGGTTTATTATATATCGGAATGAAGTAATTGTTATCCATTATAGTTGGGGTCTCCTCCACATCAAAATGATTTCCTATTTTTGTCTTCTGTTTCTTCAAATAGTATGGATATTAATAGTGATTAGTGTAGTTTGTGATTAGTCTCTTAACTTTGAATTGAACTGAGTTTTTGTTCAAGCATGTCTGTTGTGGACTTTTGAATTTTTCCAGGCTTGAACAAACTAGAACACAGACTCCCATTTACCATATCATGAATAATCATGTTCATTTACATATGATTTCATGCGTCTTATCTCACTTGTAATCATTATCTCCTATTTATTGTTTCTTGTTCTGGTTTAGATAACTCTCACATTTACGTATTTGTAGTTTATTTCCTTTCATGTCTATATATTTACCATTTTGTGCATGAACTTCTTGTGCAATCAGATCTATTAGTAACTTTAGACTTCCAATGGTATTATAGCTCAGGTCAACACGAATGTGAATCAAATGAAAATGAAACATCAATTTGCATACCACTTTCCATGATTTCAATTGTTTGCATTTACAATTTTGTTCCATGAAGTTGAGTAATTTATTGCATTCTATTTCTATTAATTTTTTAAGATGACAGCAACTCACCATATATCCTGAATTCCCTAGATAAGTCGTGGAATATTTAGGATTTTTATCATATGGCCTATATTTCAAATTACCAAAAATTATTCACTGAAATCTAATATTTTTTTGTACTTGTACAACATACATTGAGTCAAACTTTCAGCATGGGGTTGCCACTTTTATTTTCTGCCACCCATCAGGTTTTGTTGAATCATTCTATTTGTTTGTTACCCTAACGTCCATCACATTCTATTTTTTGATTTTATGCTTACGTGAACGAATTTTTCAGTTGGATTCGACCTTATGACTAATTCTAGGCTTAACCAATATCTCTATACCTTAGCTTGAAGGGCAATAACATTTGCAGAAAGTAAAAGTACCATTTTTTTTAACTTAAACTGATTCCATTTGTTGCCATTAAGAATTTTGTTTCTCAATTGACCCCATTTTTGTTCTTTTCACTAGTGGTTATCTTAGATCCTAGTCTCTTTAGACGACTTGTAGAACGTATCAATCTTTCATGTTTAGACTATTATCAAGTCATTTCTCTTTGAATCTTGCCAGCATTGGTTGAAACAAGTTGATAATCGCTGTTCATTTTGAGTGAGATAGTGAAAATTAACTTTGAATGAGATGGTAGAAAAAGATATGATAGTTCACAGTTTAGTGGAAAATATGATCCTTGATAGAGCACAATGGTGACACATGATGCATGTATATATACCCCAAATAGTTGGAAATATGATTCTTGGTAGAGCACAATGGAGAAACATGGTGCATATATCTGTACCCCAAATAGTTGGGATAAAGACTTTGTTGAACTTAGTGGAGTTTTTTGGGTAAATAATTGAGTGGAGTAGAGTTGAGTTGAAATAATTTTTTTGTTCCAAATAGTAGTTAAACTCTTTCATATCGCTTCATCCATTTTAGTAATTGTTTTCAATGTAATTCTTTGCATGAATCTGTTCTTAATTCTCAATTCCTTACACCTTATGATTCAATTTGTGCAATGTCTCTTTTATATTTTGTCTTATGACCTTCTCTAATTTCTACAGTTGCTCATGTATATTCATGACTATGATCAACTATTCAACTGTATATTATCTGGCTTTGTGTTTATGGGTTCATTGTTTTGTGAAATGGTAAAATGCTCAGGTTATCAAGCATGAGAACATGACTGTGAGTATAAAAATGATTATTTCTCGAAAAAGAAGCTAAAGGTTAGGTTGGATATAATACCCTCAAGCGGAATGATCATTACCTTCATATTCTTTTGAAGAATGCTGTGGAAATAGTATCTTATATTATTAACAATAAGAAAGTTAAATAAAAGTAGCATCTTCTAGGTAGTTTTAAACTGGTTTGTACATATTGATTTTTATTTGGGCTATTTGTATCTTTCTTAACGTTCAAAGTTTTTTTCACTTGTAGAGAGAACTCCAGCGGGAACTTGAGCTAGTGGAATCTGGACTCCGACCATCAAGAAGGGAGTTTTCTTCCTCAACTCATAGTAGGTACGCCTCATATTAATTTAAACAACCTTGTGGATTTTTTCTACTTACGTATGAAAAGATTCTCTGAAGCTTTTCCCATGAATCAATTGTGGAATGTTGTGGCACCTTGTTTGATGCATGGTAGACACTTTGTTTTGTTGGATCTCTGGGCTTTACGGTCTGGGAGGTTATATAGAGTTTGTTTATGTGTCCGAGCCTGTTGGTTTGAAAAGTGCAATTGTTCAGAATCTGCTATTGCAACATCCCTTATTGTACATTGTATCTGGGCATGAAGGGCTGTTGAACGATCTGAGCAGCGCAAGCTCGACTTGGTTTTGCTTGTTCAGACTCGTTTAAGTTGCAAAATGAAATGAATCTTATTAGATTATAATCTTGTTTTGTAATCAAGCCGAAGATGAGCAATGCGTGAATCGACTGGAGTAGGCTCAAGTCAGCTTGACTAGGCTCAAACAGGTTCTTGTCTATATCTGTTATCTTATAACTAAAGCAATCCCTATTTGAAAAATTAATAACCCCAAAGTTATCTTAAATAGCTCCAGGTCATGTGCACTTCTCTATCTATATACAAATCTTAAAAGAGAAATGTATTATTTTAGGATTAATTATTATGTTTTAAGGTTTAATTGTTTGAGATTTTGCTGACTAATTGAGCTCGGTTTCGGCTTGAATGCGCAAGCTTCTACCAAGTTGGGATTGAGCAAGAATTTAAGCTCAAAAGGTGAGCTTGGCTTGGGTTCAAGCTCAACCTTTCACAACTGAGCCGAGTTTGAGTATGTACTCTAACCAATTGACACCACTACTTGTATTTGTCTTGTCAAATATAGATCTCTTAGAGAAATAATTGTTTGTGGCGCAACTGAGAAGATGGAAATACAAACCTAAAAAATCTTTTTCCAGATAAAGCAGCACTAATGGAGGACCTATTGATTTTACTTTCAGGGGCTATTCAGAAGTATCTTATACTTTAAAAAAAGGTTTTGAAAAAGTATTCTATTTTTCCTAAACAGCAAATTTTGAATAAATGAATCAGTAAGATATGGTGTTTAATTTGACAATTGCAAATTGGACCCAGTCCCACTGAAAGGGGACAATTCCTTTAGGGGACAACCAGGGGCGACACTAGCAAGTGGGTTCAGTCTATAGTGAGAGAACGTTTCCACCGGAGGGGTTTGTCTCCATGGAGTTAGTATTTGTGATGGCTTAAAGCACCATCATTCACCATCTCATACTTTCCTTTCTTCAGTATCTGCTTTCGATCCAAGAGATGTCGGTAGAAACATCAGCAATTCCGAATTGGATCAGGCGGCAGAACAACTCAAAAGATAAAGAAATATCGTTAACTTATTCATGCTTGTTCTGTGCTGAACAAAAAGGTTTTAGGAAAAAAAATATATGATATTTGCCGCCTAACATTATAGTCCATAGAACACATGTTGGTATTATTTCTTCAGTAGAATCAACCCACCTCCTTTTGATTCTATGAACAATATTATCTCCAGGCTCTTGCTTCGAGTAACTGGGGTCCTGGTAATGGAATTGTTCATGCTTTGGTTGTTTTTGGTATCTCGTAATGCTTTTCCGAGATTTTTTGAGTTCTTATAGCAGAATATAGAAATTCATACCCACAGGATGGTAGCATTAAGGAAAAATCTTACAATTTATACTACATTTATAGAAGACTCCATCCTTGACATGGTGGTTTCTCGCTCCTTTATGCAGCCGGCCGCGGGAGAGATACCGTGAAAGGGAAAATGGAAGACCAGTTAATGAGAGCATCTTGAGAACCAGTAGTGGCAGCTTGCAGCCTGAGACTGTTACAATGTCATCCATGACATCCACACCAACAGTTGTTTTGTCTGGGTCTCGGTCGTTTTCAGGCCAACCTCCAACCATTCTACAATCTCGTGACCGTGCAGATGATTGTGGCAGCAGTTATGAAGAAAATTTTGATGGAAGGACGGACCCAGGTGACACAGGTAGTGTTGGGGATCCAGACCTAGTATCGGCACTTGAAGGACAGTCTATTGGGTTTGGGCCTGCCCAAAGGCATGGTTCTAGAAGTAGCAAGTCTCGGCAGATCATGGAGCGGAGAGAACGGGAAGGCAGACGTGAAGGAAAATGGGAAAGAAAACATTAGTAAATTATTTTGTGCTGTGAAACTCAAAGTGTATTGCTTTCCTCAAAATTCGGTGCATGAGCATGAAGATATATGCACTGGCGTATGGAGGGTCTGGTTTGCTCAGACAGGAAAATAGTACAGAATAGATCTCACGAGGGGAGGCCTTTGGTCGAAGGTGAAAGGTCATTTGGCAAATGCAGTATCTTTGGAAATACGTAAGTAGCCCTTGTGAAAACTTATCTATTTATGTTGTTGGAGCTTCTGTTTTGTATGACATGAACAATCAGGCATTATTTTCCTCATCAAGTGCACAAGACTTATGCAGCCCCCTCTAGGTCAAACTACGTCTGTTCCAGCATGTGGGGAGGATCATTAGCACTCAATGTAGGCATCGTGAAAAACTTACCAGGATTGATTAATATTTAATACTAATTAAATACTGCTAGGGGGCAAAAAATAATATTACGCTAGGGTCTATTTGAACCATCTATGATTGTTCCATATTTAGAAGGGTACTCTTTGCTATAAGCAATGTTTTAGTCTTGAGTTTAAAATTGGTAATTGCAGTTACTGTAGTTGTTCAAATATTTACTCACAACACGTGTAATTAATGTAAATATATAATGAATTTTGAAGGTATTTTTTGGTGCTACTCTTGTTTAAAATAGGAATGTGCGAAAATGCCCGAAATTGGAATTCTGATTAATAGTGAGAAGCAACCCTTTTGTGGAATTGTCATAGGAAGGATGAGCATTGATACCAATGATGCGAAAGGGAGGAAAAAAATGGTGAAGTTGAGTGACACAGAGAGCTGAATAGAGAGACAGAATGGGAACCGCCAAGTCAACTGCTGGATGAGTGAGAAGAAGTGAGGGGTTTTTTTTTTTTAAAGGGCTGGGGGTGGGGGGGTAAGAAAAGGGAAAGTAAGAAAATTGAGTTACATTGCAATCATCTGGAGCACATTTCCAAAGCTAGACTATTGGTTTGATATAAATCAATTGCTTTAAAATTCATAAATATATGAAAGCAAATTCCAGCATCCTTGAGCAAAAGAGAGAAAAGTAAAGCAAAATTTCAGAAAGTTCATGGGCAAAAAACAAAATCCCACCTTGATGGAGATTTCCTTTTAATTTTCTTCCTCTTCATGTCAGCTGTGGTAAATTTTGTTCATATAGAAGGAATTTCATTTATGTTTCTTGGGGTCCTCAAATTGGACTCCATTGCAGTTGCTATGTTATGATGTTGCAGGCAATTGTCTTGAATAATTTCAATTTTACAAGCATAATCCTCAAAATCTGTGGCTAGAAGATTGATCTGTATGCTCAAACACAAGTATAAACCTCTACAAGTTTAGTATATAGTGGTTAGCTTGTGCAAAGTCCCAAATCTGGAAAATTTCTTATTTAAACCCCTAATCCTCTCATTGTTATGTGCCTTCTTTGTTGAAGTTCCTTAGAACTTTTCCTGTTCTGTAATCTGATGTTCTTGGCTTGAACAGCAATCAATCTAGTCCTAGTTTAATATTTTTCTCCATAAACCCATCATCTATACTTTCTGGTTAGTGACTGACTTCTTTACAACTTAACTTGAAGACAATTTTTGTCTTCAATTTCAAGTGCAGCAGGTTGAGTGGTGAATAATTTTTTTGTCGGCTCATGAAACCACAAATATTGTATGCAGAAATCTTGAGAATTCCTGGATATAGATCCTCCCCCCAATACTAAATTCCATCAATGTTGGATCGATCATCTATCATGAATCCAAGTGGAATAAAGTATATTCAAGTGAATCTAGGGCGGGTGATCTAGTATTGAAAGGATTGATGGAAATTAATATAGTACTATCAAGTTCAACACAAATCATATTTGAAACTCATTTATCTATATAATAAAGTACAATACAATTCAAATATCAAAAGATAAACAAAATGATTTTTGTTATTTGTAGATGAGATTTTTTTAATTTTATTTTAAAATTAATCTGATAATTAATATTAACACTCTAAAGGGTGTGTTTGAGGTGATTTGTTAAAAGTGTTTTTAATGTTTATAACTTCTTATAAATACTTTAAAAAAAAGTGTTTGGAAATCGTCTCACCAACACTTCTACCACCATTTGCCCCACCACAATCACAATTAACATCACTGTCGCCATCTTACAACACCCATCGCCCCACTACCACCGTCATTGCCACCACTACTGTCACTCTACTATCACCTCTTCCACAATAACCATCACAATCGTCCCACCACCACCACCCCATTAGTGCCCCACCACCACCACCATTGCTGTCAGCTTACCACTACCACCACTATTCCACCATCACCCCTAATGCCCCCCAACCACCATTCGGCGGTTTAAATCACAAAAATAATCTCTCCACACACTAGTTACATTCAAGCATGTCCCATGAAGACATGTCGTGTATTGGGTTGTCATTACCATATGGATGGCAGCAATCAAAACAACCCCACATCCACTGTATTAGTATGTCATCGGGTTTAAATTACAAAAACAATCTCTTCAGGCACAATTTACATTCAACTATGTCCCATGAGGACAGGTGTCGTGTATTGGATTGTCATTACTATATGGATGGTTCGTAATATATCAGTCTTCAAGATCTGGTAAGGATTGGTACAAAAGGACCAAGCTCTCAACATCACTAAAAGGAAAAATCTCAAGTTTAACATACACCTTTCTCTTCCTCCATGGATTTGTTGGAACAGCAAGGCTGTTATTAAAGTCGGACTTGAAGCGATAACAAGTGTTCACTCACCCAAGCAATATGGGTTACAATACGAGATCTATTCTTTCGAAAATGAGGATAAGACCATCTGCCCCTCACTTCTAGAGGGGAACCTTACACTAGGCATTTTTCTTCTACTCTGCCAACCCTATTGTTTTGTGAACTGATCAATGGACTACCACAACACTCCTTGCGTTAGCAAAAGATGCTTTGGTTTGAATTACTTGCAGACAATTAGAATTCTTTATGTACACGCTAGAAAACAGACAAGTTGTCACCAAGGGGAGACTTCGGTGGCTTGATCTCACACGATATGGTCGTACCCAATGCATAATACTTCTACGTGTGAAGAGGTCTGATAGAAATAAGTGATACACAACCTTATCAACTTTGAAGAGGCTGATTCCCGAGCTTGAACTTGCCACGTATTGGTGGTCTAGTCTCACACTCGTGGGCTCAAGCAAAATACTCCCCCTCCCCCCACACAACCACCACCACCACCAAAAATGGTTTAAGTTCTTCCATGAATAATAATGTCAGGTAGATCGCATTAAAGCATTAAAAAGAAAAAAAAAAGGCAAAATGGCATAATTCTTAAAGGATATAATGTAAACGAGATGATCCTGTACACAATCCCAAATGTTACAACAGTATGAAGAAGAGCTTCCTCAAGTTCATGGAACTTAATCACCATCAAATATAACTTTCACCAGGAATGGCGGTTCACTCTCCTCATTCTCCTACGGAAAGGTTTGCATGCCTCGATGCTCAGATCAACGGCAGCTGCAAGAGCCATAAAGATGGCTGCGTCCTCCACACACGTCACATGTCGCATAGCAAGTTGCACCAATGGCTTGCTACATTTCCCTTCCCCTTGCACTCTACAGCTCATGACAAACCCCCCAACAGCAGGACTTAGTGCTGCAAAGTCTCCACTGCTTTGTGGGCTTGGGACTGGAGTTGCCACTGCTCGAACCTGTCTGTCAGTATCTATGAAAAACTCTCCACCCTTTTCAGCACCGATGAGTATCTCAGACATGAGAAGCTCTCCTCCTTCCTGCCCATCGGATAGAAGGTGGAAACGACAGCAAATGGAGTCTCTGATGCCACGTTCACGCCATGCCTCGAGTTTTCCCCATGGAAGCCAGCTCTCAGGCCTGCAAGCATCAGGGCGAACAATCAACCAAGCTCCTGGGTTGGATTTGGCAACCCAATCACAACCTGTTGATGGCACAAAGGGGGTCTTTATGAAGGCTGCTGCAACAACTGAGCCAGAGAGGTCGTGTATCGTCACCTTCCATCCCTTCCTCTCTCTTCTCTCTATCTCCTGGTCCAAACCGTCAGCAGAACTTGACCAATATGTGCTCAAAGGATCTGCCTGGGATACCCTGTTATTCATAATAACTGACCAGTGTTACACAGGGGTCACCTAGTCATTGGAAGACCAGCATTGAGTTTTGCATTTCCAGTACTCATATGTAAAACCACTTTCAGGCATTACGTGCTATGGCTAAGCAGAGGACATTGTCAGATGGCCGAAAATATATATATAAAAAAAAAATGGAAATAAGAATTTAAAATCCCATGATATAGTTTGGGCTATTTTGCTGAATTTTCAAGCATCCTCTCTCTCTCTCTCTCTCTCTCTCTCTCTCTCTCTCTCTCTCTCCCCCCACCCCCCACACACACACACAAAACCAAAAAAAAAAAAAAAATCTATATTTTTCTGTTCCCACAACTTCTTGACAAATCAATTGGATTTTCAAGAAGGACCACAGTATCCTTCCAAAAATTTCAGTGTTCCAAAAGTTTTGGGTTGCTTTCACCCAAGTGCCCATGCATATGCCCAAAGTTGAACCAATTTGGTGAATTGCTCAACAACAGGGACCAGCATTTTGGGAAAGTATTTTAACCAGGAAAACCAACCATGCAACATAAATCAGAGCTAGTATGTAAACAGATAACTTTAATGACAAATTACAAGCATTCCATAAATTTTATGCAACCCAGATATCTTGCAGCTCTTCTATAAGTTTCAGGTGATGGTGAAAATATAGAATAGATAACATAATTAAAGCATATCACCTGTCTCGACTGAACTTGCAACTGAAGATTGGTTGCCTAATTGTGCCCTGAAGCTGAACTATCTGGGGACTCAATTTAGTCTCATCTTCAAACTGGAAAACATATCTGGGATCAGGATCCAGTTTCACCCTCAAATGAAGCTCTGCTCCAGGTTTTCCAGCCTCCTGTTTGTGCTTACCAATGCTTGTCCAGCCATTAAAAAGAATAACTGGCTTGCCTTCACCCCAATCAGGACCCACTTCCAACTTAAACGTACCAATCTGCTGCCTTTTGATACCAACCCCACAATGAGAACCCTTCCGCCCTGTGAAAACAACTATCTCCAGATGTGCATGAGGGGCATAGAAACAACCAGGTGACAGCAATGCTTTGAGATCAGATTCTTCAAGATAAAAGCTTGAGGCAATGCTGTGAGAATCTGGGGTGGTCTCAGGAGAAGATACATAGGGTACTGATGAAGTCTGCACTGGAAAACCTCGCAGACGGATCTCACACAAACAAGGAGAAGCTAATGCATGGATCCCAGATTTCGCAGCATTCAAAGCTGTCCCTGGAATTCTCAACCCTAGTGACCCTATTGACAACCTAATAAAAGCCTGAGGATCCATTCTGGTCACAATTCTTTCACCATTGATTGCAAGCTTTAATCGTGAACAACTCACAAAAGACTGTTGTGCCAGACGGAAACTGACAATCAGTGTAGGGATAATTTGACAAGTGTGTGATAGCAATTTCATATTTCAGGCAAAATTAGCATCTTTTTTGGATAGATTTGTTTCCTACTTCATACCATTGAGGTTTTCATTAATTAAAAAGATGGTACAAAGGCCATTGATTGATGTACTGAAATTGTTGGGCTGTACTCACTTCAAAAAGACAGTTGTATCATTTTATCCATCTGCCATGTACTTATAAAAGACGTCACGACACTGATATTTGTTGATTCTTTTATGAAGTAAAGTTCAGTATAATATGCATAAAGAGGGTGATCCCAAGTACAACGAAGTAACCAAGCATCATCAAACCTCAACAAACCAGTATTGATATTTGTTAATTACTGATGTCAAAGTCGATCTATGCCATCCTTATCGTTAAGTTACAAGAAACATCGCTGAGACCATGTGTTGTAAGGGAATAGCCACTGTCTACACTCCTATATGCTTTGCAACAATTAACTGAGCATGTCAACAAACTCCGTTGTAATGTATAACTAAATGGTACCGAAGGTTGTTGAGTTTGGTTAGATTTAGTAATACGGATAACTCATGAGCAACTCAAAAACAAACTTGTTCATAGATTGGGTTGGAAAATATCGATTTCAAGCCATTCTCTAAGTTTTAGACATCCCAATTGAACATGTCAAATTCATTGGATGTCAGTTTTCCATTTACAATGTTACTAAGTACTGTTATTCATACACAGACAAAAATACAGACTGTCATACCTATGCCCATAAAAATAAAGAATCGATGATGGTGATATATTAATTAATTTAAGAAAAGGCCTGCGTAATTTGGAGGTAGAAAGGTAAACAAATAAAACTCAATCAGTCGAGTTTAAGTTCAATATTTTTCTCCTTTCAATTTTTCTTTGTTTTAAATGCTGTAGCAACCCCAGAGAGAGAGGAAGGGAGGGAAGGAGAGAGACACAGAGAGAGAAGAAAAAAGTTTGAAATGCTGTGAAATATTAAAATTAATTCCTTTTCCAGAAGAATTATCATGGCCAATTAGTCTGGATAATACCAGACACTAAGACCATATCCATTTATACGCGATTCATGTTTGCTCGGCCTAACCAGAACCCCATCCCCAGCTAAAAATTAAAAAGGCTGCTCCGATGTCATGTCTTTCGGTGCTGAGTGATCCGAATCAACTTCAAAGAGCCAAGTCAGGGATTCCACACCTTATTGCCCATATACATGAAACAAAGAGAAACTGCAGTAACTCTGACATTCTGCGGGCTTACTAACTTGCCTACTATAGTCAAGGAATATCTCAGATTACCCACAATTTAGGGAAACAAATTTAAGTCTGAAAAAAACAAAACCCTTTGGTCCTTACTTCCATCATAGGTCTGATCCTGTACTCAAGATGATTATAATCTTAATAGTAGTAATTTCCTCAGTCAGCATAGCTTTTGGGTAATGGCTAGCCCATGATCAAACACCACATATAAGAAGCAAACTACAGATATCAAGAGACAAAGTGACAGGACTTAATCTTTTGCAAGTACAGTCCAATAACAGCTCCTCAAGAATTAGTTCATTATTTAGTTTGCACACATCAAAATACCCATTTGCAAGACATCTAAGAAATCCTAACTGGGTAAGTATTTTCTTTTTGTTTTCCTTCTTTCGTTTTCTATCATTCTTGTTTGGTTCTTGGAGGAAATAAAGGAAAGAAATACAATGTTTGGAAAATGCTTAAAAATGAAAACTTCCTTCAAGCAATTTGTAAGAATGTCCTTTTCTTTCCTCGCGTTCTTGGCAAAAATCAAATGGAAACAAAAGGATTCCCAAATATTGGCAGTAACGGGTTGTACATTAAGCTTGCCAGAGAAGGAACAGAACCACCAAAACAAATGATGATGTGTGGGGGACGAGGGTTGGGTGTGTGTGTGCGCATGATGTTTCATATTTAGATTGGTTTCCAAATTCAGTACTATTACCATCAGGGCTTTCAATTGGTCTGAATTCAAGGACGGATATGATTCATCATCTTTGTCAATCTTTGGCCACCCTAATTAGCTAACTCAAAAAATTCCATTAACTGCAGTACTGCACCATCTTGTCATTACCTCTATCTTTAAGGTTCGCATTTATGTGAAAAAACAAAACAAGTTCACTCATCAATAATTTTTTTTTTTTTTTTGATACGAAACTAGCAATATAAATAATGATAAAGAATAGAAGACTACAAGAGAGGGCAAGGAGTCCTCTAAGAAAAAACATGAAAGAAAAAATATAAAATTCAATTGGGGAACTAAAAGTATTAGAATATGTAAAAAGGGTTTCACACACTTGAGCCCAATGATCCTTAATCAATAAAAGAGAAATTCCCTCAAACTATTTTGTTGTGGAAGCCCAAATATGAGTGTAGGGTTTCTTCATTCGCCAATTTTCCTATTTTATGTTTCACAATTCAATCAAACCCTAATGGGCTTCCAACCGGAAACCCATGTGATATGTGAACAACCATAACTTCCACATATACAACTGAACTTAAACAACCTAAGCTATTTATGCACAAACATAGAAAAACTAACTAAAAATCAATGTCAAAACTCACATAAAACAGACAAGATTACAAATGGAAAGAGTCTATAAACAGCTAAATAACAAAAAAAAAAAACCCACCTTTGCTGTGAAGCTCTATCTTCCTTCAAAGCACCCACAAAGCCACTTTTGAAGCTAAAATTACTCCAATTCTTGCAAAAGCCTGAGAAAATCACCATAACGTTTTCATTCATACCCACCAAACAAATTTCCAGGAAACCAACGCTGATGATGTAAATTCACTTTCTTCTAATCCAAGCTCACCAAAACACTAAATGGGTCTCTCTCTCTCTCTCTAAATATCTTTCTGTGGATCCAACACTAATGTGAATGATCCAAAGATGGGTAAATGAATAATTGAACCAGCGCACCAAACCCTCCAAGCATATATCAAGTAGGCTGTGCACGGATCACGAGAAACGCAATCTATATATATTTGTTGAAAGTTGAAACTCTCCCTCTATAGATTGTATATCTGTGTTGGTACATGTATCTACATGTGATGAGTGAAACTAGAGGGAAAAAAAATAGTCTGCATTATCTGGGACGAAATAGGCGGAGAAAGTTAAGGAATATTATTAATTTATTGTAACTAAACCCCCAAAATATTTTACATATCTATCTGTGTGTGTGAGAGAGAGAGAGAACGAAGAAAAAGGTACTAGAATGCGATGAAAATTGGAGTGACAACGAATGTATTCCTCTGATACTAATAGTTTTTTAATGATGAAAATCATAGAATATAAACATTTTATATACATATATGTAGATAGAGAGAGAGAGAGAGAGAGAGAGAGAGAAGACTATGGATGGAATGTAGGGACAGGTCGTGAAATTGGATACAGCTGTAAACAACGCTAGTTCGCAATACGAGAGAGAGACAGAGAGAGAATCGTTTGAATACAAGCATATGGGTGTGAGGCTGACTTCATCCTCATGAACGTCTCTTTCTACAAAAACAAACAAAAACCCTAATTTGTATTATTTATCTCCTCCACTTTGAGTTCATACTTGGTGGTATGCTTTCTTTACCTTCTGCACAATAATTCTTGCAAACTCCGTCATAAATTTAACGGGTTTGATGATAAACCGTTAAATCCGTCAAAATAAAAGAGTTAATTCAGACTTGACTAAACACCATACCAATTTGACATAACGTGAATTTGATTATCCATAATTATAAATAAATCGAGCACAAACTGCAATTTTTTTAACACGATTCATTAGCCAACTCAGAAGGTCCAATGATAGAGTAATAAATAAATCAAACTTACTATAAAAAATATATTATATATGGTAACAACAAAGAAAAAAAAAACAAGAAGTTGGGTTTTTGAGTTTGACATGCTCAGTGTCGACTCAATTTTTTTTTTTTTGGCAGCGGAACGGAAAAGGGGAGAGGGAACTTGAACCTTTAACCTGAATAAGACAAAACCTTTACAAGATAAAGAGTAGTATTGAACCAAAGATTCATTGATTGTCGACTCAAATTAACTATCATATATTTGAGCTTAGTTATCGAGCTGAAATTTTTGCTCAAATTACCTCAATCTTACACTTATATTCTTACTTGTTTTTGTACTACAAATTCTTTTTGTAATCGCGAATGGAGGAAAGAAATATTGTTTGTAACAATACTTAATCCTTACAATGCTGGCAGGAGGCTGAAAGAATGAACAAAACTGTAACCTTAAACATTTTATAAAGGGATGAGAGTTCACAGGAGAAAAACAAAAATTTGTCTAAATTTGTTATGTTTAGACTATAGATGGACTATACATTTCAGATAATAGTTGTATGTAAGAATACTCGTATAAACTCATGTAACAATATATACTAGAGGTGGACTGAAATTTATCTCGACTCCGTTAAACCCGTTATATATATATACTAGTTATTGCATGTGTCTGAAGGTACAAATCACAAACATATAGGAAAGATAAATGAACTTAAGCATCGTTTGTGATGGGGGTGAGAGGTGGTGGGCGGTAGTGGTGGTGGTGGTGGTGGTAGAGGTAGTGGTGAGGTGGTTTCAAACACTATTTTTAAAAAAAATAATTATGAAAAATAATTCATATAAGTATTTTTAAAATGTCATTCCAAACACACCCTTAGAGCCCTATTTTTTCAATTAAATTTAGAATATTAATATTAGTCATTAGAATAACTTTAAAGTAAAATCTAAAACGATATGAACCGTTAAAACGTAAAAATTATTTTGTTTATCTTTTAAAATTTAAATTATAAGCTACTTTATTATATAGATGTCTGCTAGGTTTTAGGTGTCATCAACCCTAATTCTAGATAATCAAGACCCCAAGAGATGTATAAATATATATATTTTTATTGTGGTTGTTGTTTTTGCTCAATTAAGCCTAGATTATAATGCTAACTTATTTCTTTGTTTTTGGTTTTGATCATATTATGTGATACAACTTGTATTTTAATTGTTAATTTTTTTTAAATTTTTTCCTTAAAATCACAAAAATTAATTATAATGGGCGGAAGTGAAAATTATAATTTACCAGCGGAATGGGGATGAACGAACTTTTTTTAATTTACTCACTAACGGGGATGAACAGATTTTGCGGGTACAGAGGTGGAGACTACTCCCCACCCCAACCCCGGCCCGCCCTGGTCCACTGTCATTCCTACTTTTATATCTTCATTTTATGTGATTGATGATGAATTCAAACATACATTTTCCCATTGTGATGATATTTTACCATTCCCTATGAGAAATTTTATTTTGTAGACGAAATTAACACTATAATAAAATAACTTGTTGGGGATGGCTCAAATAATAAAACTTCAGTGATTAATATCCCAAAATTCATAATTCAATCTCACAAATGACACCCTAATTAACCCAATTGTTGTGTTTTGTAAGTAACTAACTCTATCCTTGGTTGTGTCATTTTCTATTCATGTTCGTATCAATAAAAAAATATTCAATTTTAAGACAACTCGCATGATAATATGTAAAGATATTAAAAACATATATAAAATACCTATTTTTTTACTAAAATTATCAATTAATCGTGATATTTTCGTACCTAACTCTATGCTTTGACTTGTTATTTGTGTAAATTAGTTATCATTTTTCAATTTTGTATTGTATCGTAATCATATCAACCAGTAAAATTAATACCCTAATTTTGGGTGAATGGACTTATAAGACTTTCATTTTGTGAAGTGAAGACAATAGACTTTCAATTTATCAAACAATAAAGAAAAAAGAAAGAACATAAAGAAGAAAAAAAGGCAACAATTTCTTGTCTTTGGGTAGAAAGTAGAACAAAAGAAAGTCGGAAAGTGTGGAGAGACTGCCAATGTGTCATGTCCGTCGGCTGAGCCCCGGGGTGACAAAATCCGCTTATCTTGGGGAGGGAGTCGATATGGACTGCGTCGTCTCGATGTTTAAGTCGTGTTGCGTTGAAAAATAAATTCAAAAAAATAAAGTGATTGACAATGAGAGATACGAATTATGTAGCGTTCTTAAGATGTATCCTTATGTAAAAGAAACACGATGCATAAGATAATAATACGTTGTCTTTAGGATACAATAATCTAACCTAAAGATTGTAGCTTCACTCCGATCTACACAATCGAATGAAATAGAAGCTTCACAAGATATTTTTCTAATTTGCCCAAAAAAATTATGTAGTAAACGAAGAAGATAAAAAGAATTGGAATTAATTATTTATGGCAATTAGCTGTTAGACACTTCAAATTTAGAAACTGAATTTTTAATGAGGGAACTATTATGACTTATAGCTTCTCCGCTCGTCTCACTTCTGTGCACATGAGAGTCTTCAGATCTCACTTAACTCAAAGACTACATAGCACTAATATACCATATAAACTCTTTTTTTTAAAAGTTTAGTTGTTGTGAGATTGAGTTTTCCCCAATAAGTGCTCTTTTTATTACTAGGAAATTTTAGAGACAAGTACAAAGTCATGCACTTTTAAGGCGAAAGGTTCATCTTAGATACTTTTATGGAAAGAGGTCCATAAAATACGCAGTTGACAAAAATACTCTTAATGAAAAAAATTATTTAAAAACTTCAACTATATTCCACCACCACTCGCCAAACCCCCTAATCGACAATAAACTACTTGACAGGGAACTTAATGACAGTAAACTAAAAAACTCTATGTATATGAAAGAAGAACTATTTTTTTTAGTTTAATGTCAGGGAGTTCATTGTCGATGGATGGGGGTGCCGGTGGCGGTGGTGAATTTCACTGGAAAAGAGCTAAATTTACCCATGAGAAAAATAATGGCTTTTGGTTAAGCAAAATGTAGTACACAATGAGTATTATTGTCATATTATAAAGAGAGAAAAATTAGTTTAGACATCTCGCCTTAAAAGTTCAACTAAGTTGGATCTAACGCCTTAAAAAATACATGTCTGAACTTATTTGCAAATTAGGTACCAACTTTATAATTTTCAATAATTTTCACTTATTAAAATACTCTAATAATAAGTTTGTGAGATCTACTTAATTGAGAGAAGAACCAATTAAGACTAAATTAATATGTGATAACATCATGTTTGTAATTTTTCAACTAATTATATTAAGTATTATCATATGGTGTTGAGTACAAAACGATCTAATAATAATTTGAATGCATTGGCACTAAACTAATTTCGTATCAATTTATAGTAAACTTACAATGCTTGTTAATAGTTATGAGCCCCAATAATGCTAATGTGAATGAATCATTGATCTGAAACTATTAATTTCACAAGAGTAATTTCTTAAGGAAACAACAACAGCAAAAAAGCACTAAAAACCCATTTTTTTTTTTGTTAAATCCTCGGGGACTGTGAATTCCCACTAAAAAAATGCACCAATGCACGATACTCCTATTAATTATGGGATTTGAAAGATGTAAACGTAAAAAGTTTTACTTTTATTTGGAACAGTTAATCTCAGACCCGAAACTACAATATATAATTTGAAGTTTTGAAAGCACTTGTTATTTTCCATCTCAAAGCTCTAATTTAAAATACTTTGAATTAAAGCTAATTGTGAAAAACAATCTTCATTCTAAAAATAAAATAAAATAAAATAAAAAGAAATTCATGATGGTTGAACATTGCCACAAAGTATTAAGTTTGTACAATAAGGACAGCAAGAAAGGGCCTACTAGCATATCTCCCACTAAATATTCTAATCAATGCTGCATTTATATTGATTTGCTTTTGATGTTCATTCATAGGCTCTAGTAACATGGGGAAATCCCATATAGATAAGGACATTTATATTGTTAGTATCTATTTAATATTTATATTGTGTCAGGTTTGTATTTTCTATATTGTTCAGTTCATATCGTTCTGCAAATAAATTTGATGTGTTAATTTGATTTTGACTCAAAACTTATTAAAACTAAAAAGTATACCCAGTGAATTCATGATTATTTTATATTTAATTTTTTTGATGGTTATAGCAAAAATGTGCGAGTAATCAAGTCATCAAAATCAAATTCATGAATTTCAAGGGTAGCTTAAGTGTTAATAGTAATAAAATATAAACTCAGATATTTTAAGTTTGAATCTTGGTAACTCCTTGCGATTAGGCTATGAGAGATTTATCCCCCATGAATACTCTAGTCTAGACATGAATGATCTAATTTTGACCGAATCGAAGAGTAAATCGGTCGAAATGTGCGTAAACTGACCGGAATATTCCTGACCGTTGAACCAAAAAATAATCAAATCTATGGGTAAGATAATGGTGACAAAAGAAAAAGTTATTTAAATTTAGTTACAATTTAATGTAGTCAAATTACAATAAACAGAAAAAGTTAAAATCGATCTTAAAAATATTAAAATTTATTCCAAATAAATTTATTTTATTAGAAACTCGTTAAATTGAATTGTATTTTTTTATATAATAAATTTTAATATCATATCCAAAAATTATTAATTTCCCCCAAATTCACTGGTCAAAATAGGAGCAGTCACGAGGGGCAGAGACAACTTATGAACATGTGAAGTAGCGGCGCCAATGGGCCCTTAATAAACGACTTCAGAGCCAAACAGCACATGGCACATAAAGAAGTTGCCAAAAAAAGCGGTTAACCAAACACACCTTTCCTTTCAACAACAACAACTACCACCAAGGGCAAAGGCCATGGGCCAGGCCACTCCCCACCCCCACCCCAGAACAAATATTCAATGTAACGGTTATGCCATATTAGTATTATCATATATAATTTATTAATAAATAAATAAGTGAGTCTTACAAAATTTGATCACTCATCGATGTAATATATGACTAATTTCATGTAAAAAAATGAGGTTCATTTTATCTATTGTTTAGTTTTATTATCGGACGGGCACGTGTGACACTGATGACATAATATAACTGTTACATGAAATATTTACTTTTGCACTTAAATGCAATGCAAGAGGTGGGGTTTGGGGGGGGGGGGGGGGGGAAATACATTGTATTAGTATGGTTTGACTGTCATTTGGTCTTGTGATTAATTTTTTATTTTTTCTTGAGATATAAATATATATATACAATCATCAAGATTTTGATGATGTGAACCCTTTTTAGTGTAAATTTGTGACTATTATGTAATATTTGAGTCTAGTGTCCAATGGAGTAAAATAAACACCCTTATCCAAATGCAACGTGATAGATAGGTTAATCATGTCATCAAAGTAGAGGGGCAAATCTAATTTCTACAAGTTTTCATTGCACCCCCCCCCCCCCCCACTCCCTCTCTCTCTCCATTGTTTTGAATATTATCTGACTCGAGTGGTTAAGAAACTTTATATCCCCATATAGATAAGCATTAGATTGAGTCTTGTTACTCGTATAACCGATTTCATCCTCTTTATTTTTAAAAATAAAATAGATCTTTTATCCTACATCGAAAAATAAAAGAGTGAGCAAGCTCCAAATGAAGTTAAGTGTGTAAATATTTCAACAAATATATACAATAAATATATGTGTGTGTGTGTATTGCCACAATTCCTTTTTCCTTTTTATTTTCTTGAATGACTAGTAATATTCCAAAGTGGGAGCATCAATGATGTCTCCAAAAAGATGTCCATAGTGATGCTTTGTTTGGCAATGGTAGCTTGGAAAAAGAAACAATTCCAATGCTACATCTATTTCTATCCATTTGAACTTGTATAGTGGTCCTCTATTCAATTTGGCCAAAACCCTACCCATGTTGGGATGCAACCATGTTTTGGCAACTTGTCTTAGTAGTCTAAATCAGATAAGGCTATGTTCAATGTGGACCTATTGGTTTGGATTTAATCAAAATTGATTTTATCTTAAGATAAATTTTCATTTGATACCAATTTTTAGAATTTGGTTTTCATTTGGTAACGTGGAATTTTGACCCGTAATTGAGTTAATAAATCTGATTGCATGTACATGGTCCAATTTACATACACCAACCTTTTTGAGAATAATCTCTAAAACCAATGATCATCGAGAAAATTTTGAAATTAGTGATCTTGTGGTTATTCCTCAAGACTTCTTCCACTCCGTCTAAATCTACAAGTTCTCATTGTTGTCTAAACTTTTGAATTATGGAAGTTGAAATTAGGAATTTCAACAGGTAGCTCAAGTAGTAATAAAGACGAACTATAAACTCAGACGTGCTAAGTTCAAATTTTGACAACCTCTTAGACCCTAGTCTTGGTGTGGGTGACCTGACTTTGACTGAATCAAAGAAAAAATTAGTTATGGTGCGTATAAACTAACACATATCCATGACTGTGAACCAAAAAAAGAAGTTGAAATTAGGCAAGTTGTTTACAAGAACATGAGCCAGTGTACAACATTCCCAAACTACCCATACATTTCTCATATTTTGTTTTCTCATTATTGTATGTATTTCATCTTAAAATTAATTAAGAACAAAAAACTTTGACTTGATTTAAAATAGCTGGCATAGCACTAAATGGCAATGTAACCACCCCCCCCCCAAAAAAAAAAAAAAAAACTTAACAAAAATCTGGTTTTTCCCATAAAAAATAAAATTTATAAATCATATGTAACAATTAGATTTAGAACAATGTTAAGTGTTCATCCACTCAAATTTTACAAGTTCAAGACCAAAATTCATCACTACAAAATCGGAGTAACACTAACTACTAGTAATCTCTCCACATTTCTCGATAGAAGAGAGGATTGTGAGTCGAGCATAAGTAAAATCAATCAATCCAAACGATACGTGAAAAAATGGGCAAATTAATGTCACATGGGTCCAAGATAGGTAAGTTGGAGAATTCTAGCTTGTTAGTACAACTCATTGTATGTGGTTAGGTTTTCTTCCAATATGCTAAGACATTTATTAAAATTGGTCACTGAACAATTTAATGTTCCAACAACCACATTAAAAGTATCGGTGTGAAAATCTCATTGAAGTATAAGTCATACATGGTTGTTTCTCGTACATAAAGCTCTCGTCGATGTCTGTATTAGACATTTGAAAGAGATAAGTGGTAAATAGTTATAACCTCTTTGACACAGATTAATGTTTGATCTTGAACCAATGAACCAGTGACATATCGCACAGACGAATGAGCATGTGTTCTCACTCTAGCTTTGAGGTCTACGAAAATAAAAGTAATATGTAAAATGCAAATAGATGTTAGTTGGGGTGTTTAAATATGACACAATCTATTAATAGAACATAAGATTAAAGGGTATAGATCTTTCTTAAGTCGTCCGTGTATAAATGAGTTGATCCGATACGACATGATTAATAAATGAATCGGATACAAGTGAAACGAATCAAAAGAAATATAAGATACGACTCGTTTATATATCATTTATATGTAATTCATACACGATACAAATCATATATGACACAATTCGTTCCACACAAGATAATAAATGAATCAAGTGTGAGTAAAATATTTTTTGACACAAGCTCGCTACAAACCGACTTATCTAACACGATTGACAAGCTTAACTGTTCGTAATAAGAAATGACCATACATACCAATAGGGGCTTCTTACAACGGAGTCAGGCCAAGTCCACTCCTAGGCAAGTGAGGTGGCCGCTTAAGGCCCTACTTGCGTATGTCTCTTAAAATAACTAAATTTAAAAAAAAAAAAAATTAGGATGTTACTTCTAACAATCAAAAATGTTAATATATAATATATATATATATATATATATATTTTTTTTTTCTTTAAATCATAAATATATGTACATTAAAAAAGAAAAAAAAATCGCTTCATATAATTGTATAAAAAATAACAAGACTCTGTTCTCTCATTTTATTTAAACTCTCAATAACTTTGACCTATTTATTTAGTTTAATTTTCTTGAATTATAATTTTTGAGATAATTTTGATTTTAATATAATCATTCACATAATGTGTTTGTTTTGCAAGTTGGCTTCAACCTTAAATATACCTACTAAAAAATAAGAGGTTAAATATTAGAAATTGAAAACAAAAATAATCAAATTATTCATCTAAAAATAATGTAAGACCCCGTCTAAAATTTTTGCCCAGAATCTCAAGTATTCTTGAGCTGACCCTGAACGGGCACAACTGAAGAAAAGATAAATCAATTCTTTAAAATCCCTCAATCATCAAAATAGTAATTGGTCCCATATAAACAATTGAAAAAAAGATAAACCAATTCTTTAAAGTATTTCAATCATCAAAACAATAATAGGTCCCATATAAACCTAGCAATTAAAATCCATACACATAGTGACTTGCAAATTTCTTCACCAAAACTTGCAGGCAAAATTACATGAAACCGTAGATAGAACATCTACGGTATCAAAATTATGTTGAGTTGAGTTGAGTAATTGTATATGTGCGTGTGAAGTAGGGAAAATATAGGATTTTTTTTTTTAAACTGAGGAGGAGATCAGTGAGATTCGAAACCATAACTCTTAGATCTAACAACAGGGTAGTTCACCATTAGGCCACCACTAAATCCTTATAGAAAAATATAGGATTGAGAAGAACAAGAAATAGCTCCCTTCCTTTGGTTGGTGGGTTGATTTCATGACACGAATTCAATATGACATGATTCGTAAAACACAAATTAAGAAATAAATTATGAGTAAAATATTTTTTTTACACGAACTCTCTAATACCCGATATGAACTCACCTCCCTTGATAGGCCTACTTATTGGGGCATATTTAGCTCAAAATGGAAACCAATTGATTCCTACGTACAAACAAAACCACCATATGAACAATTTGTAATCTTACATGGACGAAAGTGCTCCAACACTCAGAATAGCGATCACTAAAGCTAACCAACATCCCAAAGATCCAATAACAAAGAGCCACTGCCAGTAATGCAAGAAAATCAAGGACCAAAGGGATCACTTCCATTTTTTGAACTTTTTGAACTTCCCCAAATGCATTCCAAACTTCCCAAGCTTCCAGCGCTTGCCAAACTTCTTCCCATGCTTGAACTTGTCATGCTTGAATTTTCCATGGTGATGGCCTAAGAAACCACCATGTGAGAGCTGGTGAGCCCCATAAGCAGCGGCGGCGGCGGCGGTACCCCCAGCGATAATTGCTCCAACATTAGGTCGTCCATGCCCTATCGAAATTATTCATATAGAATTGACCAACAATCAGCACAATAATATAGAACATAACCAAGTAACCAATAACAGCATTTTTTTAAAAATAAGAAACAGAGTTTTATTAATAGACAAAATAAAGTTTCACTTTATCCCAACAAAGGTGGACAAGTCTTCCAACCCCATAGCATTTATAATCAGAAAAAACTAGTCAACTGCATAGATTCAAAACTCACTCACTTCCACACCATGCTGTCCAACTCACTGTAATACAAAAGAGAGGGGCATTCTCAAAGTCCTTTGTCACCGAAGCCCAACATGAAGCCAAGAAATTGATCAAATCCCATGGCCGTCCCCCCCCCCCCCCAAGGAAAAAAAAAATCCCCCGAATACCAAGTACCATCAGCACATGTAAAGATGTAATCTCAACAGGTAAACCATTCTGAGATGTCGAACAGGGGCATAAAAACAAAAATGAAAATTAATTGGGAATAGAGTTATCACTTTTTGCGCCTGTTTTTATTCGGGGCTTCACCTTTTGTAAAAAGATTACATTTTTTATGTTTCTAATGTCTTCATTAGTGGAGAAAGGAAGAACACAGTAACCTCGTGTCAAATATATACTTAGATACTGTTTCTTCTTCTGCACAAAGAACCATTTGGATCCAGTCAGTGGATGGTTCTGAGCAGAAAAGAGTTCTTGTTATGGGTGCAAACAGGGGCAGAGCAAGGATCTCACTTTAGAGGGGGCAAAATACAGATAAAGAATTTTTACCCCCTAACATACAAAATTTCTAAATTTAATCATGAAAAATGTGACAAGAACCAAACTATGTTACAATATGAAGAATAAAGTTGGTATCAATCAGACATCAAAGCAAAAAAGAATGTTTTCCAAATCCAAAATATCGTCTATAGTGGATTCTATGTTAAATTTTTTAGTAGTTTTTTTTCAATGCAAAACAATAAATGAGTTTGTGAGATCATCCTTCACTTGTAACGAATCATAGTTGATCATCTACTATTTGTTGACAAATCAATTCTATGAAAAGTAGAGTAAACTTATTGTGTTACAAGATTTTACCTTTTGTTACAGCCCACTAACTTGCAGAAAAAGCGGAAGGGTCAATTATGAAATTTTTTAAAAATAGGGGATATTGTTTCTGGTCGTATACGAATAAAGGCCAGGACTTTTTACTATTTTTCTCTCCAACTGAAAATAAAACATTTGTTTTACTGCGTTAGAAAGGCTAATGGGCTACTAATTTATTAATTAACAACTAATTGAGACACCTGTACAATTATTTCAGAAAAGAGGGGGCATATGTATTAAATAGAAGAGAACCATGATTTTAACACTACATATCCAGGTTGTTTTTTGTGGTCAGAAGGGGCAATTGCCCCAAAACCCATACGTGTAGCTCCACCACTGGGTGCAAAGACGATACACACACTCAGACCAGCAAAAGTTCTGAAAAAATTGTGGTTTGTTTCCATCATTGAGTACTTTTCTAGCATTTCTAACAAGTAGAAATAGCCACAGCCTTTACTAGTCAGATAAGTTCATAGCTCTTTAATTGAAATCCTGAAAGGAAGCAACTTTCCACGGATGTCAAAAAGAGCACCAAGTAGGTTAAATATTGCAAGTAATCTTGGCTTTGCATTCACCAAGACACTTACTGGTTTCAGTTCAACCATTATAGTCTTTCATATACTAGGGAAGATAGCATCTCTCATGCACCCCTTCCCCCCCTATATCCCACGAAAGACAAGAAAGGCCCATAAAATCCACAAAAAGTGAACAAATCACACTTATTAAATAACATGTCCGGAAAATGAAAAAAATAAAGTAGAAAGTTGTTTGCCAGATTTACCTGAATGATATGGAGCTGATGGACCTGGATGACCAGCTGCGGGATATCCACCAGGGGGAGGATATGCTGGTAGTGGGTATCCACCCGGTTGAGGATAGCCAGCCAGTGGGTATCCTGCAGGAGGAGGATATCCAGCTGGAGAGTAACCTCCTGGAGGAGGATATCCAGCTGGTGGGTACCCTCCTGGAGGAGGATAAGGATATCCTTGAGGAGGATACGCACCAGGAGGTGGAGGATAGTATCCAGCAGCATATCCAGCAAGCTGAGAGAACAACCCTTTGTCATCGCCATCATACCTTGGCCTTCCATCTCCCATTTTTTTTCAACTTGAAATAATGCTACAAATACTGCAAATAGAAGACATTAGGGGAGATGCACCATTGATCTACAGAGAAAAGTGTGCCAACAAATACTATTTGGGACTGTAATGCTTCCTAAAACATGGTTTTCTTAAATGCTTCTGTTCCAAAGCATAAGAAACCTTGTATTAGAACTACTACTCCTACACCATTCTATACCCAACCCAGAGTAATCAGCCCAATCCATACACACCCCATTAAGATGCTAAAGATACTCTTCTCTTCCTACCATATATACCACAAGCGTATACTATTCTCACTTTCACCAACCCATCTTTTACACTCCACAGAAAACAAACTCCACACCATGCATGCAGCACATCATCTAGAATGATTATTACAACAAAAGATGTACAGTGAAGTCACTTCCCTACAGTTAACAATGTTAAACACTGCAACCAACCTCCTACAGCTTAGCTTGTGCCCTTTATTTATTGGAATTTGGAAACCTACTTTCAACTACAGAATCCAAAATCAGCTGCCAACTTGTTATTAAAGAAATTGACATTTGCCAATGCTTCAACAACATTTTTATGCAAATTGATTGGCCTTCAATTACCCAGAATTTTGAGGGCATACACAAATGTTGCATTATGGAAATGTGGAGACCTTCTTATGACTTGCAGCTGGATTTTATATGTTGTTTAGAGTGTTACCACGTACTGTCTGTTTTGTTGGCCATGTACTGTCTGTTGACTCTGTTTTGTTAGCTGATTTTGGTTTGGACGACTCGTCCACCTCTCATTTCTCTTGTGCAACAACTTACTATCGATAAAATTGTTTGGTTTCCTATCAAAAACTAACAGGGAGTTCATTTCAGTAGGAATGGATATTTTGGAGGGGGGAACAGTCAACAGTCGTCCACCCAGTTCCTTTTGATGGGCCAAATTTCCGGTCAATCAAGGACCAAGAAAAACAACACCAACATCCAATATATGTCCCCATAATCTACACACCCACAACCCCTTCTCCAACCACAAACACACACACAGAGATGGGGAGAGTAGTTCATATTCCGTGCCCACAAATCCCAACCTAGCTATTATGACACACATGTCAAAGACCTAAAAATCAAACCACCCAGTTAGTAATTTTGATGGGAAAATAAAAAAAGCTTATACATTACTGAAGTGATTCGTGGTGAAAAAGCCCTCTACTGCATATGCACAAAACACATACATAGATGTGAACAAACACAAAGACAAGATTGGTAAATTTCTTTTTCATAAATCAACAATAAAGGGGATAATAAACCCATCACGGAAACAAGAAAAAAAGAAATCCTAACGAAGATAAAAATGACAGAATCAAAATTAATTCAATCTAGCATCACCAGAAGCTTCAAGGCTTTTACTGTTTTACAAAACATACATTGCTACAGTAAAATCACACAAGTTAGCATACCCAGAGAGAGAGAGAGAACCCAATTGTCGACCTGAAATTTTTTAATTGATGGGTTCGAAATTGACCACCTTCAACAAATTCCACCTGGGAGTGACTAGGCCAATGCTAGAATGTTTGCTCGAATTGTTATATAGCAGAGTTAATTACGTTTTTCTACCCTCAAATTTTGCATTATTTCTCATGTTCATCATTAAACTATTTTTTATCACTTTTATCTTCTAATGGTTCTTTTGTTTAATTACATTGGACGTCCCTAAAATATAGAGTTTATCTAATTTTAATCTCTAATATTTTAATTATATTATTTTATTTCCTAAAATATTGAATATATCTTTACATAATTTCTCAAACAGACAACGTCCAAATTACTAACGAATTTTGATCATAAACTTGTCATGTGATACTTAAATGTTGGCCAAAAAAAAATGTGTAATTTGGTAGCTCTTTTACCAAAATTTAGGTAAAAACTTAGTTAAGAGTTACCAAAATTAATTATTTGTCCGTATTTAAATATCACATGACATTTATGATAAAAAAATAGTTAATAATTTAAACATTGTTTAGTTGAAAGACCATACAAAAATACTAGTTAAAACTCGTGCTTAAGTAAATAGCCCGAGGAATCAAAACGAGGATCTCTAGTTGGCGTAAAAAAAGTCTTATCATTGAGCTTACCCTTTGGGTTAATTATGATTGTTAATTAACTATGAGGAGGTTTCTCCTAAAGTCCAATGGGGATTAGTAGTCTCTGAACATTCAATTGAATCCCACCAAAAATATTTCATTTCCGCTGAAATAGGACCTATACTTTGCATAGTTTGCATAATGTATTTTCTAAAAAGTAGTTATTTCCCTGTAATTTTATGTGACTTTTCCATAAAGATAATAAAAATTATTGAAGGCAGAAGATGCATGGCATCTGCCTGCAAAATGTTAAGTGGAGTGGTTTTGCCTACCCCTTGACACCCACAAATTGTCCAATAAGAAAGTACTCTTGCTTTTGCTTTTTTTTTTTTTTGGTATTATCTTGTTGCTTTGAGCCAGCACCTATTCCAGCATGAGTGGTGTGGCTTTTCAACCTACCCATGACATAATTTGGGTGGGTCAACCAGGAATTTTGATATTCGGGTAGAGTCTTGAATTTTTCGGACCCAATTGGAACTCAACTTCAATTGGTGAATTCAAAGTAAACCCTAGTCATGCATCCAAAGTTCTTCCATAATTCAAGAATTTAAGCATGGACAATACTCAGATTGACATGAAATTCAGCTGTATTTAGAGTGAGAGTTGTAATCTCGATTGAGCCCAACTTAACCTCATTAGTAAGACCTGAGTGTAATCAGATTAAGATCTAATTGCTCCACCGAATGTGTTTTTACCAGTTCAATTGCATCAGATTTATTATTTTAGTTACAATGAATTCAACATCTCATGTCTGATCAATTATTCCAGAGAAGCAGTTTTTCAAATTTTACATAATTTTAAGGAATAAAAATGCTACAATATTAAAATTCACACTTTCTCTTAATTTTTCTCGATGGCAAATTACCTGGTGTAAAATTCAGGTCAACCCAGTTTCAAGAGCATTGGTCAAAAACCAAGACCCAACCAGTAAAAGTTTTTTTTTTTTTGTTACATAAAAAGGGTGATCAAAGGCGATCAAGCATAAAAAAACCCCGAGAATGTTACCTTAAAATTCTCACATGCTGTAGAATATGCAGTTTAAACCATACCTATTGGCATAGAATGGTCAAGTCCGTTACCACAGCACCACCGAAGGCAAGCTGAAATTTCAATACCTCCAGCAGTGAACTACTATCGCAAGGGAGTTCGATCCCATGACCACTGGAAGAGGGTAGAACTTTCACCCTCCATTGAATCCAACTAGGCTAACTACTCGGTAGTTCCAACCAGTAAAGTTTGTTGTCAAAGAGTACCTTCTTATCTCCAACTTGCCTTTTGAGTTTGGTTCTAGTTGCCAGTCCAGCCAGTGTGTGTGTGTGTGTGTGTGAAAGAGAGAGAGAGAGAGGCTCAAAAATATTTTGCACATAGAAGAGCATAAGGAGAACAATGATTTAGATGTTGGGTAGCACCAAAGGGAATCGAAATGACCAGCCACAACCACTACCAACAACAAGTGAAGACCTCCAGAGGACTTGAAATCATTGACCCATTGCAGAAGCTGGTTAAGATGTCAAACAGAGGACCTGAGAAATCCGGGTAGCTTTGACCTTGGCAGGGACAAAGAACTAACGAACACATTATGCAATATCGAATCCAACATTCAAACATATGGGCCCAGACAGTCCCAGAGCTTCAGCAGAATCAACTATAGCATATGTTAGACCTTTGCCAGTGACCCGAAGACTCCAATGTGATCCCATGTTATACATGCAGCAGCTGAGAAAAACACTTGTAAAAGCAGTCGGGTGCTAAACCATGACGTAGAGCCATGATCTGAAGAATCCCTGATGGTCTAGCTGAATATGGATCCCTCTACTGCTTTCAAGCTTGAGAATTTCTATACTTTGCAAGCAATTTCTATACCAAAAGTGCTAGTCTCTAGCAGTTTAAAATCTAGCCACCAAAAAAATTGATATGAAGGTTAGGAGGTCATGGTCCTATGAGAACTACATTTTTTTGCAGATGAAGAAACGGTCAATTCAGCCCTTTAACAAAAGGTTTCAGACAGAACCTGTTTAGGGCTTACTTTGGAGCAGGAGGAAATCCACTTCTGCAAGAGACCACTGACTTTTGAAGAACCAAGGACATAGCCACTTCTTGCTCTTATAGTTCCACTCATAGTGGAAGCACCAAGGACATAGCCTCTTGTAGCTCTTATAGTTCCACTCACAAAGTAACAAGACTGGCTCAAGTGCAAAACAGACTGTCTCCCAATCACTAAGCAGGAATGACTAAACAAACTATTGACCAAAATCATATCTGTTTTTGGTACATCCTTCGGTAAATTTTGGAACCTTCAAATTCTGCATAGATTTCTCTTTCCGTCCTTATTCCCAGTGGATTACTCAATAACCATCCCTCAGTGTCACACACCACATTAGGGTCAATGTTTTCTAAGGGTAGAAGATTATCTGACTCAGCATCAAAATAACTCCTCATGTCAAACGCCACTTCATGCACATCAGACTGAATAAATACCTGTTCAATGAAAGTTTTACATTTTAGCATGTTAGAGACAAAAAGCTAGGGCACAGCATAAGAGGGAGGAGTGCAAATATTATTATATGTAAAAAGTTTTTATAGGAATGTGCAAAAGGAACTTATTTCAAACCAAAGTTTTGTGCAATCACAGTAAGATGACAAATTGATGAATCAGAAGTGAGAAGTTAACTGGCATGTGGAAACCATGTGAAACTATCTAGGCTTTGAACAAATGTCCAAAAAATATGATGCCAAGTCATTTTTCTAGAAGAGCATACTTTCTCGAGAACTTATTATTATTTGGGTTCAGGCCGGTCATTTTGGTCTTGTTCAGTTGTCATGGACCTCATAAAAAACTAGAGAGGAACACACTTCAATCATTATTGTTTAGAGATGTCCATATGTTAGTTAATGCCTCAGAATGATTCCACTTGTTTGAGTCAATACAAGTTTTAAACGGAATGGCAATGGGTGAACCACATTAGAATGGTCTGGATTCTGGAGTTTTAGATGTTGAACCATGGATGATACCAAGACTTAATAGTGCATGTTCTTCACTTAACCTCCAATGTTGATTTTTATGCCATGATCTTTTTCTGCAAGTCAATCATATTAAAATATATCCAAATGACGGGGAGTACAGTCCTGATAAATTCAGTTCTGTTAAAGACTTAGGGTCTCCAATCTCCATGGTCCCAAGAAGTTTTAAGTTCACGTAATCCAAGATATTATACTTAGAACAATTTGTTCAATATATGTAGCTTCCAATCAAATAAACAATGGCTACATCCCCAGTTTACCTCAAAAAAGAAGCCTTTATGGTGAACTGTGTACATTAGCTAAAATTCATGCAGCCTTTCTCTCAAAATTACATCTTGAGCACATACCTGTCCTCCAGGCGCTAAACTATCTACAATATAATCCACCAAAGGCTTCTGGACAACCCTTCTTTTGTGGTACTTTTTCTTAAAATGCGGATCTGGACACTGCATACAATTGTGAGGGAATTAATGTTCGCTTGTAAACAGTCGCTGGGGCGACTTTAAGAAAAAAACCTTCTAGGTATTCCTTACTAGATAAAAAATGCAAAATGCATTTAATTTTAGACTGTTCCAGTACTAGAAGTGCACTCACCAAGATGGAAACTAACATCAAGGGTCCAGGATATGTGGATACGAGATGGTGGAAAGAAACAGTGGCATTTGTGAATATAAAATGTCTGCACCAAAAACATTCGATTGTTGGTGGAAGTAATATTGTTTTTTCTGTTTCCAACAGAAGTACAAGTAATTCTCAAACCTTACATATTTCTAAGAGCCAGCTCATCTAGCCAATATTGGGCTCGCTTGACCAACTGGACAGGGAAAGAAAATGTTACTGCATGAGAAAAAAAGTCACCTCTCTCTCTAAATTTAGGAATTAGGAGTAAAGGACCAAGCATTTATGCATTAACTCAATCAGAAGAATACTCAATAGGATTCGAAGTAATCTGAGAATGTTGCCATACTTTCTGCCGTATTTCCAGTCCCAAATAATTCTGGCGATCAGAATTTCTTTTTGCAAGCCACATGATAAATCTGCCACTACCTGTAATTTTTTATGTTGTTAGAAGGAGACTGACCATCAATAAGTTTCCATCTCAATCTGATTATGTAAAGGAAAACTTAAAAAGCAAGAATTCAGGGAAAAAATAAAACAAGACGAAAGATCCATGCCACACATTGGCTTTAAATGATGTTATAAAGAGAATTTACGTCCTCTCTCGCACTAAAGATCAAGTTTTCCTCATGTCCACCTATGAAAAGTGGTAAATCATGTTAAGTAATGCCAAAGAATAGACGTTTAGCAGTTCACCCAAATTGGCTGGACAGTGCTGGGCTAACAACAAGCTTTCATCCTCCCTTACACTATTTATAACTAATAGTGCGCACTTTATAATATGTGACCTCAAAATCTTTCATTTCCTACGTAACATTTGGTCCCAAAATCCCTAACCAACATCATCACAGATTTTTTCAAAACCAATTATTAAAATGATCCTCTCTATCACATTTACCCAGCAATCTTCCACAATGCACAATCTGATTAGTCGCAAAGTTCATGAGAAGTAATAGTCAAACTTGACAACAACCATTTTCATGTCTCCCAAATAACGACTACTTGATGATACTCTTTTGTAAGCCTCTCCCCCCTCCTTTTCTCACTCACCCTCCTGTCTTCTAAAAACAAAAAATGGAAAAAAGATTTTGAGAATAACTCTTTATGGCCCTAAATTTTCTCTGGTGTAAAAATCCCATGTGTCGGGATCGTAGATATCAGGAATTCAGGATCGTAGAACCCCTGGCGTCCCATGCATGCAGATCACACCTGAAACTGGATTGATTCGTGAAGATCGCTCAAATTCCCAACCCCAAATTGACTCTTGAATCATGATTGAACTAACCCCAAATTGCAACCATAGCCCCAAATTGTAACCATAACTTATTATTTATGCCTTGTGCTTGTGGTGGTCATTGAACTCATATTTTGAATTGTTGAAACTTGAATGTGTTTATAGTGCAAACTTGCAACCATTAGCTTTAGTATTTACAACCATTTGTTGATATGTTGTCTTAGATTATGATCCGCTTTGGAACTTTGTTATAAACAAAACATAGGTTTTTTTTCTAGAAAGTGAAAATAAGTAGTTAATTATATATATATGAATGTATGACTACACATAACTTCATGTAATAGTAAAAGAAATCCAGATAAGAGGTACAAAACAAATTACGACCCAAACTATCAACTAAGCCTACCCTTATTTTTGCATTTATCCCCTTAATCTTACGATTTTTAAGTGTTAAAATTGTCTATTTGCTCAAAAACAAATGAAAAACAATCGTGGGAATCTATTTGTCATTGTTTTCAGAATCTACTTACAAACTTCTAGAAAATCAGTAGTTTGTAAAAGGAAATGCATATTGGGGGCAGGCTTTGCTGCTCACTTTAAAGTGCACAAATCGTTTGAAGTAACCAAAAAGATAGCAAAACAAAAGTACGTTTCATGGTCACTTTAATAACAGGTAAAACCAAACAACATGGCCAGTAAAGGCTAGGAAGGAATAGAACTGAGTTGAGTAATTTACCGCTCCCTACATCCACCATCAATGGCAACGTTGGGTCCTTGAAAACTTCATTCCAGTTTGGTACTTCGGCAGGAATCTACCAATTATTAAGAAAATGAACTCTTTGACTCAGCTATAAAAAAGCAAATATTATCATAATTTGAACAACGGGAGACAAATTTATCCAAATATTGACATTGCAATTTTACCACGGTTACAACTTACAAATCGGGGCAAAAAGGAACAGATCACAAACAAAAACTATCCATCAAGGAAATGTGCGTGAGAGAGAGAGGGATTACCATGAGATAAGAACGAAGAGGGTTAACATGCTGCCGGATTCGAACATGACCCAACTCCTGAAACACTCACATCCACAATATACAATTCAATACTAAACCAAAAAACCAAAAAATTTCAATGACGACACAAACAATCATTAAGCTAATGTCCGATCAAGAAACACAACCAAAAAATGTGTTTCGCTTTCATGGAAAAAGGGCCCGCTGGGAAGCGTGTGTGTGAGACAAATGACTTAATATTACCTCAGAGAATTTATCAGTGAGATTGAGCTCAGCGTACTCCAAAGCAACAAGTTCAGGGCTGCTGATAATCTGATTGGTTTGTTTAGCTACAGAAGAGACGGCTAAGCTGGTACAGTAACGGCGGTGACGAAGACGATGAGGAGGAGTAGGATGAGGAATTAGTACCACTGGGGGTGGTGGTTGTAGCATGCGGATGGGGTGTTTGATGAAAGTCCCAGAAGAAATAATTGTTGAGCAAAGAACTTCTCGGGCCCTGGGCAATGCAGAGTAGAGCGAAGCCATCCACGGAAAATTGCGGCAAGAAATGAACTGACAGCAGATGCTTTCGGATGGGTATGTGATCACTCGTTTAAGCTTGTTTATCTTCTCTTTGTTTCCCCTCTTGTTCTAACTGTGAGTTTGGTGTGTCTCGTTTGATGAGAACGGAAAATTTCTGTTTTTTGGTCATATGAGAATGGAAATTACATATACAAAGTGGATCACTTATCACACCATCTCCAACGGACCCAAACCCTTACCTAAATTTAGGCCATACCAAAAAACCCAAAAGTCCAATGGGTCGCCCACGGCCCGTGCGCGTGGTAAGCCTTGGATAGTCCATTAGCCTAACCAGTAGAGCTTGGGTTGTATTTTTTAGGGTTGAGGGCCCATAATTGGGCAATTAAAAAGCCCATTGGCCCGTCTGTTGGCCCGCCCATTAACCCAATTTAATATACTCGTTGGAATATAACCACTGAGCGGACAAATTCCATTATTTTTTAAAAGTTATAAATTCTCCCCCCATAAGGACTTTCCCTTAATTTAAAATAAATACAGTTTCCCTTACTTTCATAGTTATATTGTTTATTTGTTTGATTGGTAACTTTTATAAGATTAAAACTTGTAAATGATTGACAATTGTGTAAGTGTCAACCTAGTTCAGATGTATTCAATTTGTAGTAATACAAAATAATTTCACCCATTTTTTAATTTATGTTTTCATACTAACTTTGTGTAATTGATTTTTTTTGTAATTTTTGCGTAAAAAAAAAAAATCAATGTCTTTTTTATTTTTTTTTTACATAAAAAAAAAGCTTGTTTCAAGTTCGACCCGCATTTAGCCCATTTTGGCCCAATAGGTCGGCCCACGAACAGGCCATAAAGAGGCGACCCTGTTGACTAGTCAAAACTCAGAGGCCCGGCCCATAGACAAGGTATGGGCCGAAAAATTGCCCGTTGTCGAGACCTACTTAAATTTCTCCAATGAAGAAACTCAAATTTAAAGGAAAAAAAATCTAAATTTAAATAAGAAAGTAAATTCAAATTTAAAAGAAAGTAAATATAATCATTAAATCTTTAAAAGAATGTGTAATTTCACTGTTGGTGAAAAAGATAAATATTTGAGTCTCCCATTGGTGCAACAATTAAATCCTTAAAATTTTGACTAAGTTTCAATTTTATATTTATATCTATATTCATCAATTTTATTATGATGAAATGACCTTTCGTGACCAATACGTAATTTGGGTAATAGGGTATATTTGTACAACAAATATTTTTTTGTATTGTCTACAAAATCATACATCATCTTATCTAATTCTGAAAAAAAAAAAAATAAGAGGCCCAAAAAAATAGCATATCATGAAATTTTGAGAGATATTGTGACACAAATATAAAATTATTATCAACTTAAGTGAGAAAAATATATCTTATTGCACAAATATTCCTTATGACCATGAGGTTCTTCTATCAAAAAAATAAATAATATATCTAATTGTTTAATTAGTGATAGAGATAGAAATAATTGTTTTCATTAATTTTTAAAATTTTATTATAGTACTAATTTATTGTCTGTGTCTGAAGGTACAGAGTAATAAAAAATAGTAAACAATAAACAAATTTGTATTCATATCCAAAATTAAATCATAAACATAAAAAATAGATAAAGGAAATTAAATATCAATTTGTAACGGGGGTGAGAGAGTGGTGGGCGACAGTGATGGTTGGCAATGACGGTGGTAGGCAGCGAGGGCAGTGGCGATGGTGGTGGTGGCGACAGCGATGGTAGTGGTAGTGGCGGTGGGGATAGTGGTGGCAGTGGCAAGGGTGAGAACTGTGGTGGGGTGGGGGTGGCAGCGGTGGCGAGGATGGGGGCGACGGCGGCGGCGGTGGTGGTGGTGACGGCGACGGTGGTGGTGATGGTGGGGGCAGTGGTGGCGGCGATGGCGATGGTGGCGGCGACGGTGGTGGTGGGGAAGCAGTTTTAAATACTATTTTTTTTAAGTATTTATGAGAAATAATTTTTAAAAATATTTTTAAAAAGTCACTTCAAACACACCTTTAGAGGTATATTTTTTCTATTAAATTTAGAGTGTTTATATTAACTATTAGATTAATTTTAAAATAAAATTTAAAGCAATCTCAACCGCGAATAGTAATAATTATTTTATTTATCTTTTGAGATTTGAATTATAAGCTATTTTATTATATAAATGATCTATTGTAAAATTAAAAAAAATCTTAAAGAAGATAGACTCAGCCCAATTCTCCTAAACTAAAGTGAAATAATGAGGTATTTGTTTTGGGTCGTCATTAATTTTTATATTGTTCTCAAGTAGATTCGAGAGTAATTTAATTTGTTTGATTTTGATGAGTGAGGATTTATTAGGCATGGTAGTGAATTGAAGCAGGAGTGGAGGGTGTAGTCTTCATCCTCATACCCACTTAAAAAAATTTCGTTTATCTTTGATAATGGATATATATTTCATCTTTATCCTCATCCCCTCTCCATCCCTTGCCCCCGCCTCTGTCCACCTTACCCGTTCAAACCCAAACCTAAGTCTAAGCCCAAGCCCAAGCTCATGTCAACATAATTCAAAATTCTTCATAAATCTAACATTTTAAATAATTCAACATAATTATAGAATATCATAATATAATTAAAAATTTGTCATTTACAACATAATATAATTAAAAGCTTGTCTTTCATGTAAATCCAACACAATATTATGCAACAAAACATAATGTAATATAATATAATCCAACATAAAAAAATATAATAACACAAAAATCTACACTTTTAAAAGTCAAAAACATAAATAAAAAAAATAAAGTAAAAAAATAAAACAATTTTCATAAAAAAAATCATTCAATAATATGTAAATTTGTATTCACAACAACATGTATATATATAAAATAATAATAATAACGGGAAAAGTGGGGCGGGGAGACGGGGGTAAATATCGGTCCATCTCTGCACGGGTTTATATGGGTATTTCTGTATACGTCTACTGTTCAATACGTATAGTTCATTCTCAGTCTAAACAAAACAGGTTTGGAAGAATACCAATCTTTATCCGATCCACTGCCATCTAGAGGTGTTTAAATTTTTGATTACCCATAATTTTCTATCATATCCGACCCTACCAGATTTTATTAATTGGTTAACCAAAAAAATCGAATAGGAATGCGAAAGATTTTTTGGTCTTCTGATAAAATCGAGTAAGAATGCGAAAAATTCAACAAATTTTCATATTCCTACCCTACCCTACCCAATCCGCATATATATAAACTAAAAATCCTAAGTCCCTAATGCCTAATCAGTCATTTCTTCCTCATCTGTCTCGATTTTCTTGCCTCTCACACCTCTCTCGTCCTTTCTTTGAACACCTCTACCTAACTCGGTAACTTGCACTTTCTCACCTCTCTATTTCAAGTGTTTTCTGGCCTCTCTTCCAATCCCAACCTCTCAAATACTCTTTGTATCTCGCTCAATCAATGGTCTTAGGTCCGTCGATGGTTGGTGGTTGCTTAGGGCTGTTGATTAGGGTTACAAATTCTATGGTTTTTGCATCCTAATATAAAAATGTACAGAAGAGCGGTTTAATTGGCTGTGATCTAGCCTTGGAAAATTTAATTTTCCAAATTTAATTTATATCATACTGTTAAAATTGTTTTTAGTCCTACATCATCAACTAATCATATTTCATAGAGTGGCACTATAACTCCCCTGGCATGTTTGATTACAATAGTTACTTAAGTTTTGATTATTTGCGTGCATGACTTTGTTTTCCACTTTTTAAGTATGACGTTTTTTGTTTATTAATTTCACTTTATTGTGTCTAACTTCGCATTAGTGTGTCCATAACTACTGCCGCTCATTTATGAGACTTTGTATATATTTCTTTCGTTGTTAAACATCTGTCGTTTAAGATTTTAACAAAAGAATTAAGAAAGTTATTAAATAGCTCTAATATAAGTAAAAAATAAATACATAAGATTAAAATATTTTGATTTAATACGTATTGGGAAGAAAAGAAATGTGAAAGACACTTAGTCTATATTTAATCTATTAACCACTTATTTGAAGACAGAGATAAAGATAAATTTGAAAAAAAAATATTAATTATACTTTAGTTTTATCGATATTATGGAACAAAAAAATTTGTATAAAACAACAAATATTTAGAAACCGACTAATTTTCTGACTAACGGGCGCCACTGACCACCACAAACCAAAACTCAGCAGTGGTAGGTGGAGAAGATGAGTTTGGCTCTGGCTTGGGCACTACCACCACGACCACCCCCGTCACCACAATCCTTCGCCTCATCAAGGCACACCTGCTCTGCATTTTCTCAAGCCTCCATTTCCTCCACCACTCGCCCTGCTGTCATTCTCCCAGTTACTCCTCTCTCTCTCTCTCTCTCTCTCTCTCTCTCTCTCTCAGTACACTCACCCATATGCATATATACGATATTGGGTATAATATACACTCTATTAATAAGCATGTGTTGCAGGGTTTAGGGAACAATACGGGTGACTATGAGAAGTTAACTCTTACCTTAGAAGGCTATGGAGTTCCAGCTGTGGTTGCAAAGGTGTCAAGGTTTGATTGGCTGAGGAATGCTGCTGGATTGGTGGACCCCAATTACTGGCGTGGGACCCTTCAGCCTCGGCCTGTTCTTGATTGGTAATGACCCTTCTGCCTCCAATTCTTTAGTGTATTTGTAATGTTAATCCACAAAGGTATGGTTTTTGAGTAAATTAGGAATCCATGGGCAGGTATTTGAACAGGATAGAAGAGGCTGTCAATGAAGCAAAGGAACTAGCTCAAGGTTTGTGATCTCTCTTGTAGCTTTGGATGAAGTGTTGTGTGATTAATTGGATATAGTTGTCTTTTTAAGTGTCCATGATGAGGCTATTTTGCTAAATAAGTTTGGGCAGAAACCTTACTCTGAATAGGTTTTGTTTTGTTACTTGAATCTTTTTTATATCAAATAAGACAAGTGATCTTCCTAGAAAACAAACCCACAAAGTTTGGTAGCCTGAGCATGTTACCATTGTGCTAAATATCTACCCTGACAAGTTGATATATATTTTCATATCATAAATGAGGTGTATGTATGTCAACATACTTCACATGAATGTGTCAAAAAAGCAGAACAGAATGCCTGCTTATTATTATGTTGTTCAATAAACCATATCATCAAAAGATTTGGTGAGACATGTTGCAAGGTTAAATTCTTTAACTGTCATTGGTTACAACAATGTAGCATATCAAAGAGTCTTACTATTTAAGATTTTCAGCAAAAGAAAACTGTTCTTGAATATTCAATCAAGCTATCCTCTGTATATGATAGGAAATTCTGCAGTCCCATGATCAAGCAAATTCTATTGTAGGTGGGACTTTATCTTTAATTGGGCATTCAGCAGGAGGATGGCTAGCGCGAGTTTATATGGAAGAATTTGGGTTCTCCGATATTTCCTTGCTATTGACTCTTGGTTCCCCTCACTTGTATGTATTATTCTATTGGTAAATGATTTGGGGGCTGACTTTTCGATCCCACATGTAAATGTTCAGATACATGTGCAGAATGCTATATGGTTTATATGGTTTACAAGGGACTTCAATATTTCCTATACTTACAAGCTTAATTGGAAATATTTTGGATATCACCATCAGATTGTTTTTCCTTTTCAGACCCTCTCCAAAAGGTTTGCCTGGAGTTATAGATCAAACAAGGGGACTCTTGGATTATGTTGAGAAACATTGCGCTAAAGCTGTTTATAGTCCAGAACTGAAATATGTGTGTATAGCAGGGAGGTAACTGTATCCTATATTCTTGTTCCTACTCCAAATTACTTCTCATCCTTTAACCTAAATATACATGATTTTACAACTTTTTGAAAATTTTTATTGTTTATATATATTATAAGCAATATAACCTTCTTATTCTTGTGAGGTCCCTAAATGCTGCAAGGTTGTAAAATTGCTAATGAAATTTGTCTTAGTTCATCATGAACACGAAATGCTGTAAATGATTTTTGACTTGTAACATCTTAGGCTTTTACAAGATGTGTTGTAGCATTGGAGCCTCACGGATGTTTATTATTCTGATTTAGAGTAAAATAGCAGAATGGAATCCATATAATGATCCCAAATTGTTGGACAAGTTTAAATTGAGTTGAGCTGGGTTGTAATTAGATTATTGTACTGCTTATGAATCTACAACCAGGCATTTAATGTTTTGAAAAAATGTGCTCCTAAGTGCATGGATGCAAGGAATTGAGAATAACAAGTCATTTATGATTTTATACTGTGTCATTCAAAAAAAAAAGTCACACATTTTTTCCACGCATATTATTTTCTTTGTGTGTTAACATTATTAAGGCAATGAACCATTAAGACATATCCATTGTGAATCTACCTATCCAGTACTGGTGAAGCCGTAAGTTTCGAAAGGCATAAGTCACAGACATATGCAGATGAAGTATAATTGCCATATATCCTTTAAAACACTGCTTTTGAACCTGCTTGAATGGTACTAATTCTTCCACCGTGGACAAATCGTGTTTATGGGCATAGAGATTTCTTCCACAATGGACACGTAGTATTTATGGACATATAATTTCTTTTATGACTTTCTATCCAATGAAATATCCCTAAATCTGAACGTTTATGAGATTTGGTATGCATATCATCTACACTAGGGAGAAAGTTAAATGGTCATACAGTTAACCTATATGGAACATTTAGATGACCTTTTGGCCTAGAGATAGGTCACTCTTTCCCCTTTCTGAAAGACTTTGGATGTCAGTTCTTGGGTTTCTTAAATACTTCATGGTGGTTGTTTGATCTGATTCATAACTATACATCCTTCCATATTGTACTCATTCCGCTTATAGCTTGTTGGATTATTTAGATTTGGTACATTCTATGCAATGTTACCTGAATCGTGGGTCGCCCCGGTATGCGATACAGGTACGGTTACGTGGTATGATACGTTCTTAGGTACGTGGTACAATGAGTGGTAGGTTGAGCTGATTCGGTATTTTGGGTCGCAATTCGTTTTGAAAAACTTAACCAAGATCATTTTCACCACTATATACCATTATATATCATAAAACATCCATAAACACTAAGTTAGTCATCATTTAGCTTAGATTTGTGCCCGATTGTTTATTATCTTAAACAATATATAATTATAAATCTATATACACGTAGTTAATTAATATGCATTTATATTTGTGTTACATATATAATATAGGATCGTACATTTTGGTGGTCTGAATTGCAAATCCACGTCATTTGGGATCAATGTAACCAAATCGTGGTTCGTCAGGGTTTAGTGAATCCTGGTAACTATGATTCTATGTAAGGTAGACAATTGATCCAACTGTAAGAAGCAGAAACCAGATTCATGGCAAAGGTATCCTTAGGCGTAGGTTTAGAGTGGAACTCCAAGAGAAAGGAAGGTCATTTGGGACCTTATCAAAGACTGGACAAGTACTATCCTATGGAGAGATTGCAACAAGGGAATACTTAAGTGGAAATTCATTTCCAGCATATCTTCTTTTGCTTCGCCAATGATCATAATGACATCTATTTGTTATTTTCATCTTTGTGTTGTGAAAGCAGACATCTTTATTTTCTGTTTTGAGGTATATTTTTCTTCTACTTTGCTGTGCATCTTCTTCTCAATTTTCACCCATTAAAGTGAGAATCACCCATCACGACATTGGAACCCAATAATATGGAAAATGACAACTCAGAAAGTTATATTCCGATTGTCGTTGTTCAAATGGAAGAGGACAGCAGAAGAGTTTTTTTTTTTTGGGTAAAAAGGGAAGCAGAAGAGTTGCAATCTTCGGACTCATTACACTTGCTTATCTTGACACCTCGCGGCAGAGAAAGGAAACCACCTGTAGGCTGATAACAAGAATGTAAAAGATGTTAACACAGTCCATCCTAACCAAAATCAAAACTGATCCCTAAGAAGCCTGCTTAACTCTCAAATCTGAATGGTATTCTATGAACTTCAGGTATATTCAGGGTGCTCGCTTCTTTGGCAACTCAGATATCAATTCCAGTTCTGCAATTTCTATTGAGATTGACCAACCAGTTTCAGAGGTTGCTATCATAAACGATGCTGCCACGTCTACATCAATTGCACCAACTTTCCGTGCACGATTCGTTGGTCAGGGGTACAAGCAGGTAAACATCTCCTAGTTCTCAATTCTTCATGGCTGTCTTCATCTTCTTTGGTAATCCTGGATTGAAAGTACAACCCTCTGGTTAGAGTGCTGATAGGTGCGTGTGACATTGTGTCAGGTTTGTGGTCAAGCAGATGTATGGGGCGATGGAGTGGTGCCAGAGGTATCAGCTCATCTGGAAGGAGCACTCAACATTAGTCTGGACGGTGTGTACCATTCACCGGTTGGTTCAGATGATACATCAAGACCATGGTATGGGTCTCCTGCTGTCGTAGAGCAATGGATACATCACCTCCTTAAATACCAACATATGAATTAATCAAAAGGAAAGAGGAATTAATTCATTCCTTGTCTTTACATTAACAACCATTATATGTACCATATTGAGCTTATAAATTAGTCTGCTCAATGATATGTTTGTCGTCATCAGAATGCCACTGCCTTCAACTCTACTCCCGACTTTTTTGGTTTAACAGCGAGAGGTGTCCGAGCCAATTTATCTTCTTTTTTTTTTTTCATACTCATGGGGTCTTTCCTTATATTTTTGTCCCAATCCTTGTACCCAAAATAGGTATTTCCTTCTAATTTCATTCTCAAGCTGGTGGTTGATTAAATCCCATTTTTCTCCTCCACGTTGAATGGGGTGTATCATTTTGAGTTAATAAGGATCTTGTGAAGTGATATACATTATGTCTAGGAATTTTTTACCGATCTACCAGGATTTTCATACCTTTTTCCCTTAAGTATCGAATTTGCAAACCGTTTTTACTCGAGTACCGAATTTTCAAGCATATTTCTCAAATTATTGTTGTTTATACGAATTGAGTGGTTTCAATTAGGCCTCAATTATTCGGCACGAATCAACAAGAAAATAGTAAATTTGAGGTCGATTTTAACGAATTTGGGTGATAAACAGGTGAACTTGTTAAATTCACCTCATAAACGTGTGTATTCGATTGAGGTAATTGAACTTGTTTACTCGATTAATAAATGGGTATATTCATAGCTATCCAAGTCTCCAAGTTGACTAGACTAGGCCTTAAGCATGTTCACTTTACATTTTAGAAACCCACAATTCCTGGCTCAAGGCACCCACACCTAGGGCTAGGATGCCACAAGTCCTAAACGATTGCCGATCTTCTCTTCGTCCGCCGACAGGTTTTTCCTCACTTTCTCTCTGTCGTTCTTATAGCATGACTAAATGTGATAATGTACGATCCTTGCGTTAGTTTGTAGCCTAATCTTCACATTTATTAGCAGGATAAATCCCTTGAAAAGTTGAAATGTATACAAAATTTTTTATGAGAAATGGGTCCAACGGATTAGAAAAGAATCTCCCGTCCTTGTTTTTTTTTTTTTAAAACTCAAATCAAAAGAGACTCAAATACTTGCATTTTTTACTAATAGTGAGATTACACCCTCTTTTAAAGATCTAATTGTCATATTTACCCTATTTTAAATTTAAGTTTGTTTTTATTTAAAAAAAAAAAAATTCTTCTTTTAAATTTGAATTTCTCTATTGCAGAGGTTTGTATCAAATTAAGTTTTTTACTCTTTTTTTTAACTTAAATTTGGATAAAGGATTGAATCTTCATCGGAGATGGTCTAATAATGACGAGTTGAAAGGGTTATCGTGTGATTTTGAATTGACCCAAAATAACTCGTTTATTTAGCAGGTTACACGGTTAATGTGTAACTTGTTTAATAAATGAGTGATATTTAATTTTGTAATTTTCACTCGTTTAATAAATAAGTCTCGTATGAATTGAGTTTCGACAAAAATTCGCTAAATTTTTACTCCAACCCATTTTATCCTTACACAATTGTCGTCCCAAGTTTCAATGCCTGCTTTTTATCCTAAAAGCGTGCATTGGTAGAATTAGCATACATAATACAACCATTTTCTAGTGTCATTAGCATACCAGAGTTTAGCTTGTCCTGATGCGATACCTCTCTCTCTCTCTCTCTCCATTCACATTCTTCCCTAAGTTTCTCAAGGAGATTGGAACTGCAACTGCATCAGACATGTTTATCGTCCTACAGCATAATTGAGATTGATCTGTTGTCAACAAACAATGCTTTTTATACAATTCAGATAGATCCTTTTATTGAGTGGACTACAGAACCAAATGGATTGGGTCTATGGAGGACCAGACCCGACCTTAGGTCCATCAAAGCCATGTCAAATTAATTGGAAAAATAAAAAACCGATAAGGCTTCTGAGACTAATTCAGATCTTAGTTCAACCTACTCCACAAATGATCAGTGAGTTCTGCAGCTGCCTGCAAACAATGAGATTGTAGTTTTCAAACTTTCAAGCACAGTTAGAACTGCAACACCAACGAAAGATCATCTATCAATACTTCCACCTGCAATTATTCTGAATACCAGTATAATATATTCCAATGCCATTTGGAAAGAGAAAAGGTTAAGGAAAAAATGACAGGCACAAGCATTTGCACCTCTGAATACTCCAGAAACAATCACTCTGAATTCATAACAACTGAAAAACTCTGCTCTCTAAATGCCAATGGGGAAATCTCAAAGGCAATCTCCTGGTTACAGGAATTGCCGGGATGTCTCTAAGACCTTCATAAGCATGGAATGGACAGAGCATTTTCTTATAGAGTGTGCAACGGTTGAAGTTTTCATCTGATCACCTGTCCAGACTAAGGATTCTTCTCAAGAAACCATGGGTAGAAAGAGGGATCTGAAAATGTGTTTTGAACATTTGTCTTGCATCAACAATAACCAGTGTTGTTATAAAATGGATATCACTCACAAAAGCTAAACTAATATCAATGAACCACATGAAAGAGCCTTTTTTCTAATCTGCACCAGCCTACTTTTTACAAGATTGTCCAACTGATAACATAAAAAATTACAGACCCACCCCAAAGAGTTTACTCTCAAACATAAACGTCAGTCTAATAACAACAAAGGATTCAAGAGTTACAAGAGCTTGCTCAACAGAGGGCTGGGGCATTAATTGAACACTAAAACACTAACAGTTGATTTCATGATTGGAATCAGTTAGTCTTCACAAAATGAGGGGATAGCAACTTCCCGATCTCTAAAAACCCCACCTTGTCCCGCCCTTCAAAGATTGTCTTCAGCTTGGCATCACAATAAATCTCTTTCTTATTTGTGGGATTCTGTAGGGCAAAAAAAAAAATTCCAAGTAACTCACCACACCACATCATCATATAACAAACATATTTTAAGAGCTGTGCCTGTAACTATCTAATTATAGCTTGTAAAGCAATAACCCTTGCTATTGTCTAAGAGCTAATATTCTTGAATCACAATATACACAAGCTTCAGAAGAAAATGAACATAACTGTCCAGTTCAATACAAGGAAAATGAATAGGCACAAAACAAACAATGGAATAGTATCAAACATCCAATTAACACACCCACATACACACATGTTTTGAGTAAAACATCTAGTTAAGGTACATGAGCATGCATAAAAACCAAACTGCACGCCCCCACACGACCAAGCAATTTTTATACTGGTAAGCCCTGTAAAGCACGCCAAAGATGCAGGACTCTCCTGTTTTATCCAAATATAAGTAAATAAGCTCCAATTGCATCTAACCGTTTGGTTACATTAACATCTATGTCTGAGTGGCCATGCAACTTAATCTAATTGTCTCAAGCAACTGACTAGAATAAGGAGAAATCCAAGCATATAGGATCGCTTCTAAAGTGGTATGAACAATTTGTTTGAAGCCACATATATGATCCCACATCACCAACATTACTACGGGAATGCTTTTTCTCACACCGTTCAAATGATGGGACTGTTTATCACATCTTTTGAAAGCCCTCCTCCACTCTCCACTCCCTGACCGCCCGCCCCCCCAAAAAAAAAAAATCACACATACACGCTAGACTATAGTTAAGAGAGGAGTACAAAAATTCCATGTCAAACCCGAGGAAAATAACTAGAGGCATTGATAATCATATGCATACAAGAATGGGATCCAAAGGTCAATGGTGCATATAACAATACAAAAGCCTAGGGTTTAACCATACATATCCAATAATCAAAGAAGAAAACTAGAAAGACACTCTCCCAGCACAAAAAAGCTGAAAAAAGAATATGCTAGACAATAACATAAATTTTCACACAGTTTCATTTCAGTTATGGCATGATAACATAATGAAACAGTCATAGTAAAATACACCATTCTTGAACACTTTCTGTGACTTGTTGGTCCTATCTTCTTGAACAGAATTATCCTAAAAGGTTAAAACAAAGAATCCTTTCTGGTTTTATGAAATTGAGACTATATAGTGCGATCTAGCAAGTACACATGGGCTGTTTGAGTAAAAAAAATTGTGGAAAAATGCGAAATTTGAGCTTGTAAATCATTTTCCTAGGAAACAAATTCTAGGGTTTATATATTCTACTCTTAGCAAACCCATAAATCATCACACCACACACGCATATTTGAGAGATGAGAAAAACCTGGAGATTGTGCAGCTTGATATAGTCCCAGATCTTTTTGACAGCATCAGAACGAGAAGTCTCGTGGACGCCGAGGAAGCTCCCGAGCGCCGGTGACAGAGGGGCGGACTTCATAATGCCGGTGGGTCGAGTCGGTGGTGGACGGGGCTTCGGTGGAGAGACCGGCGATTTTGACCTTGGTTTTGGTTTTGGTTTGGATTTGGTCGTAGTGGTCTTCTTGGAAGTAGAGGCAGAGGGCTTGGAGGTCCCGGTCCCAGCCTTCGCTGCCTCCAGCAAAGCCCTACACCCCCTGAAAACCCTAGATGTCGCCGACATTGCCCTTGATTTGGATTCTGCTCTGTGTGTGTGTGAGTGAGAAAGAGAGATTCAATCTCTATCCTATGATCCAGGAGGGACTGAGAGTGGAATCCAGGGTCTGTGTGTGTGTGTGTTCGTTGAGGGGTTTTTCGTGCAGAGTCCACTGTTGGTGGTAATGCTACTGTTACTATAGATGTGAGATGGATTGCTATGCTACAGAGGTTAGATTAGGGCAGGTGGTGATTAATTTAGGACTGATAATGAACCCTTTTTTTCTTTTTTTTTTTAAGTGAACTTAAAAATTTGTTGGATAGAATTTTTGAAATTTATAGGCACGTAACACCATAAATTTTATAACTAAAATTTATATTTTATTATGTCATTTATTGATATAAAAAATTATTTTAAAAAAAATCATAATTAATATAAAATTATACTAAAAAAATAATAAGAGATCAAAATATAATAAACACAATATCTTCTATTTTTAATTAAAGTACTTTGGTCATTTAATAGATATTTTTAGACCCTTCAAATTTAAAAAAAATATATTCCAATCAAAGATAAAATATCAAATATTTTAAATTTTACAACACAAATTATTGTTTTATTATATCATTTATTGATATTAAATTAAAAATAAAAAAATCATAATTAATATACAATTATATTATCTATTGAAATAAAACTAAAAAAATAAATAAGAAATCAAACTATAATGAACTTAATATCTTCTATCTTTAATAGATAGTATAATTGTATACTAATTATAATTTTTTTTTAAAAAATTGAATTTTTATTTTTGATTTTATATCAATAAATGCTATAATAGAACATAAGTTTTAGTTATAAAATTTAAAATATTTGATATTTTATTTTTGATTGAATTATTTTTTGTTTAAATATAAATTTTAAACTTGAAAAGTCTAAGTGTTATGCGTGTACAAACTTTAAGAGCAAGTTTGTTTGCAGTATTAGATTAGGGTGATATTATAAATCATTTTCATTCCATTCCTATCTAATGGTATATTATACCTTGTCTTAAACTTGTATCTTATTCTTCCCTTTGTTTGTTTATTCAATAGCTACTATAGTGGATTCCACAAACAACCATATATTCTATTACATTTTATATAAAAAAATATATCATTTTACCCTTAACATCTTCCATTTCATTTTACCCTTAACCATCTATATAAGGAAAAAATTTAAAATAATTTAAAAAAAATCGGTTACACCGTACACTTAAACATAATATAAGGAAAAAATTTAAAATAATTTTTTTAAAAAAATTTAAAAATAAAACAGGTAATATCGTACGCTTAAACATAATATAAGAAAAAAAATTAAAAAATTTAAAAAATTTAAAAAAATGGTAATACCGTACGCTTAAACATAATACAAAGAAAAATTTTAAAATAATTTATAAAAAAAAATAATTGGTTACACTGTACGCTTTAAAATATTTTTTTTTTTAAAAATCGATGAAACCGTACGCTTAAATATAATACAAATAAAAATTCAAAATAAATTTTTTATATGTAAACTCTTTTACATAGGAGGACATTTGTGCCATTTTACTCGCTTTTACCGTCCTTTTACTTGTACTGGGGAAGATAATACCACTTGGTAGGTGGTATTTCTTAGTACCATATAGAAGGCATTAAAGTCACTGTTTACATCGGGGTCGGTACTACGACCAAAAAAATAATACCGAGCGAAAAATGTCAAACAAATAAAGTATAAAGTGAGCTCCGCATACTATTTCCCTAATACCATCCCTTTATACCACCCATATCCTAGAAGCAAACAGGGTCTAGGGAGTTTGTATGTAATATTTCAAATGTCAGGCATCTAAGTGATTAGCTAACAAAACTCTTGAGGATTGAGTGTAATCCTCCCAAAATTGTTCAAGCAAAATGATTCAAGTTCGAGTTGAATCCAAAATAAGACGAGTCTGAATACTTCAACTATTTTATATATAAACAAATTGAGCTTTGAGAGTTCGAACGGTTATAAAATCATTTACAAAAATGAGTCTAACAAATTATTCAAGTTCGACTCATTTAGAAGTTGTCAGAGTATCAACCCTACTAGTTGTTAGAGTATTTTAAACAAAAGAATATTTTTTATAGGGAAACTCAAACCCATTCTCGACTAAATTTGTAAAAGTATATATATATATATATTAGTGTTATTTAACTTTTGAGTTAAAGTAAGACCTTGGAGACTCTTACATGCGCAGCGGTGGAACAAGCGGAAGAGATACGAGTTTCTACTATTTACAAAATACACTGATCAGGCTATTCCGCACTCACGTAGCGCTTCCCCTGNTTTGAGTTAAAGTAAGACCTCGGAGGCTCTTACATGCGTAGCGGTGGAACAAGCGGAAGAGATACGAGTTTCTACTATTTACAAAATACATTGATCAGGCTATTCCGCACTCACGTAGCGCTTCCCCTGGCTCGCCTAGATAAAATAAAATATTAACTAGTATTAAATTTATTTTTTAATATTTTATTTGATTATTTTCCATCATAACTCCTATATTAAAAATTCAATTTATGAATACCAAAGATTCTAACGGCTAGTTTTTCAACAGTTATTTTTTATTTAATTTTCATAGTTGCTATTTGATTAAATATGGGAGTAATTATAGAATATTAAACACTTATATTTTCTATATATATATATATATATATATTTACATAGTTCAGTATAGAAATGTACAATCTGAATATCTATTATATTCTTCTCTACTACATAAGTTTATGGGTAATATTGAAAGGTGTCATGTAAAATTTATGCTTCATTTGATTGTGCAAATTTGAGTGAAATAATAGTCAATAGGCTAGGTTGTTGTATTTTGAGAATGACACGTTGTTATCTTCTGTGTTGTATTTCTTTCGTAAAAGGGTATGCATCGTCTTAAGAGAGCGACCTAATTCCCGCCTCACCCAACCATATATTTTATCTTTCAAACTCATCATAAAGTCTCCCTCTCTCCTTTTTTTTTGTTAGACACTGTGTCGTTAGTCTTTTGTAATCAATCGATAATAAACAAATAAAGAAGACAATTGAATACCACTAATTTTATATGGTAATTTTAAATGTAAAAGTTATCTGTGTTTATACAACATACTTGGATCCATTAGTCCTATATGATTATTCATAATTGATCAGTTACGCTCTGTTACGGTAATGACGTGATTCAACTGTTATATTTTTCAGCCTTTTTTGTTGTTTGTTTGGTAGTATTGATTTTTCTTTTAATTGCAGGTATTGAATTTGAAATCGAATTTTAGAGTTCTTTGGGGGGAAAAGAACAAAATAGACAAAATGTTTTGACACAAAAATCGTATTAAGTCTCTCGTGATATTTTATTGGGTATATTACACTGGCATCCCTCATAAATTGGTGTAATACTGTAATGCATAGACATCCCTATATATTTTGATTTTTTTTTAATTATTTTGAAATATCACAACCACCTCCCATTAGAACATTGTTCGATGATGCGTTATTTCATAAAACAAAGAGAGTGTCTCTATAATTATACCAATCTACCAGAAGTGTTAGTATAATTTACCCTATTTTCTTTCGAGTTAGCTCATTTATAATGTAAGAACCTACTTTAGGATTCTTATTTCTTAGGGAATTTTTAATTATTTTCTCATTGTTTGGTTTCAAGCTAAAAAAAATAAAAATGAATTGAAGTAAATAAAGATATTTTATATTTGCGCCAATCAGTATCACTATCACCAATGATAATTGTTATACTTAATTGGCAAACTTATTCCTAATTTTATCTATGCGAATGTTACATTTTGTGTACAAAATTATTATAATTATTTAAATTATTAGCCAAAACCTAAACCACATGGTTAGATTAAGTCTTTTTGGTGTTTACATTCTCTTCCATTTCATTCCCCTCCCCTCAAACCAAACTACATAGTTTTATTATTATGTTTGTCATGTCTAGTTTGGTGATATTTGCACACTAGAAAACAAGTGCAATAATGTAGGAAACAAAAGTTAAAAGAAATTTGAGGTCACTTTGGTATGATTTCACTTTCAAACCAATATTATATAGAGGGATGTTCATTAACTTGAATCATCCTTAATCTTGGACAACACACCGATGGTAGTTTTATTAAGTGCTTCAAAACTTTAGCAAAAAGTATAGAAAGANATCATCCTTAATCTTGGACAACACACCGATGGTAGTTTTATTAAGTGCTTCAAAACTTTAGCAAAAAGTATAGAAAGATTAATCTTAGGTAGTTTAAATGATAACAATAACGAACTGTAAATCTAAATATTTTTAGTTTGAATTCTGGCAACTCCTTGAAACTAGATCGATTATGAAAGATTTATCCCTCATGAATACTCTAGTTCCAACGTGAATTAGTCGAGATACGTGTAAGCTAGTTCAGACACCTCTGACCATTAAAGATTTTGTATATCAAAAAATTATGATTTTAATGATCATCCATTATAAAAATATATTCCTTTGAGTGGATATGTGGAAGTAAGCTATGATGATATAAAGAGACCTATAATTTCTGAACGCATTGAAATGACTCAAGAATTTTCATTAAATTTCTATCCTCCTGACCCTTAGGAATAATGTAACAACAGATAATCAAGAATTTTCATTAAATTTCTATTCTCCTGACCCTTAGGAATAATGTAACAACAGATAATTAAGAATCAAAATAGGTCCAGTTTTCATGCAGCATATGAATAGGAAATGTATTTGCTTTGATAAGAATGATGAGATAGTAGAGTTTTATGTTCTTCATCGTTCGATACCATTGAAAGAGAAATAAGAAGAAGTATTATCAAATGATAGGGGTGCAACTCGGGTGAGTTGGACGGATTGAGAGGTCAACCTTAAGTATATAATCTTCAACCTTAACCCTAACCCTAACTCAACCCGAGTTACTAAACTCAAGTACTGTCCGAGTTTAATTCGGACAGGCGCGAGTTGAATTGATGTTGATTTTGGGTTAAAAATCATGCTAGGCTTGTGTTACTTAATTCGGGTTAATTTTTTGAAGTATAGATATGATTTTTTGAAATGTAGATCTGATTTTTTCAAGTGATATGAAATAAAGTTCGAGACGCAGATGAAGAGAAAGGGAGTGAGAGAAGAAGGAGTGACAAGTGAGAGAGGGATTTGAGAGTAATGGAAATGCAAGAGTGAAGTAAAAGTTAGGACTTTAAATAGTGATGATAAATCATAACCCTAATTAAAATATATTTATATATTTATGTATATTCGGGTTCAACCCAATTTAATAATCGGGTTCAACCCGACTTTAATATTCGGGTTCAATCCAATAACCCGACACCTCAACCCAAGGTTTGCCCAAATTCAATTCGGGTTAGAATTTTTTTGATCAGACTCAATTCAAGTATTAAAAATTCTAACTCAAGCTTTTTTTTTTTGGTTGGGCTATGGTTGAATTCGGGTTAACCTGCCCAAGTTACACCCCCGTCGAATGATTTCATATAATTCTTCCCAATATAAAATGAGTAAAGAATCAAACTACGAGTGACTGCTCAATACATCTATTAGGTTAGAAAAGTCCTAGTGTATGATCTGTCTCGTCCATTCTAATTATATGTTTATTATTCATGTCCAGTTTCATTAATGAGTCGTGTCGTGTCAATAGTATTTAAACCATGTTATATTAAAATTTATTCAATACATTTTTTTGCGAATTTAACGAGTTGACTTAATTATAATTGAATTCGTTAAAATTAAACTCATATTTAATAATTCCATTTCAATTTGAATTGGGCCTCACGAAAAAATAGGTGTGGGTTGCCCTTACCTCGTCAAAACCCAAATCAACCAAACAGACCAATCCAAAGCAAAGGCCTGCTTGTCCCTCCCTCATCCTCAAAGCAAAGAAGCTCCCTTTCCTTATCCATTCATTCTATCACATCCTGCAGCAGCCCCATCTCTGCTCTCGTCTGTCTCTCCCTCTCCCTTCTCTCTCTCGCTCTCTCTCCCTCTGCATATACTTCTATCAATGTTGTATCAACATCTTCTTGTATCTTCCATTTCTAGTTCAATCAATTGTCAAAGTCAGCTTCATTGATTCATACATAGTCTTTAAATCTATGTATAGTATGTATGATTCTTATGTATGCAGATAGATTGATAGAAGAAACATGTCGTGTCTGTTGCCGCAGTTCAGGTGCTTGCCGGACACCTTCTCTGTTAACTTTAAAACCCACCACCACACTGCCACTCAACCCTGTAAGTCTCACCCTCTCTCTCTCTCTCGCTCTAATTATATGTTATGTAGTTTAGATAGTCCATTAAGTAGCTAATTTTCTATTGAAATTGAAATGGGTAATTTTGATTTTTTGTGGGTTTTGGAACTACTTCCAGTTGTTATGGTGCTGCATTGTTGATAGCTGTTCAGTGAGCATCTCTCTCTGTCGTTACTTGGAAAAAAAAGTAGAAAAAAAAACCCATGGGTATTGTTTTGTTTCTTTGGGTTTCGTATTGTCATTTAGAGAATATTGTTTGTTTATAGCATTAGAGATTCAGTTGTTTCAGTGAGATTGAAGAAATAATTGGACTTCTTTTTTTTCTTGGTTACCTGAATCCTGATTGCTGAGAAAATGGGGGAAATAGGGATCATTTTCTTTTAAATTTTTATAATTTTTGTTGTTTTGGTAATTGAGAAATGCAAAATTCAGCTTAGCTAAATTTCGCATAGCTCAATTGATGATTTGGTCTTTGAGGGACTCAAAATATGAAGAGGCATTAACATTTTAATTTCTATCTTTACCTACATTTTAGCAATACGGTTTTAATTTCATTTATTCGGCAGCAAATTTCAATTTAAATTGTCCTTTAGCCATATATTTTGTATAATTTTTGTGTTGATGTGCAATAATCTATCTTTAACATTTTCGTTTTTGCAGCTTTAACTGAGACATCAACATGCAATGGTCCATATCCTGGGCATTTAACTGGGACGGTGTTATTATTTTAATGTGTAATAACTTATAAGTAATAAAGTGTTGGTTAACAAATTTCATGGAATTAGATGTATAATGGTCAGTCATACTGTTGAGAAAGTTGTATATTCATTACTCCATTGAAGTAAGAGAAATGTGGACCAAAAAAAAATTAGAAAACTGGTGGCACCTATATTAGTACTAGTATTGGCAAGAACCTAGATCTACACCCTTTGTTAAAATTGTCTAATAGCTTGCAAGATAACCTGGTGATGCATTGCTGGTAACCTATTTTTTGATATTTGAGAACAACCTAGGCACTTGGACAATTTATGAGAAAACTCTGATAAAAGGGTAATGTACTCTTGCTAGTGAGATGTTGATGAACAAGGCACTTTATACATTACTATGTTTGATGTTTGTATTGTGTGTATTGTTCATGTTATCACTGAAACATTTTTCCTCATTGAAATTAAATATAGTCTTGTCTAATTTTTCCTCATTGAAATTAAATAGTCTTGTCTAGTTTATATTTTGTGTTCTTCCACATAGTATTATTGTTCTTTGTTTAGTGTGTCTGTGACATATTCACGGGGACTACGCTTGCTATCCTCATGGAAGCATATTTGTCAACTGATCTCTCTTAAAATGCTCAACCAGAGGCCACTAAAGTGCATTTTGCATAACCACATATCCAAATCCAACAGCACTAAATTATAATTTTCACTTAATATTTTGGTCAAAAACTGCCCCAGCTCTTAGTGCATTGAGTTATGGTTGTTTAAGTTATCTGAGAAAGTTCATTGGTTTTTGTTGATTTCTATTGTTTATAGAGTCATGGATCTTATTGTCATCATTTGATGGAATTACAGCAAGAAATAGGGACCCTACTTACTTACGGACACAATGCATTTTGTCTACTGCATCACCACCAACATCAACAGCAACAGCTACGCTGCTCGATGTAGAGAAGTTACAATTACCATCTTTAGAAGCTCATTCGAATTCAGTTGCTGCAAACAGACCATGGATATCACCCACATCATCGACAACTGCAGTGCTTCATATGGAAAAGTTGCAATTGCCGTCTTTAGAAGCTCATTCAAATTCAGCTTCTACACACAGACCATGGGCCTATATTGGGCCAGTCAGTCCACCCTTGGAGGTCAGAATTTATCTACTTAGGCTATAAAAGCTTCCCTTTGGGGGATAAGTTATGAATTTGCATGAAGCATGTCTAACTATGTTTTGGCGAGATGTTTAATGTCTTTGGACTTATAGGTAAATAGTTTTTTTTTTTTCCATTTGAACCACATTGGAGTTGTTCTATTACTTTTCTCCAGTTTCAATTAAAAGGAAACTGGTTGAGCAACTTCAGATGCATGAATGTTTGCATGATTGGAGTATGGGTTAGCTGTAACTTGTGTTAGTATTAAGCATTCAAATGCACACTGCTTCATAGTTAATGTGTTGTTAAACCAACTAGATTTTACCATGTTGGAAAACTTTTTTGGCATGATGTTCGTGAGCTGCCCTTTTTTCGGTTATTCTCCCAAGTGGATCCCAGACTTCAGGCTTGGAAGTCTTATAGGGTTTTCATTGAACGGTCTCTTGTTATACATGTGCAGGCAAATTTTGGAGCAACTTTGGCCGCAGAGAATCTTCTTACAAGTGAAGAGGCTGTAATAGCTGCTGCTTCTGCTGAAGCAGTTGCTTTAGCAAAGGCTGCTGTTAAGTTTGCAAAGGATGCAGCTATGATGGTGAACTATGCTAACTCTGCACAATCAGATGGTAGACCTACACTGCTCTCATTTGAAGCTGATAATTCCCTATTCAAGAGGGCTCAGTTGGCTCAACCTGTGGAAGCAGCACAAGTTGGTGTAGTGGGAGAATCAAGGTTAGATGAAAATCAACTGGAGGAAAATTATTCCTTAAGTTACACCCTCGAAGATTCTGATGATGTGGAGCCAACACATGAGGAGCTTGAACTCCTCCAGGCACAACTGTTGAAGAGTATAGCTGTGAGATCAAGGCATCAAACGGAACGAAACGAGAGAAGAGCAAGAGCAGCTGAGAGGGCCGCAGCCAATGTTGTGTCTGTGAAATCTGGTTCTAATAGCCGAAAAAAGCGAGCTTCTTTACAGGAAATAGATTACTCTGATCCTCTGCGTTATTTGAGGGGAACAACCAGTACTTCCAGGCTTCTCACTACTGCTGAAGAACATGAGTTATCAGGGGGAATACAGGTGCAATTCAAGTTCTACTAACACTGATCTTATATAGGAAACTGTTTTTTCAGGTTAACTTACTTTTGTTCACTACATACTACTTCTTCAACTAAGCAGTATCCTCTAGATTATATGTCTACGTAAAGCAAGTACCATGTTGATTCTTTTTCTGTGGATGTTGATTGCTAACTTTTGGCAGTAATTGGAGAGTTCCCATTGTATATTTTCTTTCATAGTTCAGTAGTCAAAGATTATATATAAGGGTTTCTTATATTTGTAAAAGGAAAATTTGGATGAAATAGTGATATCATGCTTTTGATCCAACTCGTAAGTTCACTCTGAGATTCATGACTTTCACATAATCCTGATAATTTCAGATTCCTCTCATAAGCTTCTAAAGTCCGGCATGGTTATATACCCTCCTTTTAAATTTCAATTGGTTTTTAAGATCACTACATTCCAAATTCATATATAGGTACAAATCTGAGACATTTTCATGGTATATATGTCCAGTTAAAGCTTTCAAATTCTTACTTTCCGAAAAGAATCTTTCAGATTCTTGCAGTTGGGAACTAAATATATTACATAAGAGCCTAAAGAGTAATCCACTCACTTACCCAAGCAATCTTTCAAACAACTGCTTTAGTTTGTCCTTTATTCTAACATGTACAAAGATTTATTATTGGTTCAATGGCTCAGACTTCTGGTATCCTGTATTTTGAGATATTCTCAAAGTTTTACTGTAATTCCCTGTCGGGTCTCCATGTGTGCTACTACTTTATTCAGTTCTTGAGGAAATTGTTTTGACTTGTGCTTTAAATTGCAAGTAGTAGGAAATATAATGTTGGGAAGTCTGTGCACTTAGATGTAGCTTAAGAAGGTCGATGACTGGAATATTCGTCAATGTTTCCATAAAAGTAGGAAGTAGGAACCTTTACTTTTTGTTGTAGTTTATTGCTTTATTTATTTATTTTATTTTTCGAGTTTCTTTTGCAATTTATTGTGTCTGATTTTTTATGTTTCCTCCATCACCAATATAATGCAGGTCCTGTTGAAGTTGGAGAAACTCCAGGACGAACTCGCAGAACGTTGCGGGATTCAGCCCACTTTTGCACAATGGGCTGCTGCTGCTGCTGTTGATCAGAAAACCTTAAGGAAGCGTTTAAACTATGGTATCTTTTGCAAAGACAAAATGATAAAGAGCAATGTACGGCTTGTTATTTCCATTGCAAAACATTATCAAGGATCTGGGATGAATCTCCAAGATCTTGTTCAGGTTTTTTTTTCGTTCTATTCTCTGTATCACATGATTGGAACTTTGTCTTAAGCAAGAAAACATTACATAGGTTAAACCTTTAGTGAATTAGGCTGTTTTTTATGCTTCTAATAACTTAATGTTGCTAATCGACATGCAGGAAGGATGTCGAGGCCTTGTAAGAGGTGCAGAGAAGTTTGATGCTGCCAAGGGTTTCAAATTTTCAACCTATGCTCACTGGTGGATAAAACAGGCAGTTCGAAAGGCTCTTTCTGATCAGTCGAGGACAATTAGATTACCAGTAAGTTTTCCAGACGTACTAAGTTATCTCGTCTCGGACATGGCGTAAATTAATTGACTTTTAACTTCGATTAGAAAGAAAATCTCATTTTTCCTGTCACAAATAATGCATTGCTTTGTCAGTGAGACAATGAGGATGAAATCATTCTTGTGTAACACGTTCTTCATTTATTTGCCATTTTTTTGTTGACAGTTTCACATGGTGGAGGCAACTTACAGAGTGAAGGAGGCCAGAAAGCAGTTGTATAGTGAAAATGGAAGACAGCCTAATAATGAAGAAATCGCAGAGGCAACAGGGCTCTCAATGAGGAGGCTCAGTGCTGTACTACTAACCCCTAAAGCCCCAAGATCTCTAGATCAGAAAATTGGAATCAACCAAAATCTCAAACCTTCGGTCCGTTTGCAACCTTTCTTTCTTTCGAATTCTTGTGGTTATCAATTTTTTGTCATGTCCCGTTGTATATCTTGTCACAGTTGTTGTGCTTCTGGCGTTATTTCTTCTTCTCACGTGTTCATTTTGCCATCTTTCACAGGAAGTGATTGCAGATCCCGAAGCAGAAACATCAGAAGAGTTGTTGATGAAGCAATTCATGAAACAGGAGCTGGAGAAGGTGCTGAACACACTAAACCCGAGGGAGAAACAGGTGATCAGATGGCGGTTTGGACTGGAGGATGGGAGGATGAAGACGTTGCAAGAGATTGGGGAGTTAATGGGTGTGAGCAGAGAGAGAGTCCGGCAAATTGAATCTTGTGCATTTCGAAAGTTGAAGAACAAGAGGAGAACCAAACATCTGGAGCAGTATTTGATTTCATAATTGCCCCAACCCCGCGAGATAGAGAGATAGAAATAGAGGCTTGATGATATTGTTGAGTTTCTTTCTCTCCCATTTGTTTTTCTTCTGTTTCCAGCAAATGGAACTGTATCATTTTCAGAGAACACTAGAATTTGTTTGTCCATAGGTACAAAAGATTTTGAATCAATGCATTGTCAACAAAATTTATGCAGAGAAGGCAAACATACTTGGGGGATACGAACTGAAAGGATCATCAATGTTTACCATGGTTCTGAGTCCTTCAATGTTCAAGCTGAGAGGATTGCAATGAACTTGTATAATGACTTCTTCCCTTGTAGTATTTGTATTTTGTTTGGTCACCGGTGAAACGGGCAATGCAGCCGCTGCCTGAGATTATGCCGGGGCTGATCACTGACGGGGTTGTTTACGAGAGAATATTCAATATAATAGTGATATCATGTCAGCATTAATGATATGGTATCACCAATCAATAATAAAACTCTAAATGGGTAAAGTGAATTTTACTTGAATAGTTATTGGTTTACATCAAAGAAGAGTACGTAGTTATCTGCTTACATGAACGGATAGTTATTAGTTTGTGTAAGATTTATTTTCTTATTTGTCTACATATTATTAGTTGCTAATATATTATCGTAACAATGAATATCTTTTCGTTGTTAGCCCTTGTCTTTTTGTCTCTCTCAATAATTAGAGATCCAAGTACACTTTACCTAAATTAGTGGAACTGAAAGAAAAATTTAGGGTTTTGTGTATTAAACTATAAGGCTTTTGTTTGGTTACACATTGTACCATTATCCAAGTGTATGACATGGATAAAATAACGTAATGGTGAAATTATGGCATTATCGTTGTATGATATTATTATCTAAAAAAATAAATAAATGAATTATCGAATCTAACACAATTCATTAGATATAATAACTACTTCATGTGAAATTTATTTTTTTATTGGTTATTTTCTATTGGACAGTGACACTACATAACACCAATAACAATATATCACTGTTATATTAAATATTTACGCCTATGACATGTGTTTCTAAGTTTTGTTCCAATTAGAAAAGACAACTCAACACTGAAGTTTCTTATTAATTTGGCTTGGCTGCAAACTTATTACCTCCCCACTAATCAATACTATTTTTATATCTTAATCCATTTCAAGAAAAGTGTTTGGGATATAAATTGGACTAGAAACTTATAATTTATGATTGAAAAAAAAGTATAAATACAATCAGATCAAATGTGAAATTTTTCTCCTGCGTGACTCAAATCAGAGAAAATTCTTAAATGCAATCGAAGTCATACCTAAATTTCAACCCCAAAAATTGCTAGAAGCAACTTGGTACCATTAGACCACAAGAGCACACAACTTGGTGGTAATGAAGATCTTAATTGTAATCAAAGGATGAAGATAATATTTCTAGCAAATTTAGGGTAGAAGTTGCCACCAAACTGTTGTTTGGTCCCTCCTCATTTCAAAATTCGTTTTGGAGTAACCTATACAGGTAGTCCTTAAATTAATATCTTTGTGTCAATTAAATTTTTAATTTTTTTTATCAATTGGGTCATTAAACTTTTTAATTATGTCAATTAAGTCATTTTATCTACATCCATTAGATTTGTTAACGGAAAGTGACGAAATTTGTCGCCCACATGACACAAATAGTTGAAATATTTTACTTATATAGTCTATTTGTATCAATTAAATCTCTAATTTTTTCTCTGTGTCAATTGAATTTTTGAACTTTTTAGTTGTGTCAATTGAATCTTTTTGTCTTTTTATGTCGGATAGTCACACGAGTGATACATTCTTACGAAAACAAATAGATGGATTCAATTGATATAATTAAAAAATTAAAAAAATTAATTAATATAAATAAATTTAGAGACTTAATTTATACAAATATTATAATTTTAGGACCATGTATATATTTTACTCCTCCCCCGAAAAAAAAGTTTGAATTTTCTCTCTTAAAAGCTTTCATTGAAAAAGAATTTATTATCAAAATATAGTATTTTTCAAATAAAAATATCGACCTATCACACTTTTAAATTTTTTAGTTATCTGAAAACGGAATTATTGAGAGTTTTTACGTTTTACAATAATCCGACAAAAACCCATTTGCGCTCCATTAATATAAGTCATGGAGAGAGAGAGAGAGTGAGCTTATTGAGAGAGAAAATGAAAGGAGGGAAAAGGAAGGGTGGCGGAGAAGGAAATGAGTCCGTACAGCCACCACCCATGCCGGACATGGACGGCGGTTGTGAGGTTGACAAGGCGGGTTACAGTGGCGGAGATGCTGCGGATGTGATGGTGGCGGAGGCGGTTGTGGATCAGGTGGAGAAGAAACGGCAGGAGGAGCAGAATCATTATCAAGAAGGAAAAGAAAACGGGGCTGAAGAAGAAGGCGAAGAGGAAGAGGAGGAGGAGGAGGAGGTGGACAATGAAAACGGTTACGACCAGTTCGATGACCTTCAAATCGAAGAGGGTGAGGCCGAAACTGAGAAGCCAAAGCTCGCAGAAGGGTTTTATGAGATTGAAGCCGTACGGAAGAAAAGGGTTCGAAAGGTCAGTTTTTAACTTTTTATTCATTACAAATTAGTCCAAGAAACCGTTTGTGTTCTTCAATTTTCCTATACTATTAGATGTTCTTTTGACAATATGGTGCACGTGTTTCATAATCATGATTTGGTGGGTTATTATTGTGGATTGCTGATCTCCAATGCTGCAAAAAGGGCAATTTGCTTCCAGTGGCTGTTTGTATTTTTCAATTTTACTTCCTATAGCTTATTAATTCCATATTGTCATTTGTACATATTCGTTTACTGATTTTGTGGGTTTTGTTTGTGGATTGGCATTTTCGATTGCGGCAATAAAAGGGTGAAGTTCAGTATCTCATCAAATGGTAAGTGTCCTATTACACATACATATCTAGACATATGTGAATATTCATTTGTGTCATTTTTATTCCGGAATTCTTTGATGTCTGATGATGTGCTCGTGTTTTGTTGATTGATCATTATGGTATGTTTGATTGTTTAAAGGCGAGGCTGGCCAGAGACCGCAAACACGTGGGAACCTTTTGAGAATCTATTGTCATGTTCTGATGTTATTGATGCATTTGAGGNTTGATTGATCATTATGGTATGTTTGATTGTTTAAAGGCGAGGCTGGCCAGAGACCGCAAACACGTGGGAACCTTTTGAGAATCTATTGTCATGTTCTGATGTTATTGATGCATTTGAGGAAAGGTTTTCCTTTACTTTGCCTCTTTTTCCTCATTTTCCAATATTCAATGATTAAATGATTGTCACTGAAATTATTAAGATGCCCTATTTGTTATACATGGGTTTAAGAGCAATATCTCATTTGGGTAGTATTCTGTACTTGAAGCTTGAGTTCAGGGAAACATTCACGTAGACGAAAACGCAAGTATAGAGGGCCTCACACTCAATCCAAGAAGAAGCTACAGCAGCGTTCACCTGCAGCTGCTACTTATAATTTACCAGCTGTGAAGGTCAGGATTATTGAGGAGCCTTTGCCTTTTCCTCCTCTAAATGACTCAAGCCTTACAAACGAGGGGGACACTAATGTAGGGAGTGTCAACAATGTTGAAATAGCCAAGGAAGGGAAGGAGAATGGGTCTGCAAAGGTTGCCTCACAGATTGAAGAAAGGAAAGAACAGAATGAGTTGGACTGGACGCTTAGTGAACTGAAAGGAACTGTAACTGTCAAGGAGGACCATGTGGATAAGTTTTCAGTACATTTCCAACCAGCTTCGGCATCAGAAGGAAATGGAACTGTCAATGGATTGTCAAAGGTTGATAGTGTGGAACCAGTTGAAGTGGGTCGTCGTACTGGAGCCAGGAGGAGGAAGTCTAGTTCTGTTAAGAGGTTTAAGCAAGAGTCAGTCTCATGTGTAACAAATGAACAACTAATCGCAATGGCAAGAAGCACTGGTGGTGCTTGTGGTATAATTGGACAGCAAGGGATCCAGAATCTGAATTTCATGGGGAATGATTTGGGTTGCATGAATAACTTTGATAATTCCAAAAATATGTTTACAATCACAGAGATCATCAAGCCTATGAGCTATTCAGCTTCTGTGTCAAACAACATTCAGGATGTCTCTGTGACCTTCTTGTCCCTGAGGTTCGTGATCAAACTCTAACTTTCTCTTCTTCATATTTCCATGGTTAACTTTGTGTTTCAATTTTGTTCTGTGACCCTAAAGGGTAGAAGTTCTCTGGAGCTTCGATTTAGTTCAAATGCAATTCATTGAATACATCGTTCAAAAACACATGCTCTTGGGATTAACCTTTCTNAACTTTTTAGTTGTGTCAATTGAATCTTTTTGTCTTTTTATGTCGGATAGTCACACGAGTGATACATTCTTACGAAAACAAATAGATGGATTCAATTGATATAATTAAAAAATTAAAAAAATTAATTAATATAAATAAATTTAGAGACTTAATTTATACAAATATTATAATTTTAGGACCATGTATATATTTTACTCCTCTCCCGAAAAAAAAGTTTGAATTTTCTCTCTTAAAAGCTTTCATTGAAAAAGAATTTATTATCAAAATATAGTATTTTTCAAATAAAAATATCGACCTATCACACTTTTAAATTTTTTAGTTATCTGAAAACGGAATTATTGAGAGTTTTTACGTTTTACAATAATCCGACAAAAACCCATTTGCGCTCCATTAATATAAGTCATGGAGAGAGAGAGAGAGTGAGCTTATTGAGAGAGAAAATGAAAGGAGGGAAAAGGAAGGGTGGCGGAGAAGGAAATGAGTCCGTACAGCCACCACCCATGCCGGACATGGACGGCGGTTGTGAGGTTGACAAGGCGGGTTACAGTGGCGGAGATGCTGCGGATGTGATGGTGGCGGAGGCGGTTGTGGATCAGGTGGAGAAGAAACGGCAGGAGGAGCAGAATCATTATCAAGAAGGAAAAGAAAACGGGGCTGAAGAAGAAGGCGAAGAGGAAGAGGAGGAGGAGGAGGAGGTGGACAATGAAAACGGTTACGACCAGTTCGATGACCTTCAAATCGAAGAGGGTGAGGCCGAAACTGAGAAGCCAAAGCTCGCAGAAGGGTTTTATGAGATTGAAGCCGTACGGAAGAAAAGGGTTCGAAAGGTCAGTTTTTAACTTTTTATTCATTACAAATTAGTCCAAGAAACCGTTTGTGTTCTTCAATTTTCCTATACTATTAGATGTTCTTTTGACAATCATAATCATGATTTGGTGGGTTATTATTGTGGATTGCTGATCTCCAATGCTGCAAAAAGGGCAATTTGCTTCCAGTGGCTGTTTGTATTTTTCAATTTTACTTCCTATAGCTTATTAATTCCTTATTGTCATTTGTACATATTCGTTTACTGATTTTGTGGGTTTTGTTTGTGGATTGGCATTTTCGATTGCGGCAATAAAAGGGTGAAGTTCAGTATCTCATCAAATGGTAAGTGTCCTATTACACATACATATCTAGACATATGTGAATATTCATTTGTGTCATTTTTATTCCGGAATTCTTTGATGTCTGATGATGTGCTCGTGTTTTGTCGATTGATCATTATGGTATGTTTGATTGTTTAAAGGCGAGGCTGGCCGGAGACCGCAAACACGTGGGAACCTTTTGAGAATCTATTGTCATGTTCTGATGTTATTGATGCATTTGAGGAAAGGTTTTCCTTTACTTTGCCTCTTTTTCCTCATTTTCCAATATTCAATGATTAAATGATTGTCACTGAAATTATTAAGATGCCCTATTTGTTATACATGGGTTTAAGAGCAATATCTCATTTGGGTAGTATTCTGTACTTGAAGCTTGAGTTCAGGGAAACATTCACGTAGACGAAAACGCAAGTATAGAGGGCCTCACACTCAATCCAAGAAGAAGCTACAGCAGCGTTCACCTGCAGCTGCTACTTATAATTTACCAGCTGTGAAGGTCAGGATTATTGAGGAGCCTTTGCCTTTTCCTCCTCTGAATGACTCAAGCCTTACAAACGAGGGGGACACTAATGTAGGGAGTGTCAACAATGTTGAAATAGCCAAGGAAGGGAAGGAGAATGGGTCTGCAAAGGTTGCCTCACAGATTGAAGAAAGGAAAGAACAGAATGAGTTGGACTGGACGCTTAGTGAACTGAAAGGAACTGTAACTGTCAAGGAGGACCATGTGGATAAGTTTTCAGTACATTTCCAACCAGCTTCGGCATCAGAAGGAAATGGANTGTTGGTTATTTTTATCTTTGTTAAATTATCAACTTTGAAACCAATTGATAATAGGTGTGAGGCCTATGAGTCTCATATATTTTTTAGGGAAGCGGTGTTTTACTGATGTGGAACAAACACTACATCTTCCCTCATGTGTTGACCCTCCCTCACACGTGACGAGATAGAAGAACCAACAACTAGAGACATAAATGATGCACTTATGGCACAAATTTAGGGAGAACCAAATAAAAAACTGAAGGCATTGAACACAGAACCTGGCCCAGAGGCTTCACAAAGCCAACCCTGATACTACCTTGAAACCCATTTGGTAGGTGGAGAGGTCTACAAGGCTTGTATATTTGTTTGAGAGGCATTATTTTACCAATGTGGAACAAGCTCTAACAATGTTGTGGGAATCAATTATCATTTTGTCAAAATTCCATTTATTGCTTAGGCTATTGTGCAGTATGTTTAATAACTTCATACTTCAGGGGTAAATTTTTTTGAACTTGTTTATTTTTGACAATGCATTTAATGTGGTTGCTTGTATCTAGGTCTGACGGAAAAGAAATGATTGTGGATAATAAATTTCTTAAAGCTAACAACCCCCTTCTGGTAATTCCTCCTCTTGGAGAGTTGTGGTTCGCTTAATCTTGTACATTGCTGCAACTTTAAATTTTGTAGCATATTTTTGTTGTTAATATTGATATTACTTCTAAATTATGACAGTTGATCAACTATTATGAGCAACATCTTCGGTATAGTCCCACGTAAGACTGGAGGAGTATAAAGGGTGAGCGGATGTAGCTGGATCAGCCTCATTTTCGACTTTCTGCTCCGTGGGCTGTAATTTTTGAGGTTATTGTGCAGATTAACCAATGCAGTATTTCTCAGGGTTGCTGGTAAATGTTGCAAAGTTGACTCGTGTAACACTATTGTTTATTTTTTTTTGTTCTGTTTGCTTATGGTTACATTTTGTATATTTATCAACCTACGAACCCCCTGTTATGGATATAGTTCTGATATTTAAACACGGAGATGACAGAAAAAGGTGCACATTCTTAGATGGTGGTACTGGTAAATATTCAAACCTTCATCTTTTGATCGCTTTTTGTTGTTGAAAAGATTGGAAGTATCGGTGTTCTTAGGACTGAACTTTGTTACCCTTCGTTTCTCAGGGTGATTCTCAATTACTAAACTGTTGCAACTTTGATGTTTTCGAAAAGAATCCCACTGTTTCACTGTTAATTTTTTCAGTCACCTTATGACAGGTTTATCTTGATCATAGTACATGTAAGGAGTTAATTTTGTAATATTTATATTTTTTTTGGTATTAATGTTTTGGAACAAAGTGAAAAAAAATTTATTCAATTTGACAACAAAGTAATACAAGTTTTTTGTCCAAGTTGTGACACATTCTAAATGCGAATCAGACAATCGTAGTTGGATGTGCAATATAAAAAATTGCGATAGTTGAAGTGGTAATGGAAGATAAGAGTATTGTTGGGTGGATCAAAGTGTAATTTTTACTTTCCGAATTATAAACTCAAAAGTGAAGTTGTTTCATTGGGGTTCTTCTGGTTGCCTGGTTGGGAATGAAGCTACCAACTGCGATATAAAAAACAGAATAAAGAAAGTGAATGTAGGTAGAAGGCGTTGCTATGGATCAACTAACCACATTTTATAAACAGAAAAACATTGATTATTGTTTTAAGCATTGTTATCTTCAATTAACTGCAGTTACCAATCATTCTTCTTTCTTAACTCCTGTAGAGTCTGTGTACTATGCTATCAACCATCAATGTGGAACGGAGGGCCATCACCACTGGTTCCGTGTCTCGTGGTGGCGGTCCTCAGCCTGGTGGTCTTTGGTGAAACCATACAGTATGTGGCAGACTGGGTGACGCAGCTATTTGAGATGGCAGCTGAAGATTTCACAATGCTGCTTCTTCCCCTTTTAATTCTGTTGCTAATTCACTTTCTCAACAAGTTCTTTCCAACGCTGAACGTTTTTTCTGCTGCAAATCAGCAGAGCAGTAGCTCTGGTCATGATGCTGAGGGGCTCGGGTTTGGATCTTTACTTCTATTTTTGGCTTTCATTTTTCTGTGCAATGTTTTGTGAGCTTCTCGTAGCAGCAGCAGCTGCTTCAACAATAGTATTTATCATACTTTTAAGCAAACATCGAATACACACAATCACCAGTTAACCATGTGCATCAATTAAATCTCATGTCTTATACGGCCAGTGGGACTCAGATTCCATTATCACGTATGGTTCAGCCAATGAACCACCCATGCGGGTTGGTTTGAACCAATTGTTGCGACAATATTTTGCTTGTGCTTACACCCACACATACCGAATGTAAGGCTTTGCAACTTGATGACATATGAAAGTAAAGTAAGAATTTCGACAAATGACAGGAGGAAGAAAAAGCAAAAGAAAACTAGCTCTTTGGGATGTTCTTGCCAACAATCTTTGCAGGAGTAATGCGGAGAAGATTTCCGGGCTTACCCGGAACAGCCCCTGTGACCATCACAAGCCTAAGTTCATTGTCTATCTTNACGAAAACTAGCTCTTTGGGATGTTCTTGCCAACAATCTTTGCAGGAGTAATGCGGAGAAGATTTCCTGGCTTACCCGGAACAGCCCCTGTGACCATCACAAGCCTAAGTTCATTGTCTATCTTGACAATCTTCAGTTTCCTTATCTTTCTTTTTGTCCCTCCCATTCTCCCTGGCATTTTCTTTCCCTTATACACACGTCCAGGAGTTGTTCCTGCCCCAATTGATCCAATGGCTCTATGACTCTTCGATCCGTGAGTCATAAGGCCTCTCTTAAAGTGATGTCTTTTAATTCCACCTGATAAATAAATCAAATTTACCATAAATTAGGGTCCACATCTTTTGGTAACAAAGAGCTGCTATAGGATGATATGAAAATCAAATATAAAATTTATGTATCTCACAAATGTTAAGGATATGAAGTTGACAGGGAATAACGGCAGATTTTGCTTGTCATGAGCTTGGAGACAAAGCTAGTACATTGGCTAAATATTTTCTCATAGCAAAAGGTTACAAAAATTTATGTTACGTTGTTTACAGATGTAGTTGCCAGTGCCAGATCAACTTATGTTAAACAGAAGTCAGAAGGTGCACTATTATAATAGGCTTGTCTCTCTCTCACATCACCCCCAAATTCAACCAAACTGATCACTGATGTTGACACCACCACCAACCACCACACTCCATTCCACTACCCACTCTGATCTACTACCACCAGATTTTACCCTTTTTTCCCTCCCCAAATCACGGTCACCCCAATCGGCCATCATTAAGGCGAAAGCCAAGATGCCTCCATTGGTATACAATGTCACAATTGCATGTCCTTTATATTCCACCNATCCTTTTTTCCCTCCCCAAATCACGGTCACCCCAATCGGCCATCATTAAGGCGAAACCCAAGATGCCTCCATTGGTATACAATGTCACAATTGCATGTCCTTTATATTCCACCTCTCCATTACCACAAGAAGAGAAGGAAGATCAGAGAAATTGAAGATATGGGTTCCAACCTCTGCAAAAAATTAAATGCTGAATTCTCTCTCTCTCTCTCTCTCTTTGATACTTCCATCTCCCCCCAAACCATTGCATCACTTATCTAACACATCCATTGACATGACCTTCAATCTCAATTGTTTGTGCATCTAGGGATCACAGATGGGGTGAGCTTGATTCATCCAATGATCTCAAGTAATTTCCAATTTTTTGAATTAATGTTATCTGAATGGTGTTTGGATTTTGATAAACATGCATTCATCTATATACAAAAAATAGAGAGAGCATGAGTTTGAAGTGACATCAAAGTATGGAAAGATGTCATAGGGTGAATGAAGATGGTTGTGGCACCATGGTGTCAACGGAAGGAGGGAGAGAGAGAGGAAGGAGAAATGGTGTTGCCCTAAGATGTATAGGTAAATGGAGGGTGTGAGTTGAAGCAAGGTGGTGTGCTGGTGGGTTGAAGCACGATGGAATGGAGGCATGGCACATTGGAGGGCGGTGAGGGGTGGCATGTAGAAGGTGGTGCATCGGTTAGTTGCAGATGGAAGGAGAACGAGTTGAAAAGTTGTAGGATAGTGGTGAACCCTTTTCGAAGGCAGTATTGTCCTTCTAACACGAGTTACTGCTTAGAAATATGCATTAGACAAATGCCTAATTTTGTGACATTATTTGAAAAAAGGGTATAACCCAAAATCTCAGTGATTGTTAGCCGAAGCATGTTAGTGCTACACTAAGTAGTATTCCCTTATTCTCATATGTCATATAATTCATAGAATGATATCACATGAAAATCATATTAGGATCCCCATGATGTGAAATTGAAACAACACTGAGTCAAGAGCACAAATTTTATAGAGAAGATTCCGAATCTTACAATCACTGCCAATTTCAAATCATTATGTGAAGTCCTAAAAAGTATCGTATTAACAAATAATAAGGCAGTCACTCTCACTTTGTCCCAGTAATGTCGAATTTAATGTGTATGTATACTTATATACCCAGTTCATCCTTTTCGGCAACCTTATTATTGGGGACTGAATGCTGATCATTTTGATCTTGGTTCACACTCTCACATAAAGAAACCCAAAAACATACTTATGGACTTAAGTGAGGTGGATGGAGAACACAAGTAACCTTTTGTCATTATTTGCAACAAATGGTTGTCCTGAATTGGAACCAACAACCTTCATTCTCCTTATCTAAGCATGTTACAACTACACCAGGCATAACCCCTTATCTATAAAGATTATATCATGAGCACCATAGTGTGAAATCCAAAAACACTGAGCAAAGAGTATGCATTTTATACTTAAAACATTCCTAATTCTACTATTGTTGATAAAGCATATACTTAATTCACCTTTTCCCTTTTTCTCTTATCTGATTCGCATTCTATATGCAAATACACAAATAAGGATGGACAATGACAAAGTACAAAAGCAATGGGGAAAATGGAAGAACCTTGGAATCCTTTGCCAATGGTGGTGCCGGAAACATCAACCAAATCACCCTCCTTGAACAATTCATCAAAACCTAGCCTCTGGTTGGGCTCGAACCCCTCGACGGACTGTAATCGGAACTCCTGGAGGTGTCTTAACGGAATTACACCGGACTTCTCGAGATGCCCAAGCTCCGGCTTCGTCAATTTCTTGTCCCGAACCCTCCGATACCCAACTTGAACTGCATTGTACCCGTCGGTCGCCTCTGTTTTGATCTGTGTGACTATATTTCCTTCCCGGAACCCTATTATGGTGACTGGAATTACTTTCCCATTGGTCTCGAAATAGCTCATCATACCCAGTTTGGTGCCCATGACGCCCACACCGGCCTCCATGGACATTGAGATTGAGGTGAGGGTGGTGGAGCGGAGGTTTCTGGTGATGGATTTGGAGGGTTTGGTGGCGGTGATGGGATGGATGAATGAGGTTTTGGAGCAATGTAGAGAGGCATAATTGTGAAGCTTTAGGTGGAGTGTAGTTCGGCTAGGAAGGCATAGTGAGGGTGAAGAAGGCAAAGGGTAGGAGTGTGATTTGGCTGTAGCAGTGAACGAAACTGAGGGAATGGAAGACATGGCGGTGTCGCAGTGAGAATGTGAGAGAGAGAGAGACGATTTTCTTATCCACTGGGTGAGGAAGAGGTGGGATAGGGTGTTGTTTGGAACACCAGGAAATCTCGTGCGCCTTTTTTTTTTTGGTTGAAATTTTTAAAATTTGGTTAGGTTCAACAGGAATTAAATTCGGGTCTTATTCGGTTTGAGACTTCGGGTTCAACCAGCTCGGGCTGAATTACTAAAATTGGACTCGAATCGAATTCATAATTCGGGTATTAACTCAAAAATAATATATATAAATATATACAAAAATTAAGTGTATTACAGATTTTTATTGAATTTATTTTGCATAAGTTAATCAAAATATTATGTCATGCCCAAAAATTGAATCCGAATTATGAATTCAATTTGGGTCCGAATTAGTTAATCTAAACCAATTCAAATTGAGCTCAAAATTAACTTAGGCAATACTCATATTGAGTACCTCAAATTAAAAATCGAGTTTGGGTTAGATTTTGATTAAAAGTTTTAAAATTTAGGTTGACCATAAATTGATCTTCTAACCTGTCCAACTAGCCTGATTTGCACCCCTATATAGAACGGATTTGATTAATCTACTCTTGAATCCAGTCAAAAATAAATCATTCATGTTAGGACTAGAGAATTCATGAAAAATTAATCTCTCAAAAATAAATCATTCCGTTTCAATCATATTTTATATTGTTAGTGACCGTATTTGACAGTACAAAAAATTAATTATTTCACAACCATTCTGTTAATAATTCTTAATATTATATGATCTACGGTGTATGAATGAGAGACCCACCTACAAAATAATGCATGTGTAAGTGGGTCTTACTCGAATGAACTATAAAATTATCTATTAAATATAATTAAGAAAATAATATAAATAGAGGTGAATTCAACCCCAAACTAAAAGGGCATATGTCGTAATTTTAGAAAAATATTATGGCATCTTTTCATTCTTTTGTAATCTATGCCGGACACCTATAATACCTTTTTTCTGTTTTTATCTTAACTAATAATAATTGTCCACACTCATTTTTTAATTAAATTATAGTTGGTGATCAAATCAGAAATATATAAAACCTCAATTTATTAGTTAAATATTGTATTATTTGTGACATCTATTATAGATACTTTTTTTTTGTGAAATTATTATGTATTAAATATTATTTTTGATAGTGCATGCATAAATATATATTGTATTGATGATTTGATGTTTATGTTATACATTTTCTAATCAATACTGGTGACTTGGCTAGAGAGGAAAAAATATTCATTACAACGGTAATACTATGTAATAATACTGACGTGTATTACTAACTAATAATATCAAAATAAATAAATAAATTAACCCCACAAAAATTAGTAATCAACTCTTTATGTAAACAAATAACTAATCACTCTTTTTTTACGTAAGTAAATAACTATTTAAATAGAGTTCATATTGTTCATTTTGTGTTTTATTATTGATTGATGATACCATATCAGTATTAATAACATGAAATCGCCATTAAATTGAATATTTTTTTACTAGAGAGACTTATCGAATAGCGAAAGATTAGATCAAGTAGTTAATATTCCTCTGAAGTATTTTAACCTACTTTTACTGCAGGAAAACTCTCTGAATATAGAGAAAACCATCATTGAAAAACAACTGGCTGAGATAAAACCCATTAAAGGTCAAATCACAATTCTAATGCATTCATATTAAAGAGAATTCAAATTATTACACTCATAATTTATCAAAATATTAGGGTAACTTTCATAATCGCATACGAATCTACTAGTAGCAAGTTTGTGCACGAAGACACTTCACAATTTCTGTTTATTTTTGTTTTGTATTCATATTTATTTATATAAATTTTGAATAAATAATTTAATGTTAAAATTCTATCTTCACTTAATTGAATCTATAATCATATTTTTTCTGTAAACTAAAAATTAATTTAATAAACATAGTAATAATAATGAATAAAAATATTTTTTTATACAATAATTATGTCAGTATTTAATAAATAGTTACAAATAATTAAGATTTTAAGGTAGTCGTGTTAATTTCATGTTGTTTGTGTTACCATAGAAATAAGAAAATAGAGGAAGTATCAATTTTTAACTAAGTCCTTCAAAATTATCATAATTTTGAAGCGCTTAAAATAAATTTTCTCTACCCCACAAGAGAAGAATAGTCATCATATTCTTGAATTGAAACCATTTTTTTTTTTACTATATCTAGGTTGAGTATGTCATTTTTGGATAAAAAATTATCAGGTCATGGTCGTGTCATTTTGGTCATTGTTGGGTTAGTGTCGACACGATTAAATAAACTGGTTAACCATATCAATTTTGGGTTTGACGGGTTGAACCCGAAAACAACCTGTGTATATTTCGTGTTCGTGTGTCAAATCATTTTTGAGTTCGTATCATTAAATTCGCTTTGAATTTAAATCGTATTGTCGTTGAAGGGGTCGATAAATTTTGATAATTATCTGACAATTAGACTTTGGACATGTGGCACGTTGCATGTGCTGAATTTTTTTTTTTGCAATGACTCTACTATGACCAAGCAAGTAGCTAGGCTATTCGGGTCGAGCTAAAGTTGGTCCAGTCGAGCAGAGCAAATAGCTAGGCTATCCGGCCCGAGCTAAAATTGGTCCGACCTAGTAGCTGATAAACCTCGATCGAGCAGATAGCTAGGCTATCTCAACCGAGCTAAAATTGGTCCGATCTAATAGAGGAAAAAACTCGACCAAACAAACAGCTAGGTTTGTCTCGGTCGAGTAGAGAATGAGATCCGACCAAGTTGTCATCAAGTAGCAACCGAGCTGATCAGAAATCTCAAAAATGAAGAAATGAGCTCGGTCCTCGTCACGACCGAGCTGTTTAAAACAGTAACGTGGTACTAAAAAGATGCCTATAATTCAAGCATTCTGGTTAAACGAATAGACTCAGTACAAGGAATTGCGGAAGAGATCTTAGCAACTTTCTGAATATAATCACTTGATTAGGGGAAGGTGTATTATCTTGAATAAAAAATCATGAAAACCCTAACTAAAAAAAGACTCTATAAAAGGTATAAAGAGTCAAGGTAAAAGGTATGTTAAACTCTCCTTGTCTTATTGCAATTGTCTTAGTTCCATTACTGACTTAAACATCGGAGTGCCTTCGATCAAAGTACTGCAATCTTTGGCAGTTTGTTCGTTTTGCAGAAAGCAAAGATTGAGAGATCAAGTTCAGAACTCACTCTTATCATAAACGTTCAATCTTTATTCTTGTAGGAAGTATCCTCAATTTTTACCCCTTACATTTTGACGCCGTCTGTGGGAAAACGATGATCAAGTTTCCTTGAAATATAGATATATAAGTAATAGATCGATCTTGCCATATAAGAGAATTAACATTGTCAATGGATTTGTGTGTGCAAAATTGAGATCGCGAGCATAGCATACAAGAGCGAGGAGAACGTGCATTTGGAACATTCATCATGGTTTTCTGTATTTCTGCCTTGCGTGATGGACGCCGTCTCATGAAGCAAGAAGAATTATTCATCTTCCAGAAGTATAAACTGCTGGTTGTGGTATTTCTCTTCCATGAAATTTGTTTTTAGAACAAAGTCTGCTGCCCTTTATTTGGGTTCCATGTGACCAGCACAAAGAGACAAGTCTGGGACTTTCTAGTATGTCTTTGATGCCAAAGAATACTTTAAAGGTTAGTTTTACCTATAATATGACTAGTTAATATGTGATTGACCTAAAATATGATATATAATGTCGTTAACATAATTGAATCATCTTGACCTTATAATAAAGAAACCCAAGAAGGTCAATTGTTTGATACCGTAAAAAGACCCAAGAGGGTCAATTACTTGAACCGACACAGGGTCAACTAATCAGAATTGAATGTGATGACTCCAAGAGGAATCAGAGTGTACCACTTGATTCCCAGTACACAGGTGATGAAGTTCAACATCAGATGACAAAATTAATTTTTATGGCTTATATCAATATATATTCTTTGGTTTATATTGCATGGTAGAACTTATCTATTGCCTTTGTCGGTATCACACTTGATACTCAATCTTTTTATGGATCTGACACATGTTCGGCATTAATCTCGCACATAGGAGATAAATTATGAAACATGGTGCCTTTTAGATGATTTAATTTTTACAATGGTTTGTGACCAATCTTGATCTAAATACGAAGAAGTACTTGACTAATAGAGTCGGCCTACGAGAAAGAGACCCAAGAGGGTCAATTACTTAATTGATATCAATCAAAGAGGTCAATCAATGAGAATTATATAAGATGACTATAAAGAGGGATCCAAGTGTGTCACTTGATTCCTCGATTCCTAGTAGACAGGACATACATAAATAGAGATTAACTCTCTACCAAATTGGTGGTTTTGGTATTGAACCAAGTACTCAGAGGCTGCATGAGAAATCAGTGGAGTATGGCTCCCTTGTTAGAGTGAGTAATCAATACCGCAAAGATGGTTGCGATCAAAATCTATTGT